AATATGCATGAAGCATGCTGCAAGTGGTTATGGAGAGAGAAAGCCTTGTATTTATCTGGTTTTTTACCTTCTTTTTTTTTCTTTACTTTTTTTTCTTCTTTCTCATTGTATGATGAAATATGAAAGACAAGAGAAACAATTCTTATACTAATATTTGGAAAGTATCGCTTTTATGGCAAATAACTTACTAGAAGCTCACCGCAATCATCCAAATACATGTCTCTTCTTTCTTGTTTCTGTTTTTAATCCTGTAAGGCATATAAAAGTGTCCATGTGTTTCTCAACAAATATACAAACTGACTAGTTTGAAATTTTTAACTTCTAAACTTGTTACTTCGAATTGTTCTCCTAACAGAATTTAGTTCGGCATTGAAGTTCGTTTATGTCTAATGAATAAGAAAAAGATGAAGTCGAAAATCAATACACTAATATTCATTTCTGAATGATCGATTGAAGTGTTTCTCTTTTGAAGAATTCATAATAAACATTTGATACATAGCTAATAAGAATATTCAACAAATTTTAGTTATAAGAGTCAATAGCATATCTGTTTTACTTTAGAAACGTCAAACATAGAATACGAAGAAAATTGGATAGTTGTTATCGATTTTCATGAAATTTATCTCTATTCCTATGCTTCATTACTTCCTATTTTTGTTGAAACTTTCATTTTTCTCCCTTCAAACGTTAAAAAAAGCAATTTTTTTCTCGATTAAAGAAACTGAAAACAGTACCGTTTTGACAAGATCATATTTCATGTAAACAATAAGAAAGACTTCAATTTCAACTACGCGGTTAGAATATATTGATCTTAAAAAAACGATAAAACTTCTCTGGAAATATTACATTTTCATTTGCATCGGAGATGCACATATTTTTTTAAACCATTTCGGTAGAACATAGAGAGGAAATACATTTTTTATACGAAACTTATACACTTAACGTACATATATCTGTACAAGAGTATGCATTAGATACACATCCGCAGGTCTTTCAAATTGTGGTTATTCATGTGGCAATACAAAAATTTCATCATACTCCAATTTTACACGACATGATTTCTAAAACATTTTCGAGCACTCGAAACTTATCTCGACTTGAATATTTGTAAGGCTTTTGGTGTCCTCAAGACCTATATGAATTCGAATGAGATGGACAAATATACACAACTCTTGTTTTATAGTGAATAAATATCAATAAACAATCAGCAATAATATTTTACAATATATTATATGTTCTTCACAATGAAAATGAAAAATAGGAAATACCAATTTTGAACTACAATCTTGCCATTTTTTTTTGTTATCAAGATCAAACTTGTTTCTAGATGTTAATAGACTATCCTAACTGTAGTGAAAGTACTTATTAGTAGTACTTGTGCCAAGACCTGAGTATTTGAGTATGACAATCGAGTATTTTCCGTATAATATTGAGTATTTCATAAGCAGAAGTATATAACTAGGTTTGGTATACTTTAATGGTGTATGTGAAATACTTATGGATCAAAACAATAAGGGTGAAAACTGAAGATGTCACCTTATGTTTTATACCTTTTTTTATACAGAAAAAATGAATAAACTTGTTTTTTAGAGGATAAAGAAAAAAATAAAAACACCTATTGAGCATCATACAACATCATTGAAAAGATGTCATAACGAATAATTCAAGAAAATATGACATGCAATAATCCTAAGTGTATAGTACAGATCATTATGAAAAAAAATTAATAAAAAAGTAAATACATTCTTTGTAGCATCACGTGTCTTTATAACATTAAATTCTGATCGATCTGTAGCAAAAGTTATCAGTCATGTTTATTTTGAAAATATTGTAGCTAAATTTGATTAAATGAAATTGAACGTTTTGTCGTTTACAAGTTTGAAGAAATATATATTCGTACTTCAGAAGTGTGCAGTTGAACATGAAAAATTGTTTTTCTATTCTTGAATTAACCATTCGTCAAAGTAGTAAAAGTAACTAATCAAAAGAAAATGGAAAAATCAAATCGGTAAATCAATTAAGTAGTTCTTTTCCATGTTCAATTAAATGTTCCATTGTTCTTTCTTACACAACTTTACCCATTTTTATACATGCTAATACATAAGTACTTCATTAGATTATTTCGGAAACAACCGAGGATGAGTACTGCATTGAGTAGCCATCAGAGTTCACAAAAAGTGTACTAACGCATCAGATTTCTAGAGGATATGTGTAAATTTTTCATTGCAGCTATACCCACTTCAAAAGCCTTATACTAAACACACTTACACATGTCATTGTAGTGTAGCGACATCCTTTGCGCGAAACCGATCTTTCTCTAAAATAAAATATCTAGATGAATATATTTTCTGATTTAATACATTTATTTCTATCACCATATCTTTTTTCTGATGTTTTTATCAAATCCAGATGGCGCCATACTCAATACATTCGATATTGGTTTATACTTTTCGCCACATATGTTCTCAAACATCAGCTCATGTACCTATTTCTATTCAATAATTATTACTCTCGTCTAATACTGTTTCTTATCAACCAATTTTAAAATTTATCTTAGCTCTATTACATGTGAAGTACACTAATGGATCCAAAAATTTGTATTTATCTGTAGGGTTTAATAGAAAGCACAGATCTATAATGAGTAATAAATAAACATTTTTTAATAAAAATAAATTTCTATCTGTTACTGCATTTGCTCGAGTAAGAATGTATTCAAACTGTTCTATCTAGTTAAAAAAAAACTTATGTTTTATAGTTTTTTTCCCTAACTTCCTCGATGTAGCTTGTTTTAAATATGAGGATTGAAAGAAAATGCTTTTACTTAATTACAAAACTAGATAATTGCTACTGAAGTTTTATTGAATTATTCTCTACTGAGCTGAAGAGCAGTCGTTCGTTCTTCAAACAATGTTAAAATAACTACTCTGCTTGTTTTCTATTTGAAATATCCATTTACAATATTAAAACGTTTTCTTTAAGAAAATAATAAAGATACATGTTTCGTATTCAAATACTTGTGATTAAGGTATAAAAGATGACTTAAAGTGATTAGAATTTAGCGAAAGCCATCAGAAATCATTGAGAATTGTTGAAAATTACAGTCTAGAATAGATTGATCAGAATATACCAAAGTCAATGAGAACTTGTCATGATCTTTCTTTAATTGTTGAGTTAATATAAAGTGAATCTACAAGATAGAAAAATATTTTTTCAGAGATAATCAAATATTGTGCATCTCAGAGAAAATGTTTTGAGATTTTCAATGACTTAATGATGTACGTACGAATAAGTAAAAACTAAGTATCATTATCAGTTGTTAAAAAACCTGTGAGGCAGCAAATTAGTTTGTTATTCTTTGATTTTTATTACGTTGTTGAATAGTATAACAAATATAGAGACAATGGTAGATAGCATTATCTGTCGTGATAAATTTCATACGAGAACAATCTAATGTACATAGATACGTGCTTCAATTGATATGTTATATATTTATGCTTTATGTCCATTTGAAGTAATAAAAGAAAAGCTTCTTTGACGTTTCTCTTAATATTCTTCATTTTCGAGAGCTTAATTTGTCTTCTTATCAATGGATACATACATAGTTCTTCAGATTAGGGAAAGGAATAAAAAAAATTAAAAAGAGACTTCTTTCTCTCATTCGAAATGATAAGGTAGTATCTTTCAAATGAAAGCAAATCGATTTCTGCAGCTTGGTCTCGGAAAATCTCATGAACGGTAAGGTATGAAGATGCGAATTTGTTTTTATTAATGTACTTCCATGAACCGAATATTTATATAAAGTTTCATCAATATCTCATGTATCTTGTCGATGTTAGATTTTTTTTATTGTCTAATGTAGAACTTACTAGAAAATGAAATAAATATGTTGACACAATCTACTCTTATTTTAAAGAGAACGGTTGAAAGTATGATACGAACAATAACAGTCAAAACTTGTGTTTGCACTTCAAAGTGCAAATGATGTCATTGTGTACTGAGAATCAAAACGAAATAATACTTGAATAGGTTTTTTCCATGTTACTTTTTTAATGCTAATTATTTGCTGCATTCTGTGTTCTTTCTCTTGTATAAGTTTTTCTCGTTCTTTTTCTCTTTTTTTTTTAATACCTTTTTCGTTCTGTCCTATAAACTTGCGATAGATCATGTGATATATATCACGAGTTCTACTCATGTACATCAATCAATCATTCAGTCCAAATGTTGACTCAAATTTCTTCACTATATACGTAAGCTACATAAAAATAAATATGCGTATTAAAAGTATTTTTAATTTGAGTACACTTTATAAAATGATTCATCCTAGTGTTTATGAGTATTACGTAAAATTAAGTTACGTCATGGAAATTTGAATCGTAATTTTTACAATCATCATAGGTTGTGAAATAACTGTCACGAGGATGTTTCAATTCTTATAAATTTTATTCATTGAAACCATTTCAATGATTCCGATGACTCGTTGGACGTCGATATCATTTATAATGAATCAGTGAGATATTGAATGAAACTATATGTTTACATAAGTTTTCATTATGTAATGTATCATTAAATATTTGATATTTTTCAATTTGTAAGTTTTATTTTTATTAAATAAAGTTATTTTAGTACTCATTTCATCTATTTTATTATTTACATTCTCTCAAGGCTATGTTTCATTTATGTGTTCTTTTGTTAAAAAAATTCTTTGCTGTTGCCATTTATAATAGATTTATTCTTGCGTTCTTTACTTTAAAAATTTTTCTTTTATTTATATATTTCGCATGTCATCATTGGAACTTTCCTTTAGAGTTGCAGTATATATAAATTAAATTCAACAATTGTAAAAGGAATGGCAGGCATTCGACATCTTGAGTAAATTAACAAAATGAGAATGTTGAACAATGATCTTATCCTTGTTATAGATCATATTTGCGATATCTTTTTTTATTGGTACATCGTCGATTTTGTTATTCCTATTTGTCGCTTATTTTAGATTATAGAGGATGGTGGGTTATAATACACAAAATCTAGATGTTATTCAGTCTTCATATATCTGTAATTCTTGTTCATTATTACTCCGAGAACCTGTGCAACTAATTGATTGTGGTCATCGTATGTGTCAATCATGTGTCAGTGAACAATCAGGGTAAATGCTATTTTTTATATTGACGTTTTTTTTATATTTCATTTTGCTTTTTTTAAAAAGAAACAAGATAACATGCGCAGATTGTGGTGAACAAACAACACAAGAAAAAGTAAGACTACGATGTTATTTTACAATAAAAATCTTTTTCTTTTTAAGTTATTAATTGATCGTGGTTTTAAAAATGATATGCAGAGTTTGTCAATTATATGTTCATTTTGTAGTTGGACTGGTATATTGAAAACCTATCAAGTAAAATTCTTTTTCTTTCCTTGAATATCTATTATTTACATCTGTTCTCAAGAGTCACCTTGATCAAAATCATTCAAATCCCACATGTGATTCTTGTGATCAAAAGTTTAATTCAGTAAATGATCTTGATCGACACAAATTGTTTAGTTGTGAAAAAACAACTGTTGTTTGTCCATTAAAACAATGTGGATGTGAAGAAATGGTTAATTTTAATGTCTATTTCTGTTTTCATATTTGACGAATTTTTATCATGTAGGTTCTTCGTCTTCGTCTTGCAGAACATTATATAAGTGATCAACATCAAATAGTTTTAGCCAAATTTGTTCGCCAAATGAATTCGATTTTATCAACTAATATTGGTAATCATTCCCTGATTAGTTGTTATCAAAGAACGGATATTGATGCTAATGAATTAGAGAAAATCTCAAGGACAATGAATATTTTGTCAGATGATATTAAAATATTAGCTGATGAATTAGAACGTCTTGCTATTGAACGTGATCAAATTCATAATAAACTACAGTCTTTCATTCAAGAATCTACAATACTTAAAAAATCCATTGAAGAACAAAAAACATGTATAGATGGTATTACACTTAATGAAGAAAGGACTGAACAAGACTTATCATCATTGGAACAAAATCTTAATACTATGAATTTGAACTCTTATGATGGAACTTTTATATGGAAAATAACCAATGTAGAAGAAAAAATAGGTTAGGATTACAATAGTTTATTTTTTATTTCAATGGAAGAATATTGGGTTTCTTTTGCTTTGAAAAAGACTAGTACAATTTGAAAACAGAGTAAACCTTAAGTAAGCCAAGCATAAGTTTTCTCTCGTATGAGTAGGTATTCGTACTTGCCCTGCTTGGATAAATCCTTTTTTGTATACTAGGGAGTTTTTAGTAAAGAAATGATCTATCAAATATTTATTATGATAACTGATAGTAATCATTTCCAATCGATATGAAAAGAAAATTAATTAATATGATTATTTTCGAAGAAAAGTGATTATTATAAATTGTTAAATAAATATTTGCATTATTATCATAACATGTGAAAGAACATTGAACTATTTTCGTGCACACATTTTTGATTAATTCTAAACTTGAAATTTTCTCAGGTTAAGTTCTTAGCCTTTGTTTTTCAATTTTTACATAAAAGCAAAATAAGAGATTTTAAATGATTTTTACTAAATCCATGATACTATCTATTATCAACAGTAGTTCAAAAGTATTATTTATTTGTTTAAGTTGCTGCTCGATCCAGAACGCAAACATCGATTTATTCTTCACCTTTCTATTCATCACCTACAGGTTATAAAATGTGTCTTCGACTTTATTTGAATGGTGATGGAAATGCTCAGAACACACATATATCATTATTTTTTGTTCTGATGCGTGGTGAATATGATGCTATTCTCACATTTCCCTTCTGTTTTAAAGTGATATTCTGTCTTTATGATCAAACCGACCAGCAAAAACATATTATTGATTCATTTCGACCTGATATTAGATCAAATAGTTTTCAACGACCACGCTCCGATATGAATATTGCTAGTGGAATACCAAAATTTGCTCCATTAACAATATTTCAACAAGAGAATAATCCATATGTTCGTAATGATATAATGTTTATTAAAGTGATAATCGATTTTGATAATACACCAAAACCAATTTTACCTTATGTGTTTAATCTTAGCCCCGGACTAACGACTCAAATTCAACAAACAATGATTCGACAGCAAATTGAAAAACGAGAACAAGAACAACAAGTGTTGAATTCTTCAACAATGAATATTGAGACAGATCAATCGATCACTATGAAGGGGATTCAAGAATTTCGTCAATAAGACTTTCGTCATCAAATGAAAAAACAGTTTATAAAAAGAAACTATCAAGAACGCGTTTTCCAAATAGTAAAACGCGATCACACAGAACACATTCAAACGTGTTAGTGTTCTATCTGTTACCGTTCTTATATTCTCAAAACGAGTCCTCGATCGTTTCTTTTGTAAAATATTTTTGTAAAACTCAGATGTCTTCGAAAAAAAAATGTGAATGTAAATTTAAATCGAGATTTTTCAGCTCTTCACCTACGTCCCCATTATAGATCCTAGTATAAGCCCTTTTCCCAAGATCTTAGCAACTATGGAAAGTATCAGTTCTTAGAACGTTCTCAAAGATAGAAGAAACAGTGTATGTCAAAATTCATCGAGAGAAAGAATGATGTGCGCTGTAGCTTACTAAACGATAAAATCAATATGTGTAGTAGTCTTATATGATAGTTGAATCGATGAAATGAAGAGTCAAATCATATTGACTGCCCTTTGTGGCATATATTGTATATATATATATATGTTATAATTAGGAAAAAAGAAGTTATGTATTGAAGATGTATCTGAGAATAGAAATAAGTTTGTGCAGTATAACAATGCCAAACAAATATAAAAAAGAATTTATATATTTGATTTATTCATTTATTTGGTATTTTTTTTTAAATAAATTATTTTGAAACCTCTGATAATAAACGATAAATTTATCATAGTCAGAGTATGTGAGTTCCACACTTTGGCCTCTTAGAAGACCACAGTGATAAGTTTTTTCACCTGCAATATCTTTCCTGAAATTTCGATAATTTTTTTTTGAGTTATATATCTATTAAGTCATATTAACTTCAAACTTTACACGTATCTATATTGATATTGTTTTATGACAGTTTGCGGTACTTCATCCTATATTGGTCAACATACTTCCTGAACTTTCGTGATTGCCGAAAGTCTTATCGATGAAATTTCGGCTATCCCTATGAAGTATACTAGAACATGCGAAAAGAATTGATTCAGTCATCATATTAATCATGATACTAAATTGTATGATGAATGAATTCAACGAATTTTAAAGTCATAGTAAAATAAATTTATTTAAGGTAGACATATAAAATTGTTTTTTTTTTTATGTAAATAAATTGTTGTAAACTTTTTTTTTTTGTTGTCATTCAATTTCTTATATTTTCTTCTGTAAATAAAAGATAATCAAGAATTTGAACGTATCTAAAATATCATTGCTCGATCGTTTACTTCTTTTAAAAACAGAGTTCATTAAAGTTTGCCTTCTTCAAGCTAAAGTTGTAAAGCATAAAATAATGTTCACGATTAAAGTTTCTATACCATTGATTTAGTAGCCTCCTCTTTTTTCATCGGTAGTACATGTGACTTTCTTTATATGTAAGAGATATTGAGCGTATGAAATTGTGGTATTTCTTCATTGGCACGATCTATAGATATTCTAATGTTAATTCGCTGAAAAACCGATTTTACAGACGTATTATTATTTTCACTAATAAATCTTTCAAATTTTTTTTATGGTTCTAAAAATAATTGCATTGGTTTGCGAACTTTCGTCTTAGTTACATAGTTTTTCGATGCAATTTAAAAGAAAACAAAAGAACATCATTCCAAAACCTATATGCTTACTTTTTCTTGTTTAAACAAAGACTGAATTTGTAGATCTCTATTCAATCGAGGTTTATCAAAACAATAATCTTGCTTAAGAAAAGTAATTTAATCATCATATCTGTATGAATAACTGTCTATTCTACTATAACTCAATCATTTTCAAGGATAATTTCTTTGCTTTAAGAAATATGGTTATATTATTTCTCAAGAGCTTATGGTGATAAATGTTGAACATGTCAAGATTACAGTTAGTAATCTAAATCAAACGATTTCACAACATGAAAATGTACAATCAAAATAATAAATATCTACGATAGCAAATAAAAAGAAAGGAGAACGCATGAATTGTCCGGATTTAGTAAAGATACCGAATGAATTAAAATATTAAATAAGTAATTTTCATTTTTCTTTCAACTATATAAAACTTCTCATATATGTGCTAAATCATTTCACAAACCAAGTTTAAATTAATCACTTCAATCTGCAGTACTGTATATGATGTTCTCTCTTGGAAATATTTAAAATTCCAGCAGGAGCCAATTGAATTTCTCCCTTTTATTTTTTTTTGTTTTTATTATTATACTTCTTTGATGTATAAGTGTACTGTGTATATAGCACGAAAGTCCGGAACGCGCTGCATATTTTGGTATGTTTACGTTGAACATCAGATGCTGTTTAAAGAATAAAAAGTGTATTAGAAGAAAAAGTGACATTTTTGTTCTTTACAAAATTGGTTATTCATAATATTGTAACATTTTTATTGCGCATATATTTCGACTTAGGTAAATGATAAAATCTTGAATTTTTTTTTAAAAGATGTGTTGTGAAAAGCTCTACAAAAGCTATATGATCGAATTCCTGTTATCTGTTCTAATGGTTTCTCTGACACTCAAAAAGATACAAATCTACATTGTGGAGTCACTTCCCTTTATATAGAAAATATTACGAGGATTTCCTGATTCGCTATAGAACTTCGCCTACACAAGTTTTTCAGAGCTTTTGACGGCACCTCTTTCAAAACAAAATTGAATATTCCATCATCTTCTCAAGTCAAGATATGTGCAGAACAAAAAGGTCTTCCAAAATTTCTAGTAACATGGAAAGGAACATTAACATGTAAGTTGTTCATTTTGGGTATCAGAAAAATCATTAGAATAGGTAAAAAGAAATTCGATCATACAGTTTTTGTAGAGCTTTTCGCGATGCATCTTTTGAAAAAGAACTCAAGGCTTTATCATTTACCTAAGCCGAGATATATACGAAATACAACAAAATGTTACAACACTATGGATAACCAGTTTTGTAAAGAAAAAAAAGTGTCACTTTTTCTTCTAATACACTTTTTATACTTTAAACAGCATCTGATGTTCAACGTGAACATACCAAAATATGCAGCGGGTTTCGGGCTTTCTTCCTATAGATATAGTTGATTAATAAATAGAAGAATTATAGTCATAAAAACAAAAAGGGAAATTCAATTGGCCCCTACTGTAATATGCTAAGTTGAAAGTGCTTTGCATGAATCATTAATCTCTCTACACAAGTCACAGAGTGCACTGGTCAACGAATTAAAATTATTATTCTTTATTTTCATACCATTCTCGATTACACTTGCATATGGCTTCTTTTACCCTGTTGGCTCGTCTATTGTTAAGCGAGCTTTGCACTCTTTGCTCCTTCTTTTTGTACTATTGTATCGATAAACATTATTTTTATCTTTGATTATTGACGCATATGGAAAATGAGATTTCCAACTATTTCTTTTTCTTGCGCCATCGGCATTATGATATTTTCATGCATTAATTTTTTTTACTTATTGACTTGCTTGTGAAATGATGTTCATCAAGTATTTGCACTTGTTTTTTTTTTACTTTCAGACTCGCATTCACACCCTAAAGAGATTTCATAGTATGTTAGATCCCAAGGATTTATATAAGTTATCATGAAAAGAGGAATCATATTATAGGTTGATCATACAGCCGAGAGAATTACTTATAATTTCGTCTTTTCCAACTTTTTAAAAAATTTTGCGAATATTGTTGATCTTATTCAGAAATTCAATACACCGGAAAGCCTTTAATAAGTCACACCCAAAAATTTGCCTACTAGGACAATTTTCTACTAGTAACTACAAAACTCTCAATATCATACTTAAGAGACAAGTTATTTTCACATGGGTTTTGAAAGAAAAATTTATAGATTCTGAACATTGTGAATCATTTCGCTACGATTTGTATCAAGTTATGATACTTCTGTTTTGATTGCTTTAGAATTAAAACGCATTCACAAGGTATTGATAGATTTGATAGTAAATAAGTGATTGACACTTTCTGACCCGCAAAAATAAATTCTCTGTCTCTATATAGGATGTGAGTGTGTAGATGTGAATAGAGTGAATGAAGAGAAGACCCTAACCCTACTCGCATCCAAACCTCGTTAGAATAGTCAAAATTCAATAGGAACCCAAAGCCTTTTAGAATTTTTATTAGAACATTATTGCATATCTCTATGCAAAAAAATCATTTAAATTGGAAGAGCGCAGCTGAAATTGTTCCCTCGTAAATAAATGCACTCATCTACAAAAGTTCAAGAGAGTTTACTTTTATTGAATGCAGAAACGATAGATTTTGTAATATTCTCCAAGCTCCCAGGTCACTGTTAATGATGTCGAGGTAAAATATACGTACAAGAAGCAATGTTACGTCGCAAAAAATACTTTTGCTTGGTTTTTTCCCACTTCCTCTACTCTTTCCTCCAGTGTGTTCTCTTTCGTTCTTCTCTATTCTTCTTTGTTTTTTTTCTATGTCAACTTGTTTTTCTTTTGCTGATAAATATTTTTCTATATAAGTTGCTCCAAAAGGTGATCATAAGTCACAATACTTCGAAACTGGTTCGTGTTAAACATATAGTTAAAATCAAAATAGTACTTTCACAATACACTTTTTTATTTAAAAAAAAAGAGGTGTAGTGTAAAGAACTATTTTGATTTGAATAAAAATACTTTGGATGACTTATGTTAATCTCTCTTTGATAATATTAGAAGGAGTTAATTTTCACAGGCAATAGATTGATGATTATTTTGACAATAATTTAATACTTTTAAGTAACATTTTTCACACTGACGTAATTGAAAGATGGTCTAAACATGAAGTTTCTTCTCTTGGCACGATTTTATTACACTCTAAAACAGATTTCTGAGCGCTTAATTGAGATTATACATCGAAATAGCACGTTCTTTTATTGCAATCATTCGTAATACTCAAAGTTTGATTGTGTGAATGAATAGTTTAATAAATAGAAGTTAAATCTTTATATAATTTAATGTTCTTCAAAATTTTGAGTATATTTGTGTCTATATTGGTCATTATCATGGATGCGTTTTTGTAAATTGATCTATAAGAATATCTGATATTGAAATATTAGATTGTTGATTATTTTTTCAAAGAGAAAATATAAACAGAAAACTGATTGATTGTTACACATGAGAAAGTAATTTATTATTTTGAATAAAAACTCATAAAATTATGTGTAAATGTAGAATAGATTTTCATTAATAGAAGTTATTGCAAATATTAAAAAAGATTTTGATTCAAATTTTTAACTTGTAGTTGAATAAATAATTCATGGTAGTCTAGTTAATTCGTTATTTCTAGCACATACTAGTCTAATATTCATATTGGTCTTAATCATATTCTACCTACTTTGAGACTTTCTTAGGAACAGAAATGAAATTATAACTAGTTGATCAAAATTCTGACAAATTTCATTCGTCAGCAAATATCTAAGAATATATTTAATTGAATGATGAATTATTCCACTCAAATCTAGCACCTCTTCTACACTATAGGGGAAAAACTGTAAGCGCAATGTCTGCGGAATTTCATAAATGAAACACGATGTGGCTATTATTACTAATCATAGGAAGATTGCTTTATTCTATGTATTTTGAAATAAATTTTTTCACCATCCTAATACTTAATTCTCTAGAAAATGAAATATAGAAGTAGATCATAATGAAACTTTATTGATGTATTTCAACACTTCTTTTAGATTGTGTTTTCTAAAAATGGTTGGTCATCGTATACAAAACAAAGAATCCTTAAACCCTGATTATATGTGTCCTTGTTGTTCATTGTTATTGCGTGATCCTGTACAATTGATAGATTGTGGTCATCGAATGTGTCAATCATGTGCAAATGAACAACAAGGGTAAATAATGTATAATATTGATTAATTTGTTTTAAATAATTATTTTGTTTTCTTTCCAAAAGAGATATCATTACATGTTGTGAGTGTCATAAGAAAACAAATCGAAACAAAGTAAAATATCTGTGAACTGTTTCAATTAAAATTTCTTTCTCATTTAGTTATTAGTCGATCGAGGTTTTAAAAAGGATATGCAGACTTTGTTAATTATTTGTTCACTTTGTAGTTGGGCTGGTATGTTGAATATCTATCAAGTAAAATTCTTTTTCTTTTCTTTTATTTCTATTATTTGACTTTGTATTGAAGAATCATCTTGATCAAAATCATCTAAATCCGTCATGTGATTGTTGTAATCAAAAATTTAATTCGGTGAACGATCTTGATCGACATATACAATATGATTGTGAAAAAGTCACTGTGGATTGTCCATTAAAAGAATTCGGATGTCAAGCAATGGTACATTTATACTTATTTCTTTTCTTATTGAATAAAATTTCTCGTCTAGATTCTTCGTATAAATCTTACTCAACATTATCTGAGCGAACAACATCAAAATGTTTTAACGAATATTGCTCGTAATTTGAAATCAATATTTTCCAACGTCATGTACAATCATCTTCAGATCTCTTCACAGACGACAATCGATCATCGTCAAATGATAGATAATGCGACAGTTCAATTACAAGAGACTGATGAAACAATGAACATTCTATTAGATGGTGTTGGAGCATTGAATGATGATATGAAACGTCTTAGTAATGAATCTCTTTATCATAAAAATGCACTCGATTCTCTAGCACCAGGCTTTTCGACACTAAAACTATCTATTCAAGAACAAAATCAATGTTTAGATGGCATCAAAATCAATCAAGATATTATGCAGCAAGATGTTGGATCAATAGAAAAAAAACTTAACGATATGAAAAAGAGTTCTTATGATGGAACATATATGTGGAAGATATGCGATGTACAAGAAAAACTGGGTTAGCAATTAAGAAGTCGTTATATACTTTATATTGAGATGAAAGAGCGATTATTTGCTAAGCTCCACTATCTCTTTGCGTATGTTCAGCGTACGATTTAAATTGTTAATGTGAAAAAATGAGATTATAATCAACGTGAATTGATAACATATTTCTAATTCATTAACGTAGAATATCAAGACGAAAACTAATTTTATGGATTTGAAATACTTTTGTGGAACTGAAAGAAAAAGAGTAAAAAATTTATTTTCGAATCTGAAAAAATAAAAAAAATCTTCTCAATAATTGATTAATTCGTTTATGTAGCATGTTATTGTCTGAGTTATGAATTTATATTAAAGAAATGATTGTATAATTATCGTTGATTATCGAATGAGTATCTGTATAATTATTGCAAGTTTTTCTGCTGCTCATGAAGATTTTTTGATGAATAATGTTTTCATATGTATATTTAATAAAATACTTTTTTCTCATATTCTGAGAAAACAATATTTAATTATTCTTTCTTCAAATATTTAGATCATAAGTATACTAAGTATTTAGTTAATATTTATGCGATCAACGGAAATATGCTTAAATCTGTCGATAAGTAAACATTAAGTCTATGCGTTGCAAGATGTTATAACTAATAAGAAGTATTTTAAGAGTATGAGTAAGTTGTTTAGAAATTGTAAAGATTGTATTTGTTTGTTTAGTAGCTGCTCAATCTGATAAGCAAACATCGATTTATTCTCCACCTTTCTATTCATCACCTACAGGTTATAAAATGTGTCTTCGACTTTATTTGAATGGTGATGGGAATGCTCGACAAACACATATGTCATTATTTTTTGTTCTTATGCGTGGAGAGTATGATGCCATATTAATATTTCCATTTAACTATAAAGTGATATTTTGTCTTTATGATCAAAGCAATCAACAAAAACATATCATTGATTCATTTAGACCTGATATTAAATCAAATAGTTTTCAACGACCACGCTCCGATATGAATATTGCTAGTGGTATACCAAAATTTGTTCTTCTAACAATGCTACAAAATGATAAAAATTCATATATACGTGATAATACGATATTCATCAAAGTAATCGTCGATTTTAATAACATGTCAAAAAGACTTCTACAATATGCATTAAGTCTCAATCCAGGTTTGACGATTTCAATACAACAAACGATGATTCAACAGGAAAATCAGCGACAGGAACAAGTGTTGGCTTCTTCAACAACAAATGTGCAAACAAATCAATCGATGACAGAGAATTTATAAGATGCCAATACATTTTTAAATATCTCGACGAACGATAATATGAATTTTATGACACCGTGATTAAAAGTATTATTATTCAAGTTAATATTATATTATGCAATCAAGAAACAAAAAATTTTTAAAGCATGAGCTATATAAAATGTCTGGCAAGTAATCTCCTATTATAAATCCTTTGTTATTCTTACACAAGAACGTATATCCTAACAACTTCTTTTTTTTTTATTGCGCTTTGAAGTGTTTTCAATACCAATTTGTTTCAGATAAACTAATATGACTATGGGGAGAGTGGAGCAAATGGGCGATAATCATATTAATTTATTTGCAATAAAATGGTATCATATATATGTCAAAGTAGTAAAAAAAATTGTCAAGATATCTATTCTTGTTTATGAGTTATAAATGATTCAAAATAAGGACTTACTTTTCAGACATTCTTTAGATCGAATTCGTGCTTGATCTTGGACAGTCAAAGGATTAACTATATTGTTTTATTTAAAACAAAATGGTATCAAATATGCTTCAAAACAATGAAAAAAAATGTTACGACATCTGTTCCTGTTTCGGAGTAACAAAGGATTTAAATTAGGGAGTTACTTCCTAGACACTCTGTATATATAAAAACTATTGTCACGCTATTGATTATTCAAAAAAAAAATTGTTTTTTTATTCAAGCTTTTTTTTATATTTCTTCTGAAAATAAAAGCTACTCAGACAGCTGTTCAAACTGTAAAATGAATTTCTGATTTTTTTTTTTTGTTCAAAGTAAGTCAAGAACATTCATCATGACTTAAGCAATTTCAATGATTTAATAATGGCTCTATACTAAAAATATTTAAGATGGGAAGATGTTTATTTAAAACAACCAACGAGGATCAAATAGAAAAAAATGCATTGTTAAGATTCCGAATGTGAGATCCGTAAAATTGACGAGTAATAGAACTCCAATATGCAGAGCAAGAAAAGCAAACCAATACAGTTTGCGCGTATGATAAAAAAGACCAAGAGGAAAAAACGAAATTTCTGCAAAAAGTGATGCCCATGTACTTGTTTGAAGAATAATTGGATGAGTATGAAGTAAAAACTGGCATAAAGCATTATCACGTGATAAAGGAGACTTTAAGACATGACTCAATGCACTACCATCGAGCCAACTAGGTGATTGTAATTTGTGTAAGCCACTTATTGTATATCCTAACGCATACAAAGTCCAACCTCCCCAATAGAGCCAAGGAAAGACTTGTGGACTAATTTCAAGTTCATTATGTTCTTTATCATTTTTGTGTGAGTTTGTAAAAGTAATAAGACTAAATGCCAAGAGAAGCAAACCAACGTATGGAATGCCAGGATTCAAAATGAGTACATTACGATTTAAAAGACATGCCCATCCATACCATAGTAGAAAAGCGATTAGGCGTGGCGCAATAAGGCGCAAGGCAAACATTACTGATAAACATGTCAAGAAAATAACAAATGTACTCAATAGTTGAGGAGAATAATCAATCCAATGAAGAATATTTGGAAAGTAACCATATGTCGGATTCCATTGTGCATTAGCAATCATACCAGTACGACTAAATAATTCCGTCACATGAGGAATTAGTTGTACAAAATGAACTGTTAGATAAGAACCAAATACAAACTGAAAGATTTTCAATTGACGCACAGTATACCACTTTGTACCAGTTGTTGATGAAGACGATGATGACATGTTTATAACGAATAAAATACCAAGTAAAATGGTCACATTTATTATGCATAGAAAAGAAACGAAGAAACTCATACATGACGTATGCTATACAATGATGTCATATTAGCGTATGAATCATATGTGAAGTAACACTTGCCACGTATTTAGTGTGAGAATGGTAAAAGAGTGAGAGAAAAACAAAGCTTGTTACGGTTGTGCGTGTTTGTCGGAGGTAACAAGCATAAAAAATGATGCTGTCACTTAGGAAACAATCTAATTTTTTGAAAAGTAAATTTGTTTATATTGCGTCATGTTCATACTCTTTCTTTATTGCAGCATAAATATTTTTTAACACGTAAGTACGGCTATATTTAAAATTGAAACTTTTATGCATTTATCTAACCACAAAAAGAATCAACAATACAAGTTTCAATTAGTACACTTCTGCTTATAAATATATATTTAGATAATTATTTTCATATATTTCAAGATATCAAGAGAAAATGTTACTTGGATTAGTGATTATAGTCAGTGGACTAGGATGTCTAATGGTGTTGGAACGTCTCTTTCCGGATCAACCATTGACATATGTACCAGGCTGGTGGAAACGTGTTCTACTCATTAATTTTTATCAATTATTAGTGGTGGTCGTCGGTACTTATACATGGGAAGCGTGGCTACCTGATGCACATTTATTTCATTTACGTGACTTTGTTTCACCTCTGATGGGTGGCATTATTGCTTATATCATTCATACATGGTTTTTCTATTGGTTTCATCGTGCCAGACACAATGTCTATTTCTTATGGCTGTGGTTTCATCAACTGCATCACAGTGCACAACGAATCGAGACAATAACGTCCTTTTACAAAGCTCCTCAAGAAATTCTCGTTGATTCAATTATTATGACGATATTGCTCTATCCAGTACTCGGTCTCTCCAAAGAATCAAGTGTTTGGTTGGCAGCTTTTGCTGCTTTTGGTGAATATGTTTATCACATGAATATCAAGACACCACGATGGATAGGTTATTTCTTTCAACGTCCTGAAGCTCATCGAATTCATCATCTACGCAATAAACGTGATCATGGAAAAAATTATGGTGATCTACCACTATGGGATATTCTAGGTGGTACTTTTGAAAATCCAGCGAAAATGGATCAACCAACGGGTTTTTCATCCAAAGATGAAAGTAGAGTATTAGAAATGATTTGTGGTCGCGATGTGTTATTGTCACCCAAACAAAAAACAAGACATGCCTATAAACAACGATATACACTCGCAACTATTGGAGCTATTCTCTGGATCATTCTTGGCCTTGGTCAATCCATTGGTTACGTTTTTAACATGCCACAACTGCGTGGCTTGAGTTTTGCAACCGTCGCATCTCCATTACCTCTCGTTTTTTCAGTTGCACCGAATGGAATGGAAACTTTTTCTACCAGTTTTCGTCTCCAAGTCTTTGAACAAATTCAAAGTCAATGTAATGATACTGAAGAGTGTATATCTGATCATCTAGTGATGGATACTGTCTTGACACCAGAGCTCTACGGTACACTTAATGATAAACCTTATAATTTACGAAATGCGTATGGTGTTCTTTTTTCTCATGGGCCCTTTTTTCAAGATGAAAAGGCTTTAAATCTGCGTGATCGAGTTTTGAAGTATAGTCTATGTAATAATGGTCCATTAGCACGTGCATTCCATTTACCGATGAATACAAGTCGTATTCTGGTACATGTGCATTCTCATACTAAAACACAGCGACCACATCAAACAGATTGGATAATGAACATTACCTGTGTATAAATACACTTTGTCTGATATTGATTATATTTTTGTTGCATTGTTTATCTCTCATTTGGAAATTTTTTAATCTGAAATTTTTTTCTTTTTTTCAAACAGAAAAGGAAGTGTAAGAACATTGTCTGTTTAGTAGAAAAAGTTTACGGTGCATGGAGCAGAACAACGCTTTTGAAGAACTCATTAGAATCATTTAAGTAGTTCTGTGAACTAATAACTATTGGTCTAATTCAATCAAGTTTCAATTTCGTTTATTGAATTGACTTGAGGATTTACATTGCAAAAGTTATGTTCTTGTACTAAATAGACTTTAGGATACAATGGTCAAAACAATATGAGTTAATGAAACGTTAAATGTATAAATAAACATCTTTCTCTATTAATTTATCAATGAACTAAACTCATGTTATAGTAAAATTGATAGAATGTGTAGATATAGTTGCGCATTATTTTTTGAATACATTCCTGCTTTTACAGATTAAAAAAAAAAGATGTGAACTTTTCTTCAACTTACTACGCGAGTCGAAGGAAACAATTATGTTCAAGTCATCATTTCGACGATGGTGTCAACATTTATTTGAAATTCTGAGCTGATGATTATAAAAGATTAAATCGCGTACATATAAGCTTGATAAAGACACAGATTTCAGACTGTTCAATCAGACACATGAGTAAATAAAGGAGACAATAGATGTACTTGAAGAAGAACGTATATGAGACGAACTCTAGAACAAATGAATTTTTATCATTGATTTGAGCGATGAAAGAAATAATATTTGGAATCGAAAACAACTATTAACTGAAGATTCATATTATTCATGCGTTGTCAAATCATACGTTGGTGTTCATGATATTTCTGAAGAAGGATGCAAACATGAATATCCTTTTTAGGTAAATCATCTGGATACAACTCATTAGTAATAAAAATTTTAAGGAAAGATCATTATTACGAATGAATTTTACATATCGTTTTTTTATTAATATTTCTTTTTTCTTCCTTTCTTACGTTCAGTCATTGACAATTACTGAAAAAGATGTGTGTAACCACATGAAAAATACTGCATATACAGACGTTGTATTGTTGCATGCGAAAACATACAAATTTTTTTGTAAAAAATTCTTGTGCTTACATACAATATAATGCTAGAATGATTGTAAAAGCAAGCTTTGAAAGTTGATAAGAGAAATTTTGAACTCTGACATCCATTCTTAAGCAAAAATTTGTCTGTCTGATCATCTTGCAAGTATGCACGACAAACACTTTTGACATCCATATATCTTGTGAGAGAGTGTGTGAGAGGATTTTGGTCTTTCTTTCACCACATCCACACTCACAATTGATAATGGTTGCTACACTGAATAGTTTTTTTTCTATTTTTTTATTGTTCAAATAACTGGCAATCTTTAGGTCCTTACAAGAAAATAATCGACAAAAGAGATAAGAAATATAGACATATACAACCATATGAATGTGCGTAACAGAAAAAAATACAGTAGACATAGAATTATATCGTTAAATCGAGTAAATGGTTTTTTTTTATACATATAAATATGTGTATTTATTATAGTACGAAATTCACAGAGAAGATATCTACTTTGAAAGCACACACAAAGACAAATGAAGCAATAAATTTGAATATACTACATAAACTTTTATGTTCTTCGCTGTCGCTTTTTTTATCACTTATTAGTAAGATATACGAAGAAAAAAATATATTAAAATATCGGTATTTATTCACGCTAACTATAAGTTTTGTAAATATTGAATATGTTCAAGCAGTAAATGAATACTTCAAATTCTTTTAAACAACATTATGAATCAAAGGTATATCATATGTTGACTTTTGATTTATATTTTCTTTGGTATCAACAGCACTAATAAGATCTTTTGTAAGATCAACTGATTGATATTGATTTTCATTGTTTAATTGTGGATAGATGCAAATGAAAAAATAAATATATATTATTGTTTGAATACATCCACAGTAGAAAGAAATTGGGTCCCAATAATATTCCATATTATAACGATAGATCCAGTTAAGAATATAAAATACTCGATAAGATCCTAACATAACTAAATAATATGTCATTGTTTTAGTAATCGTTCTTTGTTTATATATTAAACTCAATTGAGGAATAATAGCCAATATTTCTAAATAAATTGAAAATCGCCAGAAATATTCCATATCAATATTTTTATAATTAGTGAAATAGCATGTACTCCAGTTGAGAATATGAGCACAAATGAGATAACCAAAGATTGGAAATGATTCATGTGATTTATCAATAGTCTTTCTAAATAAACCATAAATAAGAAAAAGAATAAGACAATTTGACACAATATAATAGATTTTGAAGATAGTATTGTATTTTAAAACAATATCAATTGAAGAAATGTTAAAGGAAAATAAATCCAAATAACGACATAAAAAGGTAATTACATAGAGTATTGTCGTCATACCGGAAACTGAATAACATGATCGTGTTTTGATAATATTAAAAATCAATAATAATATGGCAAATCCATGAAGAAAATCTCCAGTTAATCGAAATTCGTTGAAAATCATATTTTAATAAAAAGAAACTATTTTTAGAAGTATTATGACGTGCTTACAAAAAAAAAATGCTAACGCTGTTTTTTTTTTCTTTCTGTCGCAATAAATGAAATAGTGTATGTATATTGAAGGGAGAATGCAAAAAAAACAAGGTTCTCCAATCTTTGCTGTCAAGCATGGCACACGTATTTGAACGATTACATGTGATCGCAGCAATCACATGATGCAAGTCATGTTTCTTTACTAATTTATTGAAGAATTTAGTTGGTCTTATTTAAATAAGTAATGTTTGCTAATGCTAATGAATGTTTCGGTAAACATTTAATACCATCAATAGGTGTCACTGAAAACCGTCAATTGTGAATTGTACACCGATGTATACATAATTTTGATTCCAAAATGAGTATCCATATGAAATACACTTGGTCATATGGAATTGGATACAATTCTTTACCAGTTTTGCAAGAAAAAGCGAGCCATTTTCGAAAGCAGCTCAAAAAGAAAAATATCAAATTTATGATTTAATCTATTAATCTACTCGACACTCTAGTTATCGGATAAAATATTTTGTCATTTTACTATGTTTCATTACCTGAAGACTTACAAAATATGACCCAATAATGAAAATCCTGATTGAAACAGTAGCAATCACGTGAAAGTTAGATTATGTGTCCAGAAAAAAACTTTCCTTTTTTTATTCAAAACATTGAATATTCTCACAACTTGAGTGGGATACATAATTTAGGTAGTTTTCAAGAAGATTTTGGTTTATCTTTATTTTTAATTTATTGAAATTTCAAGCGATATACCCTTATTTTCATATTCATAGCAGTCTTTTGACTAATTTTTGAAATTCAATGAATATTGTGTGCGAATATGAGAACTAAGTTTAGCTATAGGAAACGTTTGCACGCATAAATGAAGAAGAATGCACATGTCTCAATCTAACAAAAAGTATCAATTCAATTATTTTATGACATTTTCTGTATGATCATCTACGTAAGACATAGAGAATTTCTTATTATGATACAAGTATTTATAGTTAGCAGAAAAGTTTTGTTCCGTGACATGTATTCAGAAGAGTCTCACGATCTACCGTATTTTCCATGATATTATTTTTGCTCTCTTTAATGGACCATAAGATAGTACTATTTACTTTTAATCATGCAGATAGACATTGAAACATATACGTTTAAATACTCAATTTAAGTTTCAATCATTTCTTTTCGTTTTTCATTTATGCATGTATATAAAAGACTCGTTTTTAAAAAAGATGTCTAATAACTATTGACAAGCTAATTTTGAGTGTTTTTTTTTGTATGAAACTTTCAAATTTGACTTTCATTGTCGCAGGAACCATGTTAACAGAATGCTTTAATTGAGGATCTAAGTGCATTATACTTGATGTCTATTGAATGATTTTTTTCTATACAGACATACATAACACAAGAAGTACAACATTTTGCATAGGTAAAAGAGAATAGCCAATATCAACACTCAAACATCCATTAAGTATACTGTTCTTCTTGCAAAAAAAAAACTTGATGATTGTCTACTTTTATTGTTGATTTTTTTCTTAACATAACTTAGGTTTTGTCTTTATTTGCAAATATTATGCATTATTAGATCGATGATATTTGCAGTGATTCTTTGTTCTATAGTATGAACACTACGAGATTGTTATATATTGTTCAATAAATACTTTCAATGGTGAATATTATTTTAAAGTACAAGCACATGCAGCATGCATTGATTGATTTTATTCCGAGATTTCTGTACGCAAAACTTTGCTTTATCATTATAAATGTGAGAGTTTTCTAGAGATCGTATCAATAGGCTCAACTTCCGTTTATAACGTAGGCTAAAATTATAACGAACTATGAGGTTGTATTTGCTTAATGCAACGAGAGTACAGCATAAACCGCCCACCAGATCTATTTGTGCTACTAGTTGCAGTGATCTTAATAGAATTTGATAATTACATGTTTTATTTGATGATGAATGAAACTAAATAAGACACACCATGATTAGTGAAAGATCAAAAGGACAACATCAAAAAGGAATAAAAATAAAACAATAATGTAATGAGTAGTTAGCGTCACGATTCATCATCTATTGATGCTAATAAGAGAAAAAGCATTTTTTACTAAATCACCTGTCAATAGATATTCATTAGATATTTCTTTTAACAAAGTGACTAAGAATTAGATTCATTTGAAGACACTGTTTGTATTTTTCCTTACAAAGTACGAAATAGTTATTGATTGATTGGCCTCACTGCTATTGATCGATGAAAAGTTCGTCGGATAATGTTCAAAAGTTGTGGAACATCAATATATTGAATTTGTTGCTGGTTTCTTTGAATATTTATACGGAATTTTGCTCGAAGTTCTGGCAATGAGACAGTGCATATAAAAGGCATTAAAATGATGATAAAATAAAAGAGATATAAGCTAGCGTCATAATAATCATGAGCAAAACGACGTGATAAACCTAATGCATAAGCAGTGTAGAGAATCATAGGTATAAAATACAGACAAAAATAGATTGAAGATATGGATAACATTTGAATAGCCATTTTTCGATAATTTTTCCATTTAATTTTTTGATTTAATCGATGTTTTTGATATAAAACACGAAAAACAAGAGCTATATTAAATATAACAATAATTAAAGCAGGTAAAATAGTATTCACTACGCTATCCCATACGGCAATAATTTGTGGACTAAAAAGAGCTTCATTATATCCACATTGAATTTCTAAATAATTAAATGTATATTTCCATGGCAAAACAAAGAAAGCAATTATATAAAATAAAATTGAATAAACAATTAGAATAATTATTGGAAAATAATGGATAAAAAAAAGTTTTCTTCTTGTTAATAACCATTTATCATGAAAAATGAGAATGTGTCGTTCAATTGATGCCCAAGCAACAAGTATTGTTACTAAAAGAAAACCAGTATGATCAATAAAATGCCAAATAAAACAAAATGTTTCGGTCGATGATAACGGATGACCAGTACCATAATTATAAACAAGCCAAAATATGGCCGTGCATTCAAAGATTAAACAAAAGAAAAGTATAACAATGATTAAATGATTGTACAGAGCCTGGCGAAGTGTTCGACCAAAAATAAAATGATAGAGATCAAAAATGCCACAGATTATTGAAGGAATCAGAAAAACAAGGAGAATCCAAAATCCAAAAGTATCATCTATGGCCATGGCGAGATGTATCGTGCTGTTATCGGACTATAATGCATATGTATTATTAGCTTTTTTCGCTTGAACTATGATAATTACATATCATGAAATCTTTTTCAACTTACCTGAGGTATAATAAAAGAACTTGTACCAATTTTCATATCAAACATTGTGGTTCGTATTTTTACTGATAACAGAGAAATAAAAATTGAAAATTTACAATAATGAGCGACAGTGATAACAAGTTTCTATGTTTTTTTAAACCTTCGACACATAAGTGCAAAAAAGAAAAAAAACAATGAATTATATAAGTGAAAAAGATCAAAGAAAAATGAACCTCCAGCAATGATTCAAGAAGAAAAATAAAAGCAAGAACAAAGTTGTTTGAGAGTGCATTTGAGCGGAAGCATAAAATGAAATGCATTTGTTTGCAGAAAATTTATAGAAAACTCGCGTGTTACTGCAAATCAGAGTTCTTTTGTTTGCTTATGTCATCTTCAATGATACAAATTAATTTCAGATAATTGTATCTATTTCTTACGCATAAACTCCTCACAATAATATATGCACAAAGATGCATGTCGCAAACACATATATAATAACACAATTTTTAAGCTTTCACAGTACACATACAAGATCATACGCAACTTTTATTCTGACAAATACTCATATGTGATGTTCTTACATGCTAATGCAAGATAAAACTTGTATAGAAATGCCACAATATAATTTATAGATACCTTTAAGTTATTGTGAATCTTTCCTAATTCTACATACTCATGAAGAAAAAGATCGCATGCACTTCTGTTAATCAGGAAGCAATTTTGCATTGGTTTGTGAAATTTTATTATTTTATATTTTTTGTATATATCATGTCGTATTAATGTAAAGCCTGTTTCATGTTTGAAATTTTCTCAAAGTTGTCAACATTTATGTACATTTATCACTAGAAGTTATTGTACCATTATAATATGTAATAGTTTTGAATACAGTACTTATGTAAGTTGATGGCCCAATGATGCAATAGGTCGTCTTATCAAACAAATTATACATAACTGAATCTTATCTATGAAAAAAAAACTCTAGTGTATTCAAGCGTATTTGCTATAAGCATTTCGCCTTCTTTTTGAATGCATACGCGATATTAGGTCCGTCCTTATGAAAACTATCCCATGAAATATAATATCATTTCTTATATTTTTATATACATTATATATTCCAAGAATTCATCGATTGACACGTAATATAATTGCACTATTACATATCTTTTTCTAACAATTATCAACGAGTTGAAAGTGCAGAATATAACTTTAGTATAGGATTTAATAGCGAAAGAAAAATAACAAACAATAAACGATAAAAAAAGACTTTGAGTGCAAATCGCATGTCACTAAGATAGTTTACATTTTTTTTAAAGATTTTTTTTTCGTTTGTTTATTTTGGTGGCCTACGTCTACAGATACATAATCAATAAATTGAGTTGAGATCTTTGCTCATTTTGAAGTTTATTAATATGAAGATGTGTGTTTTTATCAGACATAAATGTTTTAATATCTCATCTAAAAGATAAATCTTAATTTTTTATTTGCACTCCAGATTTCAGGCAATTCTGCTGACATATCTTCCATCTAACCTCATGTCTCAATACAGACAGCATGTGTCGGTTTAATATTTAAGCTTGTTGTTGTTCTTGTTTTATCAGATGTGTTATTCAACCATACTAATCCAATATTCCTATGAATTCTAGAATTTCGATCGAGAGATTTACATGATATGATGAAGTCCATATTGTTAGACATTTTTATTCTCGATTGAAGTACAAACCGTAAAAGGATATTCTGCAAATTAGACGATAGAAGCTATTTTTACTATAGCACTACCGATATTTGTTACTTTTTTTAGCTCATGCTTTTTATATATAAAGATAGATTTAATGGTAGGCGATTATGAGAACTATTTTTATCAAACAAGATTTTTTTATATCTTTTGTTCTAGCGGCATTCTAAAACAATAGAAAAAAATAAAACATAAATTGCCACATTTTTTATGCTCGACTAAATATAAAGATAATTTTTCATACCTTGTCAATAATAAGCATTATAAACCCTTGAATACAACTGAATGAATACATTCTAAAACACGTTTGAATAAATTAATGCTGTAATATTAAACTATACTATTTGAAAACATTGTATATTATATCATAAAATGAAGAATTTTTCAAATTCAAACAAATCTGACAGATTGGAGAATAATGAATTTATTTTGCATTACATTATTCACAAAATATATTGATTAATTTACTAAAAAAGATGTTACAGAATTTTTAAATATTATATTGATAAGACATCATAATTTGTTCAAAGAATATTTTCTATCACTTATCTAAACACCATCTTTCGTCTAAAATATTCAAAAGTCAATCACTCTCATGAGTTGTATCTGTTAGTGAATTATGAGTAATCAATCGATTGTATTTTTTACTATAAGAACCCGAGAAAAAGGACGAAAAACAACATTATACTATTATTACGTGTGTGTATAGGAGAAATAAAAATAATTATTAATGATAATGTCTATTAATAGTATTGGACAGTGTACTCAATTATTATTTCTTGTTACTATATTGCTTACATGTATAGTTTTAGTCGCAGCCCAAGATTATTATCAAATATTGGGAGTGGAACGAAATGCAAGTGACAGAGAGATCAAACGACAATTTCATAAACTTGGTATGAAAATTACTTTTTCAAGAAAAAAAAGATTTTTTTCTTTTTGTAATTTCAATTATATCTACCTTTGAAGTATCATCCAGACAAAAATAACGATCCAAAAGCAGAAATTACTTTTCGTTCTTTTACTGAAGCATATAATGTTTTAAGTGATATCAATAAACGTCGTCTGTACGATGCTCAAGGTCATCGATCCTTCACATCATTTACAAGACAAGACGATGATATCTTTTCTAAGTTTGATTTTAATTTCAATGACATTTTCAAAGAACTCGATGAGTCTATTTTAAAATTCACACATACTTTTCAACAAGTACATGATCAACCATATCAGCAAACTCAAAAAAAAATTAACTTCAACTTCAATTCTCTATTTGGTAACAATGAAAAGACAAACAAAGAGTTTGACTTTAGTAATCTGTTCGACTTTAGTAAACTGTTTGACTTTAGTAGCTTCGACAGTGATAAGATGCAAGCATTTAAAACAAAATATTTTCAAACGAATAATCAAAAACACTGTAAAATGGTACCAAGAAAACAAGGAAACACAATAAAAATTGTAAAAGAATGCATTTGATGTGCCATTTAGTTATTTGTAATCAAGCTTGTGAGATTTGTTTTTCTTCATTTTTAAAATAAATATTTTTACGCATCTTCCAATAATGGAAAGTAAATTATTAATGCTGATGTATAGTCATAATATAGCTTCTATCTTCTCATACATAAATTCAAAAGCTTAAAAGATACACATACAGGTGTGGTTCTTTTTCACATGATATGTATATGCACACGTCAGAGAGTAAACTATCTTTGCGTTAACACCCACCCAAAACTTACGCACGTACACGTGTTATATAACCACATGAGAGAACATACAAATGTATTTAATTAAAATAAAATTGTCGCTTGAACATCCAATAAAATGCTAGAATGCTCAAAAATAAAATGACGCATATGTAACAATCATGCCTGAAAAAGTATGAACACGGAGTAGTCATTTCTTAATAAAAGTGTCGATAACAGCTACTTTTTTTTTTATAAAAAAAATCTTTTCACCATTCGACCATCTACTGACACTGGAAGCGTAACTAGAACTGAAGGATATAATAATCATTTTGTAAGGATGAGATATACACATGTACAGGAATACGTACAGTTATTGAAAATTTTGAGAAATGAACTGATTTTTGAGTGAATATAGTGTGATTATTCAATAGTAAATTATTTTTGTGCAATACGATCTAAAAGATGTGTTGAGGTGTATAGTTTAGAGATTTGGATTCGATCCCTTCTTCCCTCCCGACCCAGAATCCGTAGGATTGTTTCCGAACCTGGTTGGGTCTGGAATCAACCTCCTCTCCTTCCTCACAGACAGTGACAGATACTCTGAGAGTCCATTACAAAATATGAATGTCACTAGTCAGAGACCATCACAGACCGCGATTAATTAAATTTTGCAACTTATTATTCATGAAAAAAAATGAAAGAAATTTGTATTCAATCTATCAAAGATTCCTGAAGTAAAAATTTTGATACGAAAGATAATATCCAAGAAATTGAAATCAAGGGTCTGAATTCGTACGAATCGTTCATGAAGATGTTGATACTTTAGCTTCTCAAGGTGAATCACTCTATGGTTTTCTTCATTCAACATTTCAAGAATATTTTACTTGTTTGAGATTAATTGACATAGAAATTACGAAACAAGAGAGGGGGGAAAATCTTATGAATTTGGTCTATTGAACAAAGTTCAACTCATCGCTCAATGTGTACGGCATCATACAAATGATCTATGTTTTCAAGTATCTATTGCACTTGCTTTAAGTAAGATTAGTTCTTCTTGGTCTCAAAAAGATTTTGATAAGTTTTGGTACGAGTTTGATTCTCTTGTACCACTTAGTGCACAAATGGTAATTAGCTGTGATAATGATCTTGTTAATTATCCTTCTCATGATGTTCTATGCGATATTTAATAATTGCAGTTGGTCAACATACACGGTCAATCGTTCATCATTTTCTACTCAATCAAATAATAATGTCATGAAGAAAACTTTCACATGATATTCAAACCATATTGACTATTTATTATCTCATTGAAAGAAAACTTCATGAATTTGGAAATATTACATGGTTAAATTAACCATCGTGTTCAATTCTTCAATCCTTGTCAACCTTTGACAATGAAAATGATGAATATGCTATTGATCGACTATTAATAAAAATGGCTTTCTTCAATCATTGTTTATTACCTGTCAATTCAAATACTTTCAAAGGATTTCTTCTTGATATAGAAGTAAAATTGAATTTCATTTCTGTTATTCTGTTTCGTATATTTATCAGCTTATATGGTTGTTTGAGACGAGACGATCCTGATATTGTCTTCGATCGATTTCATATTTATCGAGAATCAACTGCACTAACACTAATTTTGATACATTATTTTCGAGAAATAATTTAAATAAGCAAAATAAAAATATAATGGTGATTACATAAGAATTTTTGAGATTATTATTGACACGAATATCAAACTATGATGAATCTTGTAAAACCGTTCATCTTTGTATTGTGATTATTTGCTTGTACGATATCGATTATGTTCAAGATAATCTGAATATCATTTCTAATTCCCTTTTGCGTATGAGTATCCATAGATTAAAATAGACATGTATTTTATTCTTCAGTATTTTATAATAAATGCTCAGTAGTTTTTGCTCAGTAAAAATTGTTTTTAGCATAGTAAGTATATTTGTGTGTGGGTATGAATGTAGGTGATGAAGAGATGACCCACACCCACACCCACACCCCCATACTCACATTTGCCCTTCTTGATTTTCAAGTGGATAGAATCAACTTAAAGTTAGTCGTGAGGAAAGAATTTGAAATGTCGAATACGTTCGATTTCATATTAAGCCTACAAGTAGAGTTCTATCATATTGCGATAGTCTTAAAACGCTGAGAATCATGATATATTGAATCATTGATTTTAGTAAGTATACAGATCGGATAAAGCAGCTAGAAACTACATAATATAAAATCATAAATGTCATCATAATAACTTTCAATAATGTCTCGCATACATCTTGTTCTGTCAGTGAATAGCCTCAGGGGATTCTTGATACTATCATTGTGTCTTTCTTTTCAAAAGGATTAATTAGAAGACAAACTACAAAATAATGTTTTAACGTCAATTTTCTTCGTCAAATTATATTTGATAAGACTTGTTTGCTTGCATTACTATTTATTAAAAAAATACTGTTGGTTTTCAAAAAGATTCAAGTAAATGCAATAGTCGTCTTTTAATTACAGAGGAGTCTGATAATTTAGAAAGGATAAACCTATTGAAGTTAATTCTTGCTTTTCATTAAATCTTTAATTATAAACAATGAGCTCCAGTTTTATATTAAAAACACAATTGCACTTTAGAAAATCATTTGAAAGCGTTGGACGGCTTATTCTTATCTATTAAGTATGTACGATCATCATTTCATTTTCTTAATCGTTAAGAAAGAAAAACATTTCAAGTTTATTTGAGTGCTGGATTTGTTCATGTATTTTTTGAAATGAATTTAACAAGATCATTCAATATCCAGTGTAACATATAAATGAAGTACGTTTTCTTCCAATTTAAGTATTCAAAAGAAAGATTGATTATCTATTGTCTGTTAAGATTTCACCTTGTAAATATCATGCTGAGATTAGTCTATAATTAGAAATATAATAGAAAAACATAGATTTTGAATAAAGAAATTTGACTAATGAAAGACCCCTCGAGAAGAGAGCGAACAAATTCATAATTCTTGAAAGAAATCGTACCGAAGCAATTCTAGTCATTTTTTCTCAAAATGAAACATTTTGTATCTCAATGAAATATTAATATAAATAAGGTAATTCAGTAAATAATCTTCTTTGTAATTATCAGAAAACGAATACTAACCAAATTTTGTATTAGACATTTTTTTACAACTATGCTATAATTTTTACGAGCTCTATTGCATAATAATTTTATATGTTCGTAGTCAATTCTCTAAAAACATTGTCGTCGTTTCTGCATATTTTGTGAGAGTTAGCGAAGAATATTGGTTATTACAATAAAAGTTATCAGCAGTAGTTTATCCAGTGTCAGGATCAAAGAAGCAACATTCTTCCATAGATTATGTTCGCCTGTCTCTCATGCCTCCGTCCTTAAATAAAATGCTAATCAGTAAAGAAGGCTCATGGGTAAATGTATTCGTAATGTTGTATATTCACCCCTATTCAGAGTCATCTTTCTTACCATCGTACTGTTTTTCGGATACTCTGGATGGATCTTGCTCTCTGGAATCTTTCAGAATGCCAAGCATGATATTGCCGATTAGAAAATATTCTTTTTTGAACTTCAAATTATATATTGCATTATCATCAAAGATTTTAATGATAGTAAGAAAAGGAAGATAATATTCTATTCTTTTTCTTATTTCTCAAAGCATTATAGTGTTGATGAAAAAAATTTTCTCACACATCTTCTTTGTCTGTATATTTATAAGACGCTAGTTGACCCAAGGGTATCGTATCAGTGTTACTATTAGCATTAATTAATACTTATTTTTAATGCGAAGATATAGTTATTGAAATTATTCCTAGTTCTTTGGTATTATTTGACATTCAAATTATTTAATGCAAAGGTGTTATACCACTAATTTAGCATCGTTTTTAATTCTAGCATATCTACTATATGTGGCTAGACTTTGAAGAGTTTAAAGTTAAAGTTTCCAATATCAACAATTATGTTCTGTTTTAAGAAAAACAATTTCTAATAACAGAAGATAATTACTCTATTATTGGAAACTTTTGAGCTTGTACTTTTCGAAATGTAATCGCATGTCATGCTAATTTAGTCTTAAGACTTTCATATTCAGTAGGTCTAATGCCAAAGCATGTAGATTAATTTCAGTAATTATGCTCAAAAAGATTAGCTTTTTTTAAAAGTACTAATACTACTTAGGGCAATCTAAAAGTAGTGTTGCCATGATCTTCATTCCATATAGAAAGCTTTAGGAAAATTTCTTTCTATACATTATAATAGAGAAAAGAACGCTGTATTTTTCTACGCTACTTGATCATATTTCAACTAATATCGTCATAATAAGCTTTGGATAAAATTTGTTTCACTATCGTATGTGTTAATAGCACTAGGATCTAATTAGTGGGTATTTTGTGAATAACTTCTGATCGAAATAAAATAGAGATCTGAGATTTTCATCGTTCGAAAGAGGAGATAAAGATGCGTTCAGAGATGCATTACATATTCCCCTAGTACATGGTCTGATGTTTGTCTAATCAGTTTTCTAAGTGCGGGGAAAATGATTTCTTATCAAAAAATAAAAAAGGAAAAAATTCTTTTATAGCAATTGTCAAAAAACTTAACACTTTTCGACTAGGATATATAGAACTTTTGAACGATTAATTCTATACCTCTGGATCTTGTACAATTTTGTAAATCCTCCATCGGCGGCTTCAATACATACCTGAAAATGGAGACTTTACTGAGAACATTTCACGAGTAGGTTTATTTTCAAAGAGGTTGATTGAAAATCTTTAAAAAAGTGATGTCAAAAAACACCTATAATATATGACTCGATGCATCTTCATTTTCTTCTTCGAGTGATGAAAATCGTAGTTCTCTATCTTATTTCTATCAAAAGTTAATTAAAAAATATCCACTAAATAGACACTAGTGTTATTAGCACATATAATAGTGAAACAAATTTTATTGAAAGTTTATTGTGATGATATTAGTTGAAATATGATCAACTAGCATAGAAAACTAGAGCATACTATTCGGAATTAAAAATGATAGCGACACTACTTTTAGCTTACCCTAAGGGATACGACTGTGAAATTAGATGCATCATTATACAGGTAGTAAAAAAATTGTTGAGAAAAGCAAAAGAAATAACATTATTTTTTCTCTCATTCAAACTTAATAAGCTCGCATTCGACCAATAAAATTAGATAAATAGAATTTTTGTCCTTCATGAATTATCATAAATTTTTAGTTCGTCCATTATTCAGAGAATAATGGAAAACAATTTAGTTCGTGATTTTATCATTCACTAAATGAAAAGCAACAACATATTATCTTAATACGCTTAGTTACATTATGACACATCCATTCATAATCATGTCTTTAGAAATAGTATTATGCGAGATTCTCAGCGGCATTCATGCGCAAGCTTGATTCATTGAATCAGTCTTTTTTTTTCTTTTTCAAACTAGCAGAAAATCAAGACATTATTCATATATCAACTAAACAAAGTGAAGTCAAACTTATTATCAAAGATTAACAACAATAGTGGTCTTAATCAAATGGCTTTCACTTTAGTACAGGCTCATGCTATGTGTATGATTTTATCTTTGATCACCTTTGGTTCTACAGGTATTTTTATGGCACGTTACGGACGTTCATTACGTTTTGGAACTCGCAGACAATTACTTGGCAAAGCTGTTTGGTTTCAAATACATCGATTTCTGCTTTCTATATCTTCTTTATTAATACTTTTAGGCTTTTTCCTAATTCTTGTTCGTGCTGGTGGTCAATGGGTGAATCTCCAAATTCATGGTCCACGTTTATTTGCTCATTCAATACTTGGTAGCATAATTGTATGCTGCGCTATGATACAAATATGGTTAGCATTATATCGTTGCAATCCTCGTAGTCGATTTCGTTTTATTTTTGATTGGAGTCATCGTATCACTGGTTTATTAGCTTTTAGTCTGTCAATTCCAACGATATTTCTTATCATATGTCTGATGCCAAACTATCGTACTGTTCTCATTGTAATTGTTTCACTTTGGGCTGCCTGGATAATCATCGTTGTCATAATTTGTGAAAAAATTGAATGTAAAAAACGAGTATCTCCGTTATCAACGTCAAACGATGTTCGACAAGATGATAGAAATCAGAACAATATTAATACAAATGCATTACCAGATACTGAAGCAGCTACGCAAACAAACGTCGGTAGTCAATATCATAATCAAATAAAATTACTTTTACTGATCATTCATATTCCTATTAGTATTACTCTTTCTGTTTTACTTATTGTATATATTTCTAAATAAACTTACTGTATATAAAAATATTCTTCAGATTCAAATTTCACTGAGAGTTTAAAAATTCTTACAGTTGGTTTCTTTTGTTTTACAGATCAACTAAATATAGAATAGTTAATTGATGTTGTACTATTCATAATATAAGCAAAACGTCTGTTCTATTAAAGCATTTTATCAAATTTGTTTTTTCATGTGAAATGCATTAGCAACATTTTCTAATGAAAAGAAAAAACATTGTAATAAAAAACAATAGACAAAAGTTGAAGATTTCCAGGGAAAACATACACATGTAATTAAAAACCTATTGAATGTGAAATCTCTTTAGAAAATTTTTCATGAAGACTTGCAATTGTGAAGTATTTTTTCATAAGAGAAAAATTCCTGAAAAATGATTAGTATATTCAATAATAATGTTATTTCATTCATGAAATACATCGATGCGTTTTTATAAAATATTAAGTTTGTTTTTATGAAACTTGACACAGTCGAAAACTATAATCAAGTTCGTTAAAGTATTTCAATATGTGAAATATATAACTAATTGCGGATGTTACATAGTAAAAATGAATGTAATACATGCATCTTTTTTTGTTAGAAAACAATGCTCAGGATATTATTTTGGAAAAAAATTTTGAATTTGATTGCAAGATCCACTGTGAATGAAAAAAAACCAAGAGAATATAATTTCTAGGTAGTCTCATGAAATATAACCCTATGTCATTTTATTAGAGCGCATTATGACCGTACCTTGCGCATATCACTGTTTGTCTTTCATTCAAAGATAATGAGTACGAAAATCCTTTTTTTTCAGCGTGAACAAATTAAAGAAAATTGAATCCAAAGTTTTTATTGTTAATTCTTTAGAAATTATTTTAATTATTTATTTTATTTTGATTGTTTTTTTGAAAAAATCAAAATTAAATAGCAGAAAATAACAAAACAATAGAAGTGTTTCAAGTATATTTTATTATACAATCAAATTAAAAGGATTTACATATACAGATTATTGTCGCTGAATGCGAGGATATATGAATGCTTTTATAGAGAAGTCATATCTGTGCATGCGAGACAATTTTAGAATAATAAAAGAAGCAAAGCATCCAGGATATTTCATAAAGTCTTCAGGTAAAATAAAATTAGTTTATATGCTATCAGAAAATAACCTCTAACCGAATATTTTCATATAAGCCTCTATTGTTCATATCAGTCTTTCAAATGATATATTCTTGAATAATATCTTCTTTTTTAATAATAAAATATTAATATGAGCTTTCAACAAAGTGTAGTAGGAAACAATAACTATTTATATTTTTCGACGCTCATAATGATTCACTGATTACATTTTCAGCAAAGCTATGTACTTTATAATCACATTGGAGTGAATAAAATATATGACAACATCACAGACAAAACTAAAAACAAAGAACAAAGATTGTGTTTTGAATTATTAATGAATTATTTAATAGTCAAGTTTTACTTCAAGAAGGTCATGGTAAATTTGGTGACGTATAGCCTGTTGAAAATGTATGCAAGATGTTAAAGAAAACCGTATAAGAAGAACGATTGACTAGCTTTTAATAGATAAAAACTAGATTGAATATAGAATGAGAAAAATAACTAATAATGATTGATAAAATTTCTAAGAAACTTAGGGAATTAATAAAAAGTGGTAGGCAACAAATGCATAATAATAAAATGATATTTTTGTGCAATCGGATAAATATACGAGTATTTTTCATGTTTTTAATAGAATATCATGTTGATCAATTGAGAAAAATTTCTCTTGACATTCTCATATTTATATTTGTATTATTAAAAGAGAAGACATTATCAAGTAAAATCTCATTTTTAAAGGTTGACAAAAGCACTTCATACTCATATTATAATAATTTCGTTAGAGTTTATTCTCTGTCTGGATATAAGCTAATTTTTTCATGCCTCAAGACTTATGAAATATCCCGTATGTAGTAAACATACAAGAATCTATTTTCAGATCTATAATTCAAATATAGATGCTCTACTTTACAAGGTGAACTGCTTCATCATTCAACTATTTACTGACATAAGAATGGCTAGAAACATTGAAGGATATAATGGTTATCAGATAACTTCGACGTATATGTAAACATGAATACTGATCACTATTGACCAGTTCAAAAAATTGAACACGATTTTCGAGCCAACATAGTATGTTGTATGCAGCAATGTTTGCATTACAAAATGATGGCATTATGCACGTCGACGTAGAATGACTTTGTTAATAGTTTCCGTAAATACAACTGTTTTTCATTGACATGTAGAATTTAGCAAAATTCTAGTCATCCAATAGGTCTACATTAATAACTCTTTAACATTTACATGAGAGGATATGTCTTGCATAAATACTCAAAAATGTTGCATACAATTATTTTGAAGCACACAAGTTATGCTTAAAAATTTTAAAAGTTATACTTCTATGCATGTTCTATTGTCTTATATTGATGCGCAACAATTACAAATAATTAAAATAGTTTACATGTTCATGCATGAGATACGATGGCTTGAAAAATATTTTGCAAGTAAATGTGAGTTGCAAGAAATTTTCTGCAAACACACACCTCGTTTAGGCTTTTACGTTTGACAAGAAATACTTTCAATATTGTGATAATTAACTAATGATGTAGCTAGCGGTAATGCATCTTTTGATGTAATTTTATTGGATAATGAAAAAGCTTTCGGTGTTTGTTGATGATTGCTTCATTTCACTATAATTAACAAATCAGAATAGATTAACTTATGGTTTTACAAACATACTTCTGGTGAAAGTCTGATTACAATCACCAAAAAGAATAGCAAACTTCGAGTTTATATGTATAATAGAACGGATTATATTATATCTAAGCTCTTTTAACTCATTTTCATAATTATCACTATTTATCTTATGGAGAGAAAATACTCTGAAAATAAATGGTAGGATTTATTTATTAGACAACATAACGAAGATTATAAAATAATAGTTGTTGGTTTTAACTGCGGATCACCTGCACGACGTGACAATGCAAATGTTTGAGGACCAACTGTTCGTCTTTGTCGTTGCCAATATGGAAATATTTTTTTAAAAGTTTTTTTAAGTTCAGGCATTGATCCAACACATACAAAAGGTAGAAAAAGATTGCCATAATATACAAAAAATTCTGCATATAACATAAAGTCGGCACCAAAATCTTCAGAAATACCACAAAGATAAATAAATTCCATTAACATCTTTGGTATGTATAAAACAAGATACAGAACTGAAATTGATAATAACTGAATCGTCATTCTTCGATGATTTCGCCAAAGAACTGGTCGACGCAGTCGATATTTTTGATAGAGAACACGTAAAAGAAGACCAATACAGCAGAAAATAATTATTATTGTAGGTATTATATCATTAACTATAACATCCCATGCAGCTACCAATGAAACTTCATAGTAACAAAGAGGATAACCACATACAAGTTGTGTATAATCAAATGTATTTTCACATGGTGGAACAATAATTGTAATAATATTGTAACAAATGCAATAGAGAAGAATAATCACTATTGGTAAATAGTGAAAGAAAATTAATTTATATTTAGTTGATACTAATTGATCATGAAAAATGAGAATATGCCGTTCAATTGTCGCCCACGCAAACAGAAGTGTTGTTGTGATATATAAAGCTTCATCAATAAAAATCCATGTAAGACAAAAGAAAAAATTTTGTGGCCAAACATTTCCTAAATGATAATAATTAAGAATCCATGGAATACTTGTTAGTTGAACAATTAAATTGATGAAAAGAAGAAGAACAATAACATGATTATGCAAAGCTTGACGTAATGTTCGATGGATAATAACATTATAGAAAATGAACAATGAACATATTAATGATGGAATATAAAAAATAAGAATAGTCCAAAAACGAGTTGGACGAGGTATGGTAATTTCAGAAGGTAATACTGATGTATCATCGTAAGAATTGTTTTTTTCACTTGTCATTTTTCTTAACAAATGTTAAACTCTCACGAAGAAGAAAAACACGCTTAAACTATATCTGAAATGAAAATAAAAGAAAAAAATAAGTACTTTTAATAATTATATGTTCATTTTTCTATTTCAGCATAGGACATTTGATAGAATCTTAAGCATTATATGCATCGTTTTATGTAAGAAAGAACATTTTAAATCAGTTACTAATGTATTTATATTCATTAGAAAACATAAAAAATTTTATTCTGAAAATAAAAATAATTTCAAGAAATGACATTACCATTGACATTCTTATTCACTGTTGTCCACTACAGATTTATTCAACGTAAATTTAGTAGGCGAAACTCATTAGCAAAATCTTTGCGACATTAAAATGTCAAACGCAATAAAGCTGTTCATGCTAATTACAGAGATATTATTTTCTTCTATATATTTTGGAATATATTTCTTTACCAACCACCTACTTAATCCTCCAGAAATGCCAAAAGCAAATAATTCATATATTATAACAAGACATTATTCATATACTGTCTTTGACCAAATGTCAACAAGATCTGTCAGGATCTGTGGAGACGCGAAGGAAGAAGCAAACTTCTACACAATGCAATATACTTCAACATTTCTTTTAGATCGCATTTCACGAAACTGAAACCTTAGATATGGCCAAATAAAAAAGATACAAAAATTGCTACTGAATTATATATGTAAAATATGAAAGTATCATCTCATTCAACGTAACGGGTGACACATAATGAACGGGTCAAAATGTTTTTCTCTTGCAAGAGCACTTCCCAATGTATTGAAGACTTCATTTTGGCTTTGTTCGATAGAGAATCTCCTTCTCTACAAATCTGCTATGCTCAATCGTCTAACTGCAATTTCCGATTTATTCCAGGTATGTGCCGATTTGTGTAAACATTTCCTCTTCAGGATTGATGCTAAAAGTAAAGCATCGGGCATCAATGGATAGGAAATTATGTACTCTCTGTTTTCACAACTTATTCAAGGTTTTTGCTGCTGTTATTCGGAATATAAAGGCTTTGAACCAACACCTACTATTATTCTGAGACGCATTGTTGAAGAGCCATGTTTTTTAAAGCGAAGCTTGTTCTGCGACACATGTATTCTCATGTTGCTGCATGTAAAACTTAATTCTGAATAGAATAGTGTGATAATTAAACTGAAGAGTAGAAACATTAGGTTGTATCGAATTAAACAAGACCAACGATGTAATTCTGCCAGAAAAGGCTTTTCTTCATATCTTTCACTTCAAAAATTTGTCTCGCATATATTTATTCTAGAATTCTGACACATATATCAAAGGATACAAAATTTTCTATAGAACTTTGAAGCATATTTAAAATTTCAGCGAAATCTTTATGAAATATTTTTCATCATGTTTTTGTTTTTTGACTGTCGCAGTCACACGATTGAATAGATAATCACTTTTTAGATTTTCAGCTGACAAAAAAAAAATTAGTCGAAAAACAAGCACAGTAAAGTTGTAAATCAAGAGATTCTCTATTGAATAGTCTTAAAACGAAATCTTTCATGAATTAGGAAGTGCTCGAAAAAGAAGAAAAATACTTTGTTCCGTTTATAATGCACCACCCCTTATGGAAAACATACGTATCATATCGAGATTTTCAAACATATGAAGACTCTTCGCATGAAATAGAGATAGGAAGTTACACAGTAGTTTTCTTCCAATTATTGAATGTATCAGATAGTTAATAATGAAATCATTGAATATATTCATTAATGTCCATTGAATGAATTATTCTGTGCATATTTCCGTGATTATTCTTTTCAGTGGTAATTTTAATCAAGTCAAGTTTCTTTAGATTATAAGAACAAAGATACATTTTTTTTTTCAACATTTACTTTTAAGCTCATTGTACTTAAAAATGCTTTCAAATAAAACACATATTGTATAAACTCTTGAATATGTGCTAATTATAATTGAGTTCTTAAACAGTAAGATCTAAAAAAGTAATTATGTAGTATGAGTGTTTTTGAAAGTGACATGCAGTCAAATTAATGGTAAACAAGTGGGATGACATTTTCATTTCTGTTATGAAAATGAAAAACAAATATAGATTTTTTTTTGCTGTTGTTGCTTTGATTTTTATAATTGTTTGATTGCCTGTATAAATATATAAGTATATTATCAAATCAGATATAAAAACCTTTTCAATGCAGTTCAACAAGGTCTAAAATGTGAATTCATATTCTTCATATAAGCTAAGACATAATTTAGTAAAGATATATATATAATTTCTAGTAAAAAGATAATTTGAGGACTGAAGCAACTCAAAAACAAATAGTATTAAATGATAATTAAACTTTTCTTGTTCTGGTCAATGCTGATCAACATAACAATCATTTCTATGATGTTCCTATTCTTTATGCGAAAGAATTTTATTCATTTGATCTAACTCACAATATTTTTATACGAAATATATTATAAAAAAAAATGACTAAATTTATTCTTTATGAACTGATTATGCAGGTGATGATATTAAATCAAATAGAGAACTACATCCTATAGATTTTCATCAAAGTATTGTTTATGGTAGACAGATTCGCTGTCGTTTGACAATATTTTGATTGGTATTACATTTCGTATAAAACACGTAAGATATTTTTTACTACTAAAGAAATATTTATTTCCATTTTACGGATAGAGAAAAAAAAATTGTTCTGGAAATGAAAGCATTTTTCGGTCGTTTCTTCATCAAACTTATGTTCAAGGAAAAAGAAGTCTTGCGTATAATTATCTTTGTAAGGAAGTAAATAATTTGTTTTCTTGTCTTTATTCGCTGTTTTCTTCAGTGTTTGCTTCATAAAGACATGAAGCGAAGCGGGACACCTTTCTAGATTCAATGAAATTCAAATCAATATCGTTGTATTCATTTCTTCGAAGATTATCATTTTTATCTCCAGTTGCATTTTGAATCAGAAGTGAATAAATAACATCTTTCAATGGACCAGCATAATAATATTCACATTTAGCCAAAAAATTATCTTGCTCTTCAATTAGCCATAGATCTTCATTTGAACTCGGATCTAATATAAGATTATTCAATGCTGTTTGAACTTGTTTAGATGGTATAAGAAATGATTGAGAAAGATGAAGAAGTATTTTAGCTGTAACATATCGAATAGTCATTGATTTGGATTTTAAATTAGAAAATAAAAGATTTAGAACAGTACTTTCATCTTTAATAGAATGAATATGTACAATACATTTATAACAAGTATTTTGAATATATGGATCATCACGTACAGCTTCGATGAACATCTCACATAAGTTGACTGTTAAGTCGCCAAATAATGATAGAATTATTAAGCAAGCAGCACGTTGTGGAAAATTATGTTGTTTACTGGTATAAAACAATGCGCGTTTCAAATTATTTCCATCGGGCCAATCGTTGACAAAAGCACAAAATACTATCGGCATTCGCAAAGCAATTAAATGAGCGATTTTCACATATTGAGGATATCCATAAGCTAAATCAAAATCTATGTTTTCCATCGGTAATACTTTAGTAGTAAAGTGACGAATGCTATTGTATAAGTCGACGATAAATATTGACAAAAGAATAGGATGTTCTTCAATAAAATTTGCGACAGTATTTTCACTGTTTTGTTGAACATCGTAAAGATATAGACATGCAGTCGATCCAATCAATGCATGATAACATTGAATATAATCAAAGCTAAGCATTTCAAGTAGAAATGATGTATCTTTCAAAACACGACCAAATCCAGTACAAGCGGCTTTTGAAATATCCGACGAATGATGTTGTAGCAAAGTACAAAATAAATCCAAATCATCTTGATCAAATGTGATTTTATTTATATATACACAATAGGAATAACTTGAAATCAATGCACTCAAAATAGTATTAGAATAGGTAGAAGTCTCTTGACATAAGCTATTCATCACTAATATAATTTTTTCAAACAAGCTTTTATATGTTTGTTCATTACATACATATCCAAGAGCATATGCTACTGCTTGACGAATTTCATTGTTTTCGGATATTTCGAATAAATTCATAAGAGCAGCAACTGCTACTTGGCGTGTTTCATCAGTATTGTTCAATAAATTGTGTAAAGTTAAAATTACAGAAACAACAAATCGAACATGACTTTCACAAACTTGATTTGATGTTGTATCTCCATCGATTTCCCAAAATGAAAATAAATTTGATGCAATCATATCACACAAATATATTATCAGGTCATCAGACAATCGAGACACATTAATAAAGGAGCATGCATCTATCGCTATGTCATTTGAAAGAAACGAAGTTATATAAGTATTTCTTCTCGATTTTGATTCGTTAAAAGAATATTCCTTATTATTCAATGCATGAATTCTATATCTTTCTAGCCAAAGTAATGTTTCTAGATGAGATTGAATATCTAGAGTTATATTTCCGAGCATTCGATTTAATGTAAGTTTGGCAGATGCTGAAGTTAATTGATAGTGAACTTTTTTCTTTATCAAAGTTAATAAAACATCAATACCCAATTTCGAACTTGCCCGAACATTGTTGTCACTTACTGAGTGAAACATAATTTCAGCTCTCTGACGAAAACGATCATTGTCACTGCATAAAAGATTACATACAATTGTTGTAGCTTCGACAGACCATAGATCAGAATTAATTAGAAGAAGTGCAGCATGATAAGCAAATGAAGATAATTCATTTGAATCTTTCCATTTCAGCCAAGATTCTAACAGACGACATGCTTTAAATTCTACCCAATTCATATGATGAAGAGCATTGTTTAAAATAATCCAAAGTTTGTCTAACGATTTAGATCGATCTGTTGACGAAGCACATGAAAGTATCTTAGTTATTGTTAATGCTTGTGCTTCTGTCAAGATACAATTTTCGAATTGAAATAACTTGGTTGTAATCGATTCTTCAATAATAAATTGACGATTGTCAATTTTAATAGTTTCATAAAAATCATGAACTAATTCCATAAGATACAAATTAGAAATAAATAATGACAACGATAAATTTTCATGTGGATCAATATTAAAATATTTCTTTAGTAAAGAAGATTTATTATATATTGTTTTGTTTTGATCTTGTAAATTAAATGAAAAACAATTTGTAATAGATGAAAAAGTATAATTTAATTGCATGTATGGTAACAGTGCTTCAATGACTGCTTGTTGATCTCGTAGATCTGTAGTAGCAAATTTATCAAAGAGATTTTGTAAACAATTATCAATTGCTTGTGACTGGTGAAGTAAAGGTAAACATCGAATAAAAATAGCTGTTTGTAATAGAAGAGGTAGATTTGGATAAATTTCATTGAACTGTTGCTCAATTTCTTTTTCTAGAGATCTATCTCTATCTACTTTAATTCGATCATAATCGGAATAAGAATACAAAGCAATTATACATAATGCATCCAGGCGAGCAAGTTTGTTCTGAATTGACATAGCTCCATGTATACTTTGTTCTAATAAAGATAATTTTCTTTCATCTTCAGTCCAATGACAAACATGTGCCAAAGAGATTGATGCAGAATAAAGTTTTATGTTGGCTTGATCATTTTCAATTGAAGCATTTTGAAGCCTTTCATATTCTTGTTCAATATTATCTTGGATTACTGTTTGCCGTTGTTCATCTATTAGATCAGTTCCAACAAAAGGATTTTCATCTGTATCTGTATCTGTATATTGACCAGTTTCATAATTCATTGAACATTGTTTTTTTATTTCAAACGTGCCCAAAGCTTCAGAATCTTTTATAGATAACGTCCACAGAAGACTACTACCAAAATTTTCTAATTGTTGCATTCGAAGCCAAGGTAGCAGAGTAATTAAAGCACCACTAATAGACAGTCTCTTACACGATGCATTTGATAAAAACATCAAACATTCAATTAAAATATGACCAAAATAAAGATGTTGTCTATTATTGACCATGGAATCTTTTGGATTGATCATAACAAAATTTCCTTTCAATAATCGAACATAAAGATTTCGTAGATGTAAAGGAACAAATGTTAACGGAAACAAAAGATCTTCATCGCTGCGAAAATACAAATATTCTGGTATTTTATTCATAGCAACTGCCATTCTGTATTGTGTATTGAACTCATCATTATGTTCTAATAGCCAGAAAAGTTTGGTGAAATGATGCAATATCGAGCAAGATTTTTGATCAGTATAAAATTGTACATCTGTTGATAAAAGACCATTGAGAAATTTATCCTCGTTTCGAAGAGAATTAGGCAAGGTTAATGTTACTCGCCTATCAGGGCTTGATTCTCCTTCCAACAAAATTGATGTTGAAGAAGATCGTAAGCGAGCTACACTACTTCTTAGAGAATCTAACCAATTCAAAAAATGTATTCTTGCTGATTCAACATACTGAAATTTTTCGATAGTAGTTGAAATAAATTTTGTTGTTTCATTTTCGATAAATTGATCATTTTCATCAGCAGCAAAATAAAATTGACGTAAAATCATTGAAATATATTTTAATCTATTCATACTCATATGTAATAGAGAACTAGAGATAGTTTTCAAATTTTCTTGTACATATTCAATGTTGTAGAAGCAGATAGTTGCAAGGCACAAATCAACTGCTTCCGAAGATTCATCATGATTTTCCATTCGCATCACGAAAGATTTTATACATTCTTGTTTTAATTTTTTTAAACCTTGATCTTGTTTATCATGATCTTTTCTAGAAAGAAAACGTATTAAAATTGGTGTTACAGCAGTTGATTCTCGATGAATATGTAATGGGTCGAAGACAACAGTTTGACCATCTCGTTTTAAACCACCATATAAAGTAATGATTAAAGGAAAGAGGACCATAGGAATTGAAGTCATATCAATGTTTTTATCAAGTAAGAACCCTTTGAAAGTAGTTGGATTGGAAGGTAGTAATTGATGATTTGAGAAAGTAATTTTAATTAATAGTCGATCGATAGCATATCCATTATTTTCATTATCAAGTATTGACAAAGATTGAAACATTGAGCAAGATGATTGATCGAGCCATTGAATATTTTCAAATTCATGAGGTTTTCCTTCGAGAAGATGACAAAGAGCTGTTATAGTTTGAATATCATATTGAGAAGATTGAGATAATAATTTGTTAATCCATTGTGAAACAATCTCATGTGGAAATTTTCTCAATGTGTTTGTAATTTGATCGAATAGAAACGGGCAGACAATCGACCATTTATGTTGACCAGCTGCGATTATTAAACGATCTAAAGCATTGAACAAAATTTCATTTGAAGGATAATTAATAAAATCATGGACACAATTAATGAATATATAAGTTCCAAGTGGTAACAGAGAATTATCTTTGTCTTGTGTTTGCATATATTCATAGCAGAGATCGTTAAAATCATTTTGAGACCAAGAAGAACTAATTTTGCTGAAAGCAAGTACAATCGGTTCTCGAAATCGTAGATCATTTGTGTGACGACACAATGATTGAGCGATAAGTTGAATTTTGCTTTCTCGATCCAATTCATCAGTAGTGAATCTTCTTTGTCTTGGAGTATCTACCTCGATGAGTTTCAAACAAGTGAAGTATTCTTGAAATGATGAATGAAGAAAACCATAGAATGATTCACCTTGTGACGTTAATATACCAACATCATCACGAATGACTTGTGCCATTTCAGATGCTTGCCTTTCGATATCATACATGTCTTCTGTTGTTAGTAATGTTTTATTTATGGAAGCTTGGATCGTTTGAACACAGACTTCTTTTATTTCTTCATTGGCAATGAAATTCGATGCTGAATTTTGATGGATATGAAAAGCAATATCAGTAAGAATTCGATTTATTTGTGATGTATCAATAGTCGGTATTTTACTATGCCATAAACGTAACACTGATTTGACAATTAATTCATATAGAAGTATGCGTTGAGTAGGTAGAGATGAACCATTTAATTGACTAAAATATATAGTGCAAATAGATGATAGTAAGCCAGGATTCGAAGCCATATCAAGAAGACCAACATTTTTAGTTTTTTCTAATTCTTTCTTCAGTGCTTCACTATGATTCTCTCCTTGATTAACTAATGGAAGACCTAAAATCTCAATTACACGTTGATATAAACGAATAAACCAATAATCAATAAAATCTTTAATATTTTCCACATTCATAGGTTGAATTATGTAATGAGCAAATTGTCCCGCTAATGGAGCAGCATGATAACTGACTATACGACTTGTAACAATCAATTGATTACCTCCTAATTGAGATGGATCATCAAATAACTTACTCACATATACATTGTCAAAGACAGAAACACCTGTGGGTATCTGAACATAAGTATCAACAAAATTTTCCACAATATTAATGATTTTTGAACGTTGGTCTGAAACAGGAATCTCATCAAGACCATCAAGTATGATTAGAGCTTGACCTTGTTTAATATAATCTTGAAGAGCACATGATATATTATCAGAGGAGATCAATGAATCATCAACAATTGATTTGCCCATCCATTTGTGTTTTCCGATATAATCAAATAGAGTGATTGATGGTTGTTCTTTCAATATTTCAGCAAACTCACCAATACGAATCATAATTGGTATACGAAGAGGACCATACTCAGTGGAATCTGGTCCGTTGAGAAGCAATGTTTGAGCCAGATGATGAACAAGCCATCGAGCAAAACTTGTTTTTCCACTTCCTGGATCACCCAAAATAACAATCCAACGTTTTGATCTAATAATATTTTCCACAGTGGCATTGTCTTCTTTCGGAGAGCGATTTTTTGCCACCATCGACATCATGTAAGGAGTTGACATTAGTTGTTCCCATATTCTTTTAGATGATTCTTTTTTACTGTGAGTACTGTTTAACATATTTCCTTCATGTTCCATAAGCAATTGTCGTGATTCATTTCTTTCGAATGATGTAGATTTATCAGGTTTGAGTTGAATGAATGTACGTGTGAGAGGAAGTTTACATGATCGCCATTTATGTTCTAATGTCATTCGTTCTTTGTAAGAGATTTGATAGGAATTATGAATCACTTTGGCAATAATATCGCCAGTGAGACCAGCAGGATTTTCACTTTTATGTAATTCAATACAAGTGTGAAGATAGGATTCAATCGTTTTGAGATATTTTTCACGTAAGACATGAAGTTGTTCTATAATGTTTTTTTTGGTAGATTGTTCAATAGCTTCTAATCTTTGCCTCATCGTCTCATCATAAGATCCTTGAAGAAGCAGTTGCTGTTCTTGACAAGCATTGCTAAGTATTTGGACTCTGATTTCATAATCATCTGTTATATTAGCTTCATGTTGAGCTAGTCGAAAATGAAGGCGAAGCAGTACAGATTCGAGATCTCGATAAGTCATTCCATTAAGATAATTTTCATTTTCGCTACAACCAGTAACAACTTCGTCGATAGCTTTTAGTATTTGTGCAAGATCTTCTTGTGAATGACTTTCATCTAATGGTGTTACGAGATCATTGAGCCCACGTCGAAGACGAGTTAAACTAATGGTTATCAGTTTCAAATGATCTTGACACACTTTCACTTCATTCACTCGTCGAATAATATTATCTATTGCTGTTAATATCGATGCAACGGTTGCCATTTAAATTTTTCTAATATTTACTCCTATAAGTATAGAGAAAACTACGAAAAATATCAGAAATACTTCATATAAAAATAGTTATTTCCATAGAACATATAGAAAACAAATTGTGTTTTAACTGTACTCATAGAAATGAATACCGATCACGATTATAATTTAACCAAGACTGAAATCAGTGATCATATTGAATATAGATCAAGTACACAAGCTTGAATCCACGGCAATACTATATTAATATAATCTCAAACGAATAGATTAATTGCCCTAATTGAGTTCAATAGAAACTTACTCAATCACAGTGCTTATAAATATTTACCTACTATTATATATTAATTTCAATTTTGAAGTCTAACTACACGAAAGTTGTTATTGTTTGATTTGAATTGGTTATCGTATATACATATGAATTCGTTCAAATTTAAACAAAACTTTCACCTTCTGGTACAGAAATAAAAATAATAATAAATCATGATTCAATTGCAAGATTTGTTTGATCATTCAACCTGGATAAAATAGATTTTCTGAGAAAATATCACGAACCAGTTTCATTTACTAAGTTATCACTAGATCTGCTTTTATTTAGACCACATATGTTTATAGAAGAATTATTTAAAAAATGGAAAATAGCTGTTTAGTAATCGACAAAATCGAAATTAAAATCAAAGATGAAATAAGTGTTGTGTCCTTTCGAACATTTGTTACTGCATCATGCTCTATGCAACAAACAACAAAAAAATGGAGAACTTTGTTTATAATGATAATCTTTCTTCTTATCTTTGTATGAAGAATAAATTGATATGAAGACAATAGAAAGAAAAATTACTTTATTTTTTTTTACCGCAACAATGTCAAATATGACGACGAGATTTTTTTCTTCTTGTAAACATTACACCTCATCGTTTTCAAAACACATGTTATTTCAAAGAAAGAATTCGAGAATTTTTTTGAATATAGTGACTAAAATACAAGCAATTTTTACGAAACATTCAGAAGAATTTTTGAATGATCAGAATGAACTTTTTTTGTTCAACAGTCAAGATTGGTGACGTAAACGTGCAATAAAAACATACATTATTTTTTTTTCATGATAATCAAGATTTATCAGAAGTTTTTATAATCAGAGTAGTTTATACATCATATATATATGATAAATTGATGAAAAGAATTCAAGGGTAAATAAAGTTTATTCGTATTTATTTGTGCTTTGTTCAAAACCATGAATAAAAATTCTGTTGTCTGAGATAATACTATTCAAAAGAGATGAGTGTGTCCGTCAAAATTTACTTATTTACTTTGAAAAAATAAGATAATGATCTCAATTTATCTTAGAAATGTAAATTCTGAAATTTCTAGGATATTCATGGAAAAATTAGCTTTTTCCACTTTTATAACACCAAATTTAGATGAAAGTATACAGTTCAAAAGAGCATCCTAAATTATATTGGATATTTTTCAAAATTGTTTTTAATTAGTTTTGATACAGTGATGCTCCGAAGCAACCAATATTGGGGGAAGGAGAGCGTGTTCCTTTTTTTTCTTTCTTCAAAGAAAGAATACCTTTTTTTTTGACAGAACGAGAAAAAAAATGTTTCAGTTCTCCTAGGAAGTAACAAAAATTTTCCAAGTTTCGTGGGTGTTACATCCCGACACTGTGTTCGAGCTAACATTGTATTACTGAATGTTTCTGTTGTAATAAAAACAGTAAATTTTATTCTTAAAGTCCTTTCTGTTTAATTTTAAGACTCTAATTATTTTAGTCATTGAGTTAGAGAGAACACATGGTACAATTTAATATTATCAAACACAAAAACTCAACATGAATTTAATGACTTTTTCGAAGAGGTGAATAATATTCAATAACAACAACAGTGAATTTGTGCTAGCAATAAACAACCTCTCTCAGACTGCTTTTGGATGTCTATTTTGACGTTGTTAATATGCACTTTTCTATTGCGAATTTTTCGATCTATGAAACTTTATGATAACGATAAATTTGAGAGCTTCAAAATTGAACACAATGAGCTCTGAGAATAAAATTAATCGATTTTAATATAAAAGAAAAAATCACTTAACCCAACTACCAAATAATTTATTTCATGTGTTTTATGGCGCTCTTTTCAAATCTAACTTTTATCTTAAGTTTGTGTTACAAAACTGGGAAGAAACTTGAAAATCTCAGAAGTTCAGGCTTTTACGTTTTCAAAATTGTGAGACTCTCGATCAAGAATATGTCTTTATTTTCAATTTTTCTTAATTATATAGGCTAAAAAGTAAATAAACTAGGAATTTCCCCCTACTCAAAAATAAGAGCATTCATGTCAAAGCCTACCTTATCGTGGCTTTCTGATCTATGAACTAAGTTTATTTGTACAGCTGTCACTATGGTTTGTTTTTATCAAGAAATAAAAATGTATAATAAATAACAAATGCATATATAGTAATATTAATAATAATTATAGTTTTTATTATAATTATAATAAAGTTAAAACATTAAAGAGGATGAAAAAACTGATTGATGACGGAAGTAGAAAAGTTAACGTCACAGCGTGACATCTGTTGATGAAAACAATATATGATACCTTAATTAATGTTACTATCATACTTTCTAAGTAAATTATTATAGTTTGACAGTCACACTCTTCTCTTGCGGATAGTATTATTCTTAATGAAAGAATTGTTTCTGATTGTTTTGAACAAAACACGATTAATGCGAACACATTTTCATTTATTCTTGAACTTTTTTCCAACAACATTAACATGACATGAATGAGGGTGTTTTCTTCACTTACTTTTTCCAATATTGAAACTGGTGAGTCTGCTTGAAACTTTGTTGCACAGAGAGAGACCACTAGTCAACAAAGTTTTATTCCACAAATAGATTGTATTTGAAGGTTCTATGTCTGAAAAAAGCAACATTAAATTTGTTTCCCTCGATGTTTCGATTTTTCACTTGCTTGCTGTGTCACAGGTTTGAGAAATAAGTACGCTTTTAGACACAATATATAACAATTACTTTATTTTTGTTCTGTCAATGCTGCGCACTGCATGCGTATTTTTTGAATACTTATCGTCAACGCAAATAGAATTCAAGTATGATGTGTGGTGAATGATAAATATTTACTTCTAGTTTTTTTCTTACTAAGTTGGAAAAAACCTTTTGTGGCTTCTTGTTGTATTGACATTGTAAATAAGAGAACGCTTGCAGTTATTTCATTGTCGTACGCTGCAATAAGACAGTGAATATGGAAACCGAAATCAGGAGCACAGACACTTAAGCATGCGGATAATAAGCAACAGAAAGTTATGCAAGCAAAAGGTCAAGGTAATTGTGAAATCTGTTAAAAGATCCATAAATAACTATTACAGTTAACAAAAAAATTATATTAGCAAAAATAATTACAAGACAATATTGTCTGCCATTGAATAGATTTCAGTTAGACAAGGAAATAAAATTTCTTATACGTTTTCTGAAATTTTTATTTCTTTTTTCTTGTTTTCTAATGAATGATTAAACAACATTTATTTGTAATATATGGGTTGATGTGTGGATGTTAGTGAAGGTAGAGATGTTGGAATGTGGGTACGGATCTGAATCTTCTCTTCGCTTTCATCCTCCTCCCATAATCTGCCATTTTAATTGACATCATGTTTACGGCTTGATTTTTCGTGTTCAAGTTCTCCACGCTGAACGCTCTCGTACTGAACTTTTCTCTTGTTTATGATTTCCGTGCTCATCGTTCATTAATTCAGAGAATATGACTCGCTAGTTGCTTGTTGATCACTACAAAATCTCAACAAAATGAAAGATAATTCAAACAGATTTCTTACTTGTGAAAGGAAAATATCATAAGATTTTCTTCTTGACTATTAGTCTATCAACGTTGCAATAAACAAATGATGCCAAAATACTTAGCTGAAGATCGATAATGATAAATTTTTATTACCTGATGTCTGTTTTCGATGATAATGATTTATTGAATTTTATATTATTGTCTGTGAAACTCTGTAGAAAACATTAAGCAAATGTTCAAATTCAATTATAAATAATTTAAAAGGTGTCTCAAACGAAAAACGTCCGAACAATCCAGAAACGGTACTATTTTGAGTATCTGAATATTTAAAGTGTTTACTTGGGTTCTTTTTTGACTTGAATTCATGGTATTTTTCTTTTGACATAGCACTAGTATAAGATTTCAAGTGCTGGGGTGTAGGTGTGGATGTGGTTTTTGACTTTTTCTTCACTCACTCTGGAAGTCGTGTAGAACCTATATCTCGTTAATCTAAACAAGAAATTGATGATATAGATATGGGATTGAAGCATCATCATCAATGAGCCATGAACTTTACATCTAAATTATATTCCAAGCAATTCAAATCTTTCAAACATGATTTTGCTATCTTGGTATACACCCATTTCGAAAATCGAACATGTAAAAAAGCCTCAAAAGTCTTGAACAAAACTGAAATCGTAACAATACGCGATTTTTTTCGATTTCATTTTCGTTAACATGATGACGCGATTTTGCGAGTTTTTATTATTCTTTATCTAATTCGGAAAAATGTTGAAGAAGAGAAACTCGAACGTTCAGTTGAAGATAGTCGATAATATATCGAAAACACGAATGTGAGCATTTTGATTTTAAGTATTACATATGTCTAGCAAGTATAAACAAACATTTGATTATATCTGAATAAGAAAAACCAAGTACTCTTTTTCGCATATATATACACACACCTTCAACCTTACTGTCATTCTTACACCTTTAGGATAAGTAGATTCTGACGAAATTCAGACAGTCACATCGAAGTAGGTAAACACATGTGATAAGGTTTGTAATGAAGTAGTCTATTTCTGAGATTGATTGCCAGTTTCTATAGCGTCATCTATGCCTTTGTTCGACAAGAATGGGATTTACCAGTTGATGCCATTCTCTTACACTTCTACTAACTTTGTGAATACTTTAAAAAATTGTTTACAAGTAAGAGGTTAATCTTATGTTTCTTGTAACAGGAAACTGTTGGTGTGGCACAAAACGAATGAGTGATTGACTTGTCTATTGCTTGGTTGTCAACCAAAAATCACCTCAGAAGAAACAAATATCTTTGGGCACTTGTGACTCATCATCCACAGTTTTGCATGACTACCTAAACATAAGCGAAATAAAAATGGCTACTATTTAAATGCTAAGTAATTATAGATAAAAGCTAAGTAAAAAATTAAATTTTTGCTAGGTAATTTATTGAAAAAAATTTTAAGTAAAAAAAGTATTTTTGTTAAGTCTTTTATTTAAATTCTAAGTAAAATAATTCGATTTTCTTAGTAAAATATTGTAAATCTCTAAGTAAATATACAATTTTTATTAAGTGCAATGACATGAATATCTAAGTAAAAAAATTAATTGTACAGTTATTGTATCAATAGAGCTTTTGTTGTTTTTCGTGGTCGTTTTCGTTTTCTTTTTTTTTGATTGAAAGGTATATCCTTTGCTGATAGAGATGTTTTACAAAACTTCAACCTAATAGCTATGCCTAAAATATTTTTACAAATATATTCTTTGAAGAAGCTCGGACAATCGCGAAGTCGGTTTTTTTCATTCCGACGCGTTGCTGTAGTTTAGTTTTTCAATTCAACATAAACTTTCAATGACAGATCAGTAGAAGTATATAAGAAAACCAGGGGAAGAGGGTATCAAAAAGTGCCAGACAGAACAGAAGTCTTGAGAAAGCAATACAAATCTATTGTTAAAGAAATAGCAAGAGAAAAACAAATAGGATTGTACTAGAGCATTTTCCAAGAAAACAGGCACCTACATCAGAACGAAAAAAATCTTTAAGTGATATGTATGTGTGTCAGCATCCAGTGTTAGATGCACTTCAATATTAGATCTGTCTAGGTCAATCGCGGGTGCTTACTTTGGACTGGTTCAACGTCGGATTGAGGAGTTTATTTTAATTAAAACTTCGGCTACTCTCAAGAGAGATGTTACATCGAAATTCTCGTTGATAAATGGCCTTGCAGTAATGATACTCTAGAAAATACAATAGCCAATATACAAATTTAAGTAACATTCGTGAACCTCTACGTAGATCTCTACAGAAGAACCATTTTCTTAGGAAAACTATCAATTAGAGTTGAAATTCGAACATAGGTTCTGGATTGATGATTTTAATATATGAAGTGCCATTGCTCCATCACAGTTCATTAAGGAAAATTTCAATCCAACATATATCTTGCGAGTGATGAAGGTTTTAACAAAAAAAATTTTCTCAATCCAACCATGGACTAATTCAATGTGAACATCCCAGATTGGAGTGAATTCGAAATTGAATCTTGACATATATATCACGATACCAGTCGAACGATGATAGAAGGAAAGCAAGAGAAAACAATATATACATTATAGTACTATAAAATATTTTTCTTATCTCCGATAGTCATACTTTGCATTTACTGAAAATTACTCAGTAATAATATAATAGTTTTTACTTAGCAATTAACTATTAAACTTAACAAATATTTTTTTTACTGACAAAGTTTTAATTAACTGAGCGTATATATATATATATACATATATATATTTGGTATGCTTCGTCTCAGGTTGAGATTATTCTCGAACAAAAACGAATAAATGCATTGCAAACGCTTGAAAGTTTTGTCTGAATGTTAAAAAAATCTCATGATGTAAGTAGGGTTACCATTTATTGTCGACACGTGAAACTTAACCGAGTAAAAAGCTCTTGAGAATTAAAGCAGACTTCAAACGTTATTTTCTTCTTGTTTTTCATTTAATATAATACTCTTCGATGTGTTTCTAGTTGCTCGTGATTTAAACCACAAGTTGTAGCAAGGAAAATTTTGCGGAAGCAACAATTATGAATTTTTTGCAGAGCAGTGAATCATTTTCTATAGTGCACATTACGCAAAATTGGTACAGATTTACTCTTCATTGATTTATATACAGTTTGACTGATTTTGAAGAGCTTGCTACAAATATATAGTTTTTCTTTGAATTATATCATCTCTTTCGTATGAAAAGGTCCAAGTTCCGTTAACATCTCAATCTTTTCCCTCATGCTGCGTCAAACGCTTAGTAGAAATATATTATTTTCTTAGATTTAAAATAAATACTCTAATAAAACGCTATCAATATATGTAGCTTTATAACATGTGTTTACAGGAATTCTTACAATCCTATCTGGTTTTTTTTTCTGACATAAGGTCAGACCAAATGTTTCATCTCATTTGAATCAGCTCGTTTCGAGCTAGGAAAAGTACAAATTTAGTTTTCTCAGATATTGTTTTATTCTTGAGAAAATTGAACATTTCCTCGTATATTAGAAGTACGAGGGTCACCAACGCTCTTACTTGTTGTAGTTTCTATTGCCAAACCTTACTTAGCAAACAAAATGTATACCATAATCAGAATCAGCATGAAGATCTACACCAAGCCATATATATTCCAAGAAACTCTGTATCAAATGAGAAATCGATCACCAAGGATCACGAACGAAATTTCAGGAGAAAAATCTTGAGCGACAATACAACTCCTTTTTCTATCAAAAACTAATTTTGCTAAAATATATGTGACCTAACGTAAATTTGCACGTTGATTTTGAATATGCTGTTTCGTTGGTTTCAACTGAGCTTTGGTACTAGGGTCGGCAAAAAGTAAGACCGTTGGGTACCCTTATACTACTAAAAAAAACGAAGAAATGATCAATTTTTTTAACAATAAAACAATATCTGAGAAAACTTAGTCGGTATTTTTTCTAGCTCGAAACAAGCTGGTTCAAATGAGATGAAACATTTGGTTTGACTTTATGTCAAAAAAAAAACTAGATAGGTTTTTAAGAACGCCTCTAGACATATGCAGGAAGTCTACATATATTGATAGTGTCTTTTTAAGGTCTTTATTTTAAATCTAAGAAAATAATATATTTCTACTAAGCTTTTGATGCTGTATGAAAAAAAAAAACTATTTTCAAAGAGTTTAGAAATAAGATTATTGAAACTTGAGAGTCTTTTTGAGAAAAGAGAAAGCAAGTTAATATCTGTAAAGCTTGTTTTTTTTCTCGGAAATCAGATAAGGGAATTCTATTTTCATGTTTGATGTTTAAAGTTCCTTTATCCATATTTCTATATTTGACATAACAAGCAAAATGTTCACTTGCATATTGTTTCAGATTTTGGCAAGAAGTGTCGCACATGTAAGTCAACGAATTGACATATTACATGTAAAAGTTTTTGTATCAAAACTATTACCATTACTATAATCATTATCTTGTCTTCATCGTGGATGGCTCACTTGACGAATTTTGCCGATGTTGATTCTATTACTTTTTCATCCCCTGTTGTCGTGTGGGTCGACAAAAAGGAAGCTTTTAAACATCACCTCGCTTCCACAATTAAGGCTCTTCAAAAACGAGTAACGTTAAAGATATTTACTGAAACTGATCCTGCTCTAGAAGCCATGTCTGCTGTAATCAGCTCTTGTCAAAATGGAAACAAAGAAACGGGAAAACAAAGAATAGCTTGTGTGATAACTAATATGCAGCGAGATCAACCCAGATCAGGATTAAGATTATTACAAATGATGAGGAATGTGTTCACAACAGATGTTCTGAATAATGAATTTTCTTCATTTCCACCCACCATAGTCTACAGCGCGAGTACTGCTAAAAATTCTTCACTAGCTGACGAATGCAAAGTTGCAGGTGCTATGTTAGTATTATCAAACAATGTTGATGAAGTTCATCGTATCATTATCGAAAGTGTTTTTCCTTCCATATCATTCAATTTTCTCTTTAATCCTCTATTACAGCAAACAACTTTATTATCGAATATTCCATCAGAATATTATCCTCTTTTTTCTTCTCATTGTTTAAATCCATTACCGGATAAATATGGCGGAAAATTAGCTGATATTCATGCACTTAAATTAGTCCTTTTGAAGTGGCGCTTACTATATGATGTATTGTTGCATGATACGCTGCAAGTATTTGAATCTTATTGTGCATCAAATAAACATTACATTAGTGGTGGTCTGGCAATAAATCATTGGTTAAACTTGCGCGGTTTTCCCTCTCTTCTTACAACTGATTGTGATTTTCGTTTCGAAAGCAAAACCAATATTGTAATGTATGCCAATCATATGAAATCCGTACTAAAAAAGTATACACAAATTGTTCGTGTAAACATAGCGCATCTAGGTTTGAAATGTGATGATCCCGAACTTAGTAGAGATAATTACGGACGTCGGGTTTATTTTCCACTTCGTTACTATAATTCATCATCGTCAGCATCAGAACTTTCATGTTATGAATTTATGTGGAAAGTATTTGACGTAAGTCACAATTGGCATGGTGATTCTATCGATATTATAAAAGAAAATGGATTATGTTATATTGGTGAGATGGAATTTTAAAGGAACTTGAAATCAATTATGGTTCACATAAGGAGGCCAGACGTCAATTAAGATTAAAGTTTATTAACTTTGTACTCCAATCAAAATAGTGCATGCTACATATAGACATAGGTTATAAACACTTCTACGAACACACAAAGTAATTGAAAAGTATATGTCAAACAGCCACTTATATGAAGAATCCAGAAATCGGTTTTTTATAAAGTTAATACTAATCAATATTGATTGTCTTTGATTCTGACTATTAGTTCATCGCAACTAACGAATATGGACTTAGTCTTTTATTCCTTTATAAGAAAATATTGTTTGTTTATTTTATTGGATAATTATCTCACTGAAAGTTTGTTCCAACCCATAAATTAATCTACTTTTATCTTATTTCCGAAGATGTTTCATATCATACTTTTTGTCCATCAGAAAACTGATTCTTTTTTGCAAACGTAGAAAAATATAGGTAAAACTATATATCTGAGTCTCCTTATTCACGAGAAATGAAGAGTAGAAATGATAAGAACAACGCGCTATTCCTATTATCAAATTAATCACTGTAGTTTTGGTTCCTGCGCCTCTATAAGAAAGTAGTTGCATGACCTCTTACTTGAACTCCCGAGAATGTGGTACAGATTAATAATCATGCCTACAAACTATATAGGTCTTTATTGAAGCATGACGATGTAGCATGAGTATAGTATTCAGCTTTTATCAATTTTGTACAGAAATTACGAAGAGCATAAGCTGAATTAAATGGATGATAACTTGTTTGATTTAGTAAGTGAGTTGATCGATTCTATTCTCATCTATTATTGCATATAATTAATCAATTAAGTATTGACAATAGTCATCTTTTTATTGAGAAAGCAACTTATGTTGAATTTTATTTTGTAAAGTCGAAACGATTTTTCGGCTCAATTAAGGAAGCTTTTGAAACTTGCTCGTGTTGCGGCATCGAAATATAAAAGTATCCATCTGTACTAATATATTAAAACCATTACTGCGGATAATTCATTCGCAACATACAATGAATTTCTTAAATCCTTTTTGAGTTACGTTCTGCTTAACAGCTTTTTTGGTCTAAAGCTATGAGATAGATATTCCTTTCATCACCGACACTTGACTCACTAGCACGTATCACACTTCTACTGATAATAATGTGCTGAAAAAGTTCAGTTTTGATCATTGTTTAATAGATTTCAGGTGTGTGTGGGTGTGGGTATGAGTTGTTACCAGAAGAGTTACATCCACAATCACGCCCACACTCTTATCTCACCAGTTCGATGAACTACCGCTTTGTAGTATGACATTTGATACATGGAGAATACTATTCGAACTCCATATGAGTTCATAAAGATTTATCGAATTTTATTTTGATCAAATGTATCAAAATGTAACATATCAATCCACTTTCTATAACTGAATATCTTTTTTTGATTACAAAATAATATGGAAAGATGGTCGCTCAAATTTTATGATGAAACATTCTTTCAGTGTAAATTTCGTTGAAGCCAATCACCACTTGGAATTCTTTTCCAATTCTCATTCAATAACTCTGGTTTTGCTGCATAAATGTAAGCGAATTTTGAATCACTTTCATTTTCGACAAACACTTCAACCATTTTTCTTTCATAATCATTACCTTTGGCTTCATCTGCTAATCGAATTTGTTGCTCAAATTGTTCTTCCGATGGCCAACTCAAAAGGCGAACAACAATTGAATCTTTTGGATCACCTTTGGATTAAAACCAAAACAAATAATAAAGTAATGTTCTTTTGTATTTATGTTAAATTACCTGTGAAAATTCCAAGACCATACTTAGTACTTGGATTGAAGAAGAGTCGAAATTATAAGACTTTACTCGTCATAGTCGGTTGAGTATCCTTGAAAGAGAAAAGACATTAAAGTGTTGATTGTAGAAAAATCTAGAGACATACTTTAACCGTGAAACGCCCACCTTTCGGACTACCACTTGTTGATCACCTGGAGTCCGTACGGATCTCAGCCTGATAAAATGGAAACAATACACTACATTGCCATTGTTTTGTAATAGAACTGTAATAGTTCTAAAGGAGAATTATGTCTAAGAAGAACAAACAGAACAGCAGTTAATTTGAATGGTATTTATTCAATCTTTTTTACATTGTTCTCGTCCCTAGCATGATTTCTTTTTTCTTACAACTGAAATTTTGGCAATATGCAATGTAGCTGGAAACTAATTGTTCCTGAAGTAACGGTCTATTTTCCGAGCATCGGTTTGATTCATTGTTGTTACCAGCGTACTCTACTAGGTGTCCCTAAAATGTCCATGGAAGGACAAGACTCTATCTCAGGCTACAATTATAAAACATTAAAAGGAATTTCACTGGGGTCCGGGTAGACCCCAGATGGGCAACAAGCGTTCACACGTACTTCGAGATAGTTTATCACGTAAACAATTAGTCATAACTAACGGCTGACGTCAGCGGCATATAGTACAAATCTTCACTAGAGCACATCTAGAGAGGCGGGATTTGGTCTAACGTTGTGTGTGAATAACACTTAAATGAAATTAGTTGGTGTGCAGGTGGACCCCAGGTGGGCGTATCAGAGCTAATACCGATTGTATTACCTATTTGATATCGAAATGGGGCATCGATGGGCTTAGTCAATTTTCGATCGCCACAGCTGCTCATGACCTATCGATACAAATTCAATCCTATCCAATAAATTATCGTAGACGGATCTCAATTTATGGTATATCCCATGGAACACTATGGCTGGATCGTTTCCTACAAATCTATCCAACACTTATTCAATCAGCCGTGATAGATGGTGTAGTCAAACCGTATTTAGTCTCTATTAGTCGTTTTGACTTATGGGCATCTTTCATTGCCTCAGAATTCCTCACGTATTGTCACACAGATTCTGATTGTAGTCGATACTTTTCAGCTGATAAACCATCTTCTATCATGCTCTTTCGTATTCTCAATGAACTAGATTTGAATAAACAACAATGTATCGAGATACATTTCTCTCAATATCAATTTATCTCGAATTGGATGCGAATTTCATTTTTCTATACAATGCAAGCTGCAGATCAATACATCATTCAGACCGTTTTACTGACGATCATCCTTCGTTTGTATCGTTGTAATATTGAAGATGTAGATGTGCTGAATTTTTGCTTCCAATTCATTACAAACATAAACAAACGAGCGAGAAATGTGCGCAATGGTTCAGGATTTGTATTTTCCAATGTTCTCAACTGTAATATCGTTCAATCTGAACTTTGGCTAGTATTGAATGACTCAGAAGTGGATAAATAAACAATAGTTGCTGAGCATAAATCCGCCATTATGTCAGCTGGTAATGGCAAGCATCTCATCTCAGTAAGTTGTAAATGGCCGAAATATTCAGTAGATCAATATTACCATCAGGTGGCTTCTTATTCACCACTACTGGTAATCTCAGGTTAGCTAGATCCAGGGTGTGATTGTGGACGTTAGTGTAACTCTTCTGTTAACTTATACTCACACCCACACTCCTCATTGATCATCCACCCACATTCACATCCTAAGTAGTATTTGACTAACTCTTTTAAATAGTTATTAGTTTCATAATATTTGATTTCATATGAATTGAAAAAAGAATATTGTTTTATGTTTAATAAATAGAAGTAAATGGTATCAAACACAGTACGACTTTTTATTAATAGAAAATACAAGTTTATGAACGAAAAATAGTTGGAAGTTGAATGTTTGTAATTATCAGTCAATCGTCTTGATTTTTGAAGGCAGATCAGTTTCTATATCTTCTGCTATTTTCTCTTCGTACAAACATGATGAAAGACGTGATGCTTTTTCAGATTCAACAAAATTCAAGTTAGTATCATTTAATAGGTTCCTTCGAATAGCTTCACTTGCATCATTAGTCAAATGTTGAATCAGAAGACAATAGATAACATCTTTCAATGGTCCAGCATAATCATATACACACTGCATTATTATACGATCTTGTTCTTTAATTAACCAAAGATCCTCATTGGAATCAGGATCTAACATAAGCTCATTCAATACTGGTCGGATTTGGTTAAATGGAATGAGAGAAGATTTAGATAGATGAAGAAGCATTTTAGCTGCAACATATCTAGTATTCATCGATTTCGATTTTAAATATGAAAATAAAAGATTAAAAACCTCTTGCTCATTTTTGATCGAAATAATGCGATTTAAACATTTATAACAAGTATTTTGAATGTATGGATCATCACGCAAACCATCAATGAGCATTTCACATAATTCAACCGTTAACTCACCAAATATAGATAGAATAGTTAGGCAAGCAGCCCGTTGTGGAAAGTCATGCTGTTTACTCGTATAGAACAATGCATGCTTTAAGTCATCACCGTAATGCCAATCTTTTATATAGGCACAGAAAGCTGCAGGCATCCGTACAGCAATCAAACTTGCAACTTCTACATATTGTTGGTTTCCATAGTGTAAACAACAATCGATCGTTCTAAGGTATACTATATTTTCTGTGAAGTGACGAATACTATTGTACAACTCGATAACAAAGATTGGCAAAAGATCTGGATGTTGTTCGATCAACTTTGCGGCAGCATTCATACTACCTTCCCAACAATCGTATATCAGTAAATATGCAGTCGAGCCGATCAATGCATAATAACATTGAATATAATCAAAATCAAGCATCTCAAATAACAGAGAATTATCCTTCAGAACTCGTCCAAGTCCCACATATGTTGATGTTAATACATTTTTTGAGGGATGTTTAAGCAGTCTCCGAAACAGAGCAATATCTTCTTGGTCAACAACGATTTTCTGAATACTCACACAATGACAATAACTTGAAATCAAGGTTGCAATAAGAGCGTCGGAATTGTTAGGAGCTTCAATTGTTTCATTATCCATTGCTATTTGTAGTTGATTGAAAAGAATTTTATATGTCCTTGCGTTACAAATGTAACTAAGAGCATATACAGCTGCTGTACGAATTTCATTCCTTGTCGATGTCTCATATAATAAAACCAAAGCATCTATTACTAACACTCGAGTTTCAAAAGTATAATTAAATAACGTACCAACGCATATTAGCACTGAAACAACAAATTGAACATGACTTTCCACAACTGTATTCGATGTCGTATCGTCATCAACTTCCAAGAACGATAAAAAATGAGATGTGATCAAATCACACATATATTCGATCAAATCTCTAGACATTAGTCGTATGGTTTCGCAGAAAGATACTTCTATTGTAATATCTTTAGGAAAATATGAAGCTGCATGAGGAATTGACAATAGTTTTGACTTGCTAATGGCATATTCTTTGTTGGCAAGCGCGTAAACCCTATATCTTTCTAACCATAGAAAAATGTTCAGATGAGATCGATTATCTACAGTTATCTCTTCAAATACTCGCGATAAAGTAAGGTTAGCAGATGGTGAGCTGTATTGATAATGAGCTTTTTTCGTGGTTAACGTTAAAAAAACATTTATACCTAATTTCGAACTTGTTCGAATGGCATTGTTATTACTTGGCGATCGTAGAATTATTTCAGCACGTTGGCGGAAACGATCATTTTCACAACATAAAAGATCGCAGATAATGGTAGCAGCCTCAACGGACCATAAATCAGAATTGGTAAGAAGAAGCGCAGCATGGTAAGCAAACGAAGAGAATTCGTTTATATCTTTCCATTTCATCCAAGACTCTACTAAACGACAAGCTTTGAATTCAATCAAATCGAAACGATGTAAAGCATTGCTTAAAGCAACACACAACATTTCTAAATGCTTCGATCGATTTGATGAAGAAACACACAACAGAAAGTTGTTCATCAGCACAGCTTGCGCCATTGTCAAAATAGAATTGTCGAATGCAAAAATTTTCATTACAACGGACATATCAATTTTCTGAAAATTATCGTGTAATATGAGTGGTTCATGAAAATCAGCTGTAAAATATTTATGGATGTCGCTGGTTAACTGGACAAGATACATGTTGGAAACAAGTAGTGATGAAAATGTTGTCTCGCTTATCTTCATATTCAAATATTCCATCAAGACAGAAGACTTATTTTGCATTGATCTATTATTGACGGGTAAGTCATTCGATACGAGTTCCAGCATTTTAGAAATGACTATATGTGATCGCAGATACGGTGATAATGCTTCGTACACAACTTGATGATCTTCATATTTAGCAGTGGCAAATTTGTTCAGAAGATTTCGTGCGCAAATGTCAATTGTTTGTTGATGTCGAAGTAAAGGTAGACATCGAATAAATATAGCTGTATGCAATAGAAGAGGTAAATCTGAGTAAATTTCATTGAATTGATACTCTATTTCATTTTGCAGAGATCTATCTCCATCTACTTGAATTTCATTATAGTCTGAATGAGAGCAACAAGCAATCATGCATAGGGCATCAAGACGAGAAAGTTTATTAGTAATTGACATGGCGCCTTGTACACTTTCTTTTAACAAAGATAATCGGTCTTCTTCTTGAGTCCATTGACAAATACACGCCAAAGAGACACATGCTGAATATAGCTTCTTGCTTCTTACATCGCTGCCAGTCAATGCATACTTTAGACGCTGCTGTTCTTGTTCGATAGATTCTTTTATCAATGCTTTTCGTTCTTCATCTGTGATATCATTTGCAGGAACGAAATGTTCCACTTTATTTATATATAGACCTGTTTCGTAATTCATAGGACGATGCTTTTCAGCTTCGAACTCGCTCAAATAGCAGGTATCTTTTGTAGCGAATGTCCATAAGAGACTACCACCAATGTTTTCCAATTGATACATTCGTAGCCAAGGTAAGAGACTAATCAAAGAGGCTAGAATAGAAAGTCGTTTACACGATACATTTGACAGCAACATTAAACATTCAAGTAAAATATGCTCAAAGTAAAGATGGTATCTATCCTTGATGATAAAATCTTTCGAACTCGTTATAATAAATCTTTGCTCCAACAGTCGAAGATATAAATTCTGTAAATGTAAAGGAAGAAATGCGAATGGAAATACGAGATCTTCATCATTGCGAAAGAGTAAATATTCTGGTATTGTATCCATTGCAACAGCCATTCTATATTGTGTATCCAACTCTTCATTATGCTCTAATATCCAAAAAAGTTTTGTAAAATGATGAAGTAACAAACAAGATTTTCGTTCTAAGGAAAACGCTGCATCTGCCAATAAAAGCTGATCGAGAAACTTATTTTCTTTACGAAGAGAATTAGGAAGATTTAATGTCACTCGTTTACTAGATATTGATTCTCCTTTAAGCAAAATTGATGTTGTGGAAGACTGTAAGCGAGCTAAACTACTTTTCATTGAATTTAACAAATCCAGAAATTGTACATTTGATGATTCACTGTACTGGAAGTTTTGGATAACCATTTTTATAAATTTTGTTGCTTCCTTTTCGTGTAAACTATCATTGCCATTGACAAAATAATATTGGCGTAAAATCATGGACATATATTTCAGTCTACTCAAACTCATTTGAAATAAAGAATTTGAGATTATTCGTTTATTTTCTTTCACATAATCGATACCATGCAAGCAGATTGTTGCGACGCACAGATCTACTGTTTCAGGAGATTCTTCATGAGTTTGTATTCGTGACAGTAATGATTGCAGGCATTCTTGTTTAATTAACATTATTTTTTCATCTTGCGTATTTAAATTATTTTTACAAAGAAAACGCACCAAAATCTGGGTGACTGCGATTGACTCTCGATATATATGAAGTGGATCGAAGACAATAGTAGAACCATCTCGTTTCAAACCACCATATAAACTGATGATCAAAGGAAAAAGATTAACAGGAATCGACTTTAGTTCAATTTCATTACCAAGTAAAAACTCCTTGAAGGTCATTGAATGCACAGATAACAAACGACGGTTTGAAAAAGCAATTTTGACTAATAGTCGATCAATAGCAAATTCATTAGTTTCATTATCAAGTATTGACAAAGATTGAAGTATTGAACAAGATGATTGATTTAACCACTTGATGCTTTCAAATTCATGAGGTTTTCCTGCGATAAGGTTACAAAGAGCCGATATTGTTTGAATATCATGTGAAGAAGATCGTAACAATAAATTGTGAATCCATAGTGCAATAATATCATTGCGAAATTTCTTTAACACAACTGTGATTTGATCGAGTAGAAACGGGCAAACAATTGACCATTTATGTTTACCAGCTGCGATGATTAAATGATCCAAAGCATCGAACAAAACCTCATGAGAAGGATAATTCACAAGATCATTACCACAGCTAATTAACATGTATGCACAAAGTGGTAAAAGAGAATTAGATTCATCTTGTCCTTTTATAAACTCGTAACAAAAATTATCAAAATCTTTCTGAGACCAAGAAGAGCTGATCTTGCCTAAAGCAAGTGCGATAGGTACCTGAAAACGTGGGTCATTTGTATGATGCTGCAAAGACTGAGCGGCTAGTTGAACTTTGTTCTGTAAACTAGATTCATACGGTGCTTCCTTCTCTGTGTCAATCGTTTCTATTTCGATAAGTTTCAAACAAGTGAAATATTCTTGAAATGTTAAATGAAGAAAACCATAAAGTGATTCACCTCGAGCCGCTAAAATACCGACATCTTCACGAATGATTCGTACGAATTCGCATGCTTGATTCTCAATTTCTTTGATATTTTCTTCATTATAAATATTTTTATTTAGCGAATCTTTGACAGATTCAATGCAAATTTCTTTCATTGTTTCTTCATGAATAAGACCTGATGCAGAATTTCCATGAATATAAGTAGCAATATTACTGAGAATCCGAATTAAGTCTGGTATTGGAATGATCAATCTTTTAGTACACCACAAGCATAACATTGAATTAACAATTGTTTCATATAGTAAAATACGTTGGGTAGGTAATGGTGAACCTTCCAATTGACTGAAAGCCACGCAACAAACGAAGGACATCAAGCAAGAATTCGAAGCAACATCGAGAAGATCAACATTCTCTGGTTTTTCTAATTCTTTCTTCAGGTTTTCGCTATGCTTTTCTCCTTGATTGGTTAATGAAAGACCTAGAATATCTATTATGTGCTGATGCACACGAAAAAACCAATAATCAGCAAAATCCTTCATGTGTTCCATATCCATGGGTCGAATTGTGTAATGAGCAAATTGACCAGCTAATGGAGCAGCATGATAGCCAACTATACGACTTGTGACAATTAATTGATTACCTCCTGATCGAGATGGGTCATCTAGTAGTTTGCTCAAATATACATTGTCAAAGACAGAAACACCTGTGGGTGTCTGAACATAAGTATCAACAAAGTTTTCCACAATATTAATGATTTTTGAACGTTGGTCTGAAACAGGAATCTCATCAAGACCATCAAGTATGATTAGAGCTTGACCTTGTTTAATATAATCTTGAAGAGCACATGATATATTATCAGAGGAGATTAATGAATCATCAACAATTGATTTGCCCATCCATTTGTGTTTTCCAATATAATCAAATAGAGTGATTGATGGTTGTTCTTTCAATATTTCAGCAAACTCACCAATACGAATCAGAATCGGTATACGAAGAGGTCCATAATCAGTGGAATGTTGTCCGTTAAGAAGAAGTATTTGAGCCAGATGATGAACAAGCCATCGAGCAAAACTTGTTTTTCCACTTCCTGGATCACCCAAAATAACAATCCAACGTTTCGATCGAATAATAGTTTCCTCAGTGACATCGTCTTCTTCTGAATATCGATCTCTTTCAACCATTGACATCATGTAGGGAGCTGATACTAATCGGTCCCATATTCCTGTAGATCTTTCTTTTCGACTGTATGCACCCTGTAAGATAATGACTCCGTTTTCCATAAGCAACCGTCGTGATTCATTTCTTTCGAATGATGTAGATTTATCAGGTTTAAGTTGAATGAATGTACGTGTGAGAGGAAGTTCACATGCTCGCCATTTCTGTCTCAATTGGATTACATCCTCCGGAGAGATTGGATAAAAGGTATGAGCAACTTTAACAACAATATCACCTGTGAGACCAGTAAGAGGTACACTTTTGTGTTGTTCAATGCACTGGCGAAGATAAATTTCGATGGTATTGAAATACTTTTTACGTAATAGACGAAGTTGTTCCATGGTATTTTCCTTGGTATGTTGTTCAATTGTTTCTAATCGTTGTCTCATTGTCTCATCGAGAAATTTCTGAGCAAAGATCTGTTGTTTGTGATATGCATTGCAAAGTGTTTGCACTTTTGTTTCGTGGTCGTTTGCCAAATCAGCCTCGTGCTGAGCGAGTCGTAATTGAAGTCGGAGTAGTAAAGATTCGAGATCTCGATATGTGACTCCATTGAGATCGATTTCTCTATCAGTGCAACCAGTGACAACTTCATCAATGGCTATTAATGTGTGTTCAATTCCTTCGTGTAATTTTCTTACACAATTTATTATATCTCTTCCATTTAATCGATGTTGAAGCATAGCTAAGCTTTCTGCAACAAGTTTCCAATGATCTTGACACACTTTTACCTTGTCTATTCGATGGATGAGATGATTGATGGTTGTTAAAATTGGTTGATGAGATGTCATTTTAATATGTTATTAGCTTGTGTCAATCTACGGAACTGTAAATACTGCAGAAGGGATTGAATGTTTCCCGTAAATGTAAAGAGTCGTTACTAGACGTACTTCTTAGAGTTTCAATCGTATGCTCACTTTTTGTTTAATTCTAGAAAGGTATGAGTATGGGGTGTGCGATTTTTGGTGGTGAGTGTGGATGGTAACTATCTGTGTGTAGAGAGGTGGGAGGCTCCTTGTACTTGTGTGACTGTACGTGATGGTCGTGAGTGTGCGTGTATATAGATGTAGATGTGGAACTAGGTGTGCACTGAAAGAAAATACATACCCACACCCACCTGAAAATTTCAATATGAGTATACTGTTCGATAGCAACATGATCGATATATAAATTATCAACGTTTTGGCTGATTTAAATTACCTTTGGGGAAAGTTCACGTCAAACTATAGCTTTGACAACGAACATTACCAAAGTCGGAGTTTTGGCGAGCAGTGAAACTTTGACAGGGCATATATATTGTAATTGAATTTTTTTTCTTTCTCTTAACTTTCGTATATTACACAACTTACTTGAAATAGTTGCTTCCTACTCACATACTGTTTCTGTCACATGTATTAAAGCCTCCTTCTTACTGTTTTGCTTTTCTCTTTTGATGTTGAAAAAAGTCTATTGATTTTTAATGGCTGTGTCGTAAAATAATGACACTGAAGTGACGCGTTTCTTTTTCATCTTGATGAACCAATCGATTGCCACATACTTATTTATTTCATGTCAAAAATGACTCATTTCGTATCTCAATGAAACAATTGCAGCCATAGTTCATGATAGTTTTTGAGAACTGAAAAAAGTTAACTTTTTATCAGATACTATAATGCCATCGGTGATTAGTCTACAGGAATTCTAGGTCGCACAAGGTCGGTCGCTACAATGAAATAATGGTGAAGCTAGATGACCTAACTTTAATTCAAGGTTGATATCTAAAGTTGATCAAAAGCTTTATGAAGTATAGAAATTGCTGCATCTTTTTTTCTTACGGTTGTTACAAAGAAAGCAAACATTCGGTTCAACTGTACCTTAGTGACACCTGCACACACGATCCGTACGCTTAACACAGTAATCTTAATGAGAGTGAGGTTGATATTAAACTGCAGTTATACAAAATACTGGATGAGACAAAAGTTTTGCGACATTTTTGTTTCGTATGTATCTCCATTCAGGAACATTATGGGAAGCTGATTTTTTTCAAAAGGTGCCTCATTCAATTCTTTGTCAGAATTACCAAACCAATTTTTTTAGCTCTTCTTGAAGTTTTAATAAACCAATAAATATAAAGATGTTTATTGTTGCACTTTGCCCCATTAAAAAAATCTGAGACATTTTGAATGTTTTTAACTAGGTCATATCAGGTACTGTTCATTCATTCTTGAGTGCAATATTTGAAAGAAGGTGGGACTATAGTGAGTTTACGAAGGCAAAAAGGTTACCAACTATTATAAGTTTAAGCGTAAAAGATTTGGAACATTTGTGTCCACTTTTCATGGTGCAACGTTCTACAAAAAAAAAAAAGATTTCCTATTGATGAAGTATGGGTGTGGATATGGGTGCAGCTATTATCTTCAATCATACCCACACCCAAACCTGACTAGTTAAATAACTGATTATTTAGATAGCTTACTGGTTTTGAAACTTAGAACAAAAACTGATCGATTAATAACTGACTATTGAATTATTCTTCTGCTAATTCATTTACACATTTTACTGACCACATAAAATGGTACCAAAGAAAATTTTTCATTCATAAATTTCAGATTGAAAAACAATCGTAACAAATCTAACAAAGCTATTTTAATTTACCATACAAAATGTATCATAGGGCTGAGCCATAGTCTCTAATCAATAGTATTCCAATGATCGATGTATTCATCGTTTCAAATAATATCATTTTCCAGATTGAGTTTAGTTCTATAATTATATTTGCGCTCGTCTTCATCTTACATAAACTACCTGATATTCATGTAGTGAATTAACGACTGAATTATGAATCATTGACCTATTCATTTGACTTAGCTATGGACAACACTTTTACTATTCCATTTTTGGTATCGGTTCTTGTTGGGCGTGTATTAAATTGGTTCTTATTAAGATAATGACAAACTCAGTCAATTTTCAGTTTCATCAACTTTCAAGAATAGATTCAAACAAAATAGTATATTTGAACACATGGAAATAGTTATCTCTTCTGGAACTGTGAAGTAAATGAATATATTAGAATAGAAAAGAATATAAAAAACTAGATTCTTACTTCAATTGTTATTTTTTGTCCGAATGACACACATGATTTATTGTAATTAAACATATTTCTCCATTGATTCTATCTGGTGTACAAAAAAAAGGAAGTTAAAAAAAAACATAGGATAATAAGCTAATAAATATTAATAGCTATATATTTCTTTTCTTTTTCGAAATATTCCTTTTTCTACGTTTTTTTTATTTGAGTACAAAGTTATTTTCATGGATGACATCTCTTTTGAACCCAAAAACAATGAGATAGATTAATATTGATATTATTATTATTTTTTTCTGTGTCGAAATTCTCCTATGTCTCAATGCGAACATAATATCTAACGATTTTATGGCAAGTTTTATTCTACCAACTACACTAAAAATACCTAAGAAATAAGAATTTAAACTATTAATTCTAATTAGAAAGAAATTTAAAAAATCATACCATATTGCCTATTTTTTTTACGTCAGTTTTTGTCGCTCTATATACGATACTGAAAATTTGATTAGTAAAATATTATTTATTATATTGAGTCAACAGTTGATTAGGTAATGCTTTCCCATTAATATACTCATTCAATCACGGAAAAGATCATTCCTTTCTTTCAACAGGTTAAAAAAAACATTTAATTAGTTCTCCATCGTTTGTCAAATGATCTCTTTGGTATTACAGAAGATTCTTTTGGCATGAATAAAAAACACTGCAATGCCCTCTGTCTATAAGATAGGAAATAGGTGTGAAGTTTTTTTTTTGCTAATTATGTATTCTCATTAACTTGTATAAACAAAACGAGAAGGATGGTTGCTTAAATTTTGCATCAGAAAAGAAATGAAGATAATCATCAAATCAATGAGAAAATGCCCAAAATCCTTTGAAAAGAAACTAAATATAATGTATAGTATTCTATAGATTGATACTATGTTGCACGATGCAGAATATCGAATAAATATAACTTAGTTTTGGTAGCTTACAATAGAATCAAGAAAAAAATAAAAGATATTCAATGTGAAATGTAGGGTTTTTTCAGATATTAGTACATAAATAGTGTCTTCTTCGTTTGAGAAAAATTTCAAAGCACACACATAATGAAGGTAAATAAGACGTCTTTATGTAATGATTCCTATTATTTGAACTTTTCTCTTTGTCGACAGGAACACATTTTTCTTATTTTTCTCCTGTAGTGACACTGTTTTCTCAATTCTTATGGGGTTGATTTTCAACACAATATATATATAACGTCCGATGTCAGTCAAACGTATTACGACATGGCATGCATTCAATATAAATGTACTGCTTTAAATTTATTTTCTATCGAAGAAAATTTCTTGATGAATAAGAATACATATCAATAGATATAAAATTATTCTTTGAGTGATATTGTTCTCAAAGTAATGAATAACGCCACAACTTTTCTTTTATTACTTATAATAGTTACTATCTGAATTGTTGTTGATAACTACTAAAACAACATTGGAAAATCTCAACAATATGGACAGTATCACCAATAATCATTATTACGATAACCACAAAATACTTGAAATTACTTATTAGTTTCTATATGTTTTCACTATTTTCAAGTACATGTAGCGGCATAACTACTTCGACAATAACAATAGCACCAAACTAATTATATGTCTTAATCAGAATTCAAATAAATCCAGGATTAGTCATATATGTATATATATTTAGATTTGCAACAGATAAAAAAATCAGAAATACAAGCAGCATGAAAATATATCAAGTTCAATGTGAATTGGATGAATTTCATGATTATTCTCATTGATTGAAGACAATATTAGTTATAACCACGAAACTAATTTTTCATTTAACATCAAGTAAACCAAAGTCTTGACGTATAATATTCGTTACATTCATATTCGATGATGTATGATACTTTTCCAGACAAGAGACTACATACAAAACAAACGAAACTCGATGATCTTTTTCTGATTACCTTCATGCAGTATCACGATCCAATTTAATTGATGAGCAATCTATTATAATTTTATAGATGCAAAACTATATTCAAATCTAATCTTTACTCCTATGGATCTTACCAATTGAAATTTAAACAAGTATACTTTTCTTGTATTTAAGTCGAATGAAATAATTATTGTTCCTGTTACATTATTCATATTTGTTGCAAACAAGAGCAACCCTTTTATTTAATGACTTCTATCAAGCATTTAATAAGAAACACACATTATTTGCTATTTCATTGAGTGAATATGATTCTGAAATTAACATCATGTATGAGTTAATCGTTGTATACAACTAGTATTTCGTGTATAGCGCATAATAATAACAATAGAACAATATGTATATAACTATTCAATACAAGTGTTGCCACAACGAAGATAGCTGGAAATAATCATAACAAGCCATTTTTAGTCGAACTCAAAAATCCATCAAATTTGTCAGTAGATATAAATGGCACATATCTCTATGTGATAGAAAAAAGTAATCATCACATCTGACGATAGAGCTCCTGAAATTGTACGATGTAACATGCATACATAGTAGAGTATTAAAGATATCTTGTTGATTAGGGATGGTAAAAAGGAAAAATTTCATTATCAATAACTTACTTGACATAATTTGATACCACATTATCTAATGTTGAAAGAAACTATAAGTTAGTAGAAAAATTAGCCTTAATTGTTGGTACGATGCCAACCATCATTGAATATATTGATGATTCATCGGATTCGTATTAACAAAAATTTCATAAATCAGAAGCAATTGTGGTACGTTCATTAGATAACTAATGTATTTCTAAATATTTATATATAGATGTTTTGTATTCATTGAATGAATAGAAAGAATTTGTTTGTAACATATCCGTTTAGCTAAGTCGTCTGACATTGCTATTGGATATCTGTTCGATTGATAGATTTCAAAGGCAAATAATAGTTATGTATTCTAGTTCACTATGCTTCGTTAAAATGAAAAGTTTTCTTTTTTTTAATTAAATATGTTTTTGGATAGCGTAAAATAAATTGTTATAATTCGTGCCAACGTACAAGATGATTCATTGTCCTTCTCATTTACTTTTTTTTTCTCCCACTCTTTTCTTATCGTCTCTATCTACATAAAGACGTATATTTCACTCTCGTTTGATGTGCGTATGTCTGTGTGTATTCTGAACCGAAGAATAAAAAAACTTAGGTACTTCTGCAATATAGGTAAATTATTCTACCATGAAAATAAATGATTTAACATCGATCAAAATTAATCTTAATTGTGTAGACGTTTTCTTTATGAAAGCATTTCTTTATTTACTAAAATTGTTGTTTTTATAACTCATTCTTTAGCTATAATTTGAACAAGAAAAATCTTACCGTTGAAATATGTACATTATAAGTTGTCATTTATTTCTTTACATTCCTCTTTTCAGGTTACATGCTTTATGTAAGTTTCTTATAATTATGATCGTATAAAAGACCTTGTAAAAGGACAAACAAAACAATACATTAAAATACATGTATTCTTATGATCGATTCGTTGCTTTAATTTAAATATCTATTCTTTTTTTTAATATTTCAAAGTAGAAAAAAAAACGACCTTTGTTTTATTTTGGAATAATATTTTTAAATAGCTATCAGATCTTTTTTCTTTTCTATTTCATTCATAAAAGTATGAGAAGGTAATAAACTAGATAAATGTTTTCTGTTACCAGTGTTTCGAAAAAGTCAAAGATATGTGTGTATATATAGAAGAGAATATGAAGACATTGCAAATATTCTTTGATTCACCTTGCAATTAGTCATGCATAATTTACACAACCATTTATTTTGAGGTGATAAACACAAACATTAAATTGGAAATATGCAATAGGAAAGAAAAATCGTTGACGACGACTTTTATTAGTATAGAAATAAATATCTTTTTTTATCGTTGTTTTTAACCTAAAAGTGAAGTCAAATGTTTGGAATTTTATTAATGTGTAGTTCTTATAGATTTACCTTCAATTGTCGTACACATATACAAACGAAAAGAACAGCAAAGCAGATATTTTTTTTTTCGTTCTCTTTCTCCTAAATATTTATAGACCTAATTTTTTTAAATTTTAGATTTACTTTATCTGTGTCAAAATGACGAAAACTATTTCGGAGTATTTAACATTTCGAGGTGGTGAGTGGATTACTCAATCATTCGTGGAAGCAAGTGATGTTATTAAATTCAATGATATTAAATTCTTTTATGCCAATATCATCGATTATACACGTATAATTATGATTCTTATTGGGGCTTACACTATTACCACAGATTGGCATTTATTAAGCGCATTTTTAATTTTAGTTGCAATGTATTTAGATGCAATAGATGGACCTGTAGCATGTGTTTATGATCAATCTTCTATATTTGGATGTAGAATTGATTTGTTAGCCGATTTATTAGGTCAAGTAGTTATTGTTATATGGTGGGCTCGATATGATTTTAGTATTGTGCCTTGGCTTGTTATTTTTACATTTATTGAACTTGGCACAGGACTTTTTGATTTTGGTAAAACTACAACAAGAAAATATCCAATATTAAACAAGAATCAAACAGGATTTTTTGTTATTCTTGACTGGTCAATGCGTTTAAATTCTTATACTCAGTTTGGAAGTTTAATTTGGTATGCCTATTATATATATTGTGTACTACGAATATTGGAATATTGCTATGGATATAATGAATTGATTTCTATGATTAATCTTGTTTCAGCTATTCAAAATCAAAATCTATTTTTAATATTATTTTTATTGAATCGTTATTGTTTATTCATACCATCATTACTTTATGTATGGTGTAAATTGGCATTTGGTATTCGTACTGTTCAATCATGGATTGAATTATCAAGAAAAAAAGAACCAGCAATTAATGAAATTATATATGAAGATGTATCAATATCATATCAAGGTGGTTTTGTTCATTATAAACCATTATTAGATGAATATAAAAAATTGATAGAAACTTGTTATGAAGATCTTAAATTTATATTAAAAGATAAATATGAATTAGCTCTATCTAAACGTGAAGTATTTTGGATTAATTTATGGAAACGAACAGGAGTTCAAACAGAAGAAATAATATATAAAAATCGTCATGAATTAGAAAAAATGGTACATAGTTTAATGGAGAAATATTATCATTCAAATACAGTTTTATTAGATGGTTATGGTTATTTGTTAAATCCAATCAATTCTAAAACTCAACCATTTCATATAGATTATAATTGTGATTATTCATCATTATTTATTCCATTAGTTCCTCTATCAGCTGATAATTCAGTACAATATATCATTCCATCACCATTCATTGATTCAGATTTATTTCGAGAAGCAACAAAAAATTGTGATAAAATAAATGTTAGCTTATTATTAAAAAATCAAAATTATTATTCAGTACGTCAATGTATTTCAAATTCATTTGTAGTACTTAAAATGGATTTTGGAACTATTCATCGAGCTATTTCAAATCATGATACATATCATCGACCTATGTTTTATATATCAGTTATTCGAAAAAATTCTCCAAATCAAACAAATATACCTGATGAATCACTTATTGAAACAATTAAAAAAGATTTATAATAACATACTTCGAATGTGAATATTAAATAATGTAGTTTTTATTTTTACAAATTTATAATTAAACTTATTTGAAGTGTATTGTAATACGATATTTTTTCAATTAAATTTGTTTATGAACAGTCATACACATTATAAACGAATGATTTTAATCTAATCTCTAGTTTTTCATTATTCTATATGAAATTTCTTTTAGAAATTAAAATCCTTAAGTCAATCATTTTGTTATTTGATTCATGAATTTGCAGTTGGAAATTGAACTAGAATGATTATAATATCTAGCGACACATTATATTTCTTATCATTATCGAAAAATTTTCCGTTGAAATCAATTGCATCTCATTCATTTATGTAGATCTGATCATGATCTCAATTTTTTAATACTTTAAGCAAAAAGATGATAAGTCCTTTAGACTCAATGGCCTAAAAATATTTAGATGACTCATTCTTTGAAGTTCTCTTTAAAATTTAAACGATCAAAACTTATAATTAATATGTAATTTCCTATGACTAATATAAACATCAATCAAACTTTTTTTTAAAGAGACGTTTATGAAAAATTTTGTTTGTTTTATTCATGAAAATAAAATATCAAAAATAATGAGAAAATCTTTGTAAATTAAATACAATGCAGAAACTTAAGCAGTATTACATAATGTTTATTGATTAATGAGTGAAGAAATATGACTTTTGTTTTATTTCTTCGATGTAAAATATCTATTTATATTAAAGTGTATCAAATAAAGATAAATATAGATTATAGAAATCAAAAACGATAAATCAACAGAACCAAACAAAACTGATCATCTGACATTTTTTTTTCTGATCAAATAAACTGTTCTGTACTTTCTTTTTTGTTCATACATATAAAAATATTAACTAACTACATACATATATATGATTAAATGACAACAAAAATGATTCTGCAGAAATTATATGTAAAAATATATTATTATGTGTCTTTCAGTATTTTACTATTAATGAATTTTATGAACTATTTTCTAATATAATATTATATTGATCATAACTATTAATAAATTCACATATCCGAGTTCAGAAACGATAAATTAATTCATACTCATGTTCATTGCGCTCAAGTCATATTAATATATCGAAACTTTCTCAACCACTTGAAAACTTTTATTTGAAGTCTTCAAATCCCTGAAAAAATCAATCTTGGGTTAGATAGATCAAAATCGTATGAAAATTTCAATCTTATCCGATGACATTCTCGAGAGATATGCAAGAATCAAGAGTCAAAGATAGCAGCTCATTTGGTAACCAGAAGTTCTCGGTGAACCTTCATTCTACATACTTAATCTTCTTTTTACTTCAACGAGCACATCACTCTGCAGAACATGACACAGTTCTTATTTTAAATTCTTACTTTTTAAATGGAGAAAAGTTCATTATCTCAAAGAAATAGCGCTCTGATTATAAAAAGTATACTTTTATATAATAATAACAAAGGTTTATTCAAAGAAGGAACTCTGTCATGCCCTACATCTTGACATGCTCTTCCAATCAAGAAACAGCAATTTGCTACATCATAACTGCAATACACAAAATGTAGTTATTCCTTTTTATTTTGCTGTCTTTTGATCTAATTTCTTCTTTGAAATGTAAATAGCAATCTATCACCGTAACAATAGAAAAACCTAGCTTTCGCCTTTGTGAAATACTATCTAACAGAAGTGTCAAAGTATATGAGTAGAGATTTAGACTATACTTTCATCTAGTCCACCTTTACTACGTTCAGAAATTTTATTACTAGCTATGGATAATAAAATATTGAAAGTAATACAATGAATTTATAATACAGTTATGTGAAACTACTTTCTATATTGCTAATAACGATCAATAAAACCTCCAGCATCATTAAACTAACACAACAAAATAGATTGTGATAAAAAGTAATCAATAATAAAAGCGATAATAATTATTATTAATTACTAGGTAAAAGTAATAAAAAAAAGGTAATAGTAATGTGACACCTCTATTAATAAAATCAATTCATGTGAACAGAGAGAACCACAAAGACATGAATAAATTTAAAAAAAAAAAAGAAATAATGATGCCGTGACCCGGGATCGAACCAGGGACCTTCAGATCTTCAGTCTGACGCTCTCCCAACTGAGCTATCCCGGCGATTAATCTTTATTTCAATTACATTAAAAATCTAACATAAAGCTTTTTTTTTTTTATAACATGCAAATAAATACAATATTAAGATGTCGTGAGAATTCTTATTTTATTAATAATGAAAGGACTTCCATTATAAGTTAAGAACATGAGACATAATCGGAGCTAATCTAAACCTTCAGTGTCAAACCAACAAATTTAAAATATGAGCTGCCCATCGCAAACTAGGACTGAAATAATAGATTTTTTAGACATTTATAGTATATGTAAGATACGCACAAGTCAAGATTTTATCACTATTTATTTTTCTTTGTTTCATAATGGTTGAATTGAGCTCGTCAAATTACATAAGAAAAAGTGTTTTTCAAACTGAGAAAAAAAACGCTAGAAATTTTCTTAGAAGTCAGAATCTTTTCATTAACTTGTTGGTGAAACTCAGATATGTTTTCCGAGAAAAATACAAGGAGTGTAAATTTAACTCAAAGTTTTTCATCCTTCCTCTCCTCAGACCCTTATAGCAACTGAAAAAAACGTGTTAGTAATAACAGCGTATAAAACATACTGGTGCTTTCTAGAATTTTGCACCAAATTCTATGAATCTAAGATTTCTACTGTAGATTAGAATGAGTTAAAGTATTGCACGGTTTTGATATTTAACGCAGCGAAAGGATCTTATTATAGGTGTCAATCAGCAGGGCAGTAGTATTATTCATCTAGCAGAATCACAAATGAATGGATATATTGAATTCGAAATTTAGGTTAAACGCTACAATATGAAAGGATAATGTGCGTGGACGCTTACTTAACGATTAATCAACAGGCTAATGTAGTGGTTGAACCGACGCAACGAAGAATAAAATGATACTTTCCGCTTCCTGCTGCATGTGTCTTATGTTTTATTATTAGGAGAAAAGAAGTATTGCATTGAAGATGTGTATCTGACAATAGAAATAAGTTTTGTTCGTGTAACACGGTGTTCAATGAATCGAATAGATTGGGAGAATAGAAATTCTAAATGCAAATATGTTCGAAATCATTAAAGTTCAGAATGCGCTTATCAACTATAAAATTTTTTTTCATTTTTGATTTATTCATTTATTTCACATTTTTTTAAAATATATTATTTTAGTTTCTCTAACAATATAACAAAAATTTATAACATTTAAGGTTTATAAGCTTCACACTTATCTTATTATGAAGGCACACTGACAAATTATGTTTTTTACAATTTTGAAACGTACTTTTTTTTGGTGCAACGCAAGGAATTCTATCGAACTATCACGAGAAAAGAAAAAATTAATAGTATTGAAATTTTGACTTGTGAATATCTTACATATACTTTAGATACTTAAAAAATCCATTATTTTGCTCCGTGAAAACTGTTGATAGTTCATATTTAAAATTTGTTAGTTTGACAATAAGAATTCAAGTTTGATCTGAATGTCTCTAATGTTTTTTTACTAACAGTGCAAAAGCTTCTATTATAAGTGAAAAATATATAAACACCTTGCGTCATCTTCAATTATTTATCTTGAATAAAATCACCAATAAAAAAAAATCCTTCTTTGTTATCAATATATCATGCAGACTTTGTTATTTATCTTAGATTTAGGTTTGAGGGAAGAGAAAGAACAAGACAACTAATTTCTATCGCAATTACATTTAGTAATTTCGAAATTTTATCTCTAAACAGCTACAAATAGAAGAGAAATTCTCCAAAAAAAGAAGGAATTTAACATGACTTCATATATCAAAGCATCATCGCCAACAGGAAATGATCGTCAAATACAATTACTCAGTACAGATTTAATATTTGGTGGTATTGATAATGTTTTTGTGTATCCATCACTTGATGTTGATCGATTACAAAATGCTCTCAGTCGTACACTTTCATTTTGGCCAATATTAACTGGTCGTATTCTTGTCGATGATGATGAACAGTATTTTATTAAATTTACTGACGATTCTATTCCATTTACTTATACTGAAAATGATCAAGTTGAACGATGGCCAGATCTTCCTGTTGTTGTTGATGATGCAACATTAATTCAACCATTTATTGATTCAGTTCAATATAAACCTGAAATAGAACCACTTCTTCGAATTAAAGTAACTCGTTTACTTCGTAGTAATGAATATGTTCTTGGTACAAGTTTTTTTCATATGGTTGGTGATGCTAATTCAACAATTCATTTTCATAATGATCTTTCACAAATTTATCAAAATCTTGAACCTATTCTACCTCGTCCAGTTTTTGAACGACATTCATTAAATAAAGAAGATTCAGAATTTTCTTTATTACCTGTTTTAAAATTATATCAAAATACAGGTAAAAGAGAAGATATTTTAGTTCGTCTTGGTAAAGAATATACAGAAACGGATCCTATTAATGTATCAATTTCTTCTGAACAACTTGCTAAATTACATTCTCTTGTTGAAGAGGCAAATGAAATAACAACACATGATGTACTTTGTGCTTATATTGTTTTTTTAATGAACAAACATTTATTCAATAGTGAAGATGAATATATTCGACGTGCTTATATGTATATTAATTATCGAGGTGTATCTGATTTATTAACACCAAAAGGTTATGTAGCTAATGCAATAATGCAACCATTATCTTCTGATTTTTCAAATCCTCTATCTTTATCAAGTATTGCAAAAACAATTCGACAATTAATTAAAACATCACGTCAAGAAGATTTTCTTCAAAAATGGGTAACGTCAGCTAATATTCTAATGAAAAAATTTATAAAAGATGGTCATGTTAATTTTGTATGGGATAAAGATGAAACTATATTTAATTCAAATTATAAATATGATTGGGCCGAACAAGTTAATTTTGGTATGAAAAATCAATGTCGATTTCATACAATGGGAATTTTTAAATATTATTTTCGAATATTTCAATTAAATCCTGTTAAAGAAGAAAATGGTAATTGGATTAAAGATAATGGAGGTGCAGAAATATCTTTTAGAATTCCAAAAGGAGAAATTAAAGAAAAATTTTTAGCAGCATGGAAAAAAAATATTGAAGAAAATTTTTCGAATGTCAAATAAATACATGTATTTGGAATTAATGCAAGTGCTTTTTTTGTTTATGATAATCAACTATGCCTTTTTTTCAAGGCAAATCGTTTTAGTTTAGAAAATGCATGAGTTTGATAAAACACAAAAATTCATCTATATAAATAGCTGCTATGATTAATTAAAAAAAAAGAAAAGAAAAAAGTCTTCCTATTTATCTGTTTCAAAATGCAAACAATTGTGTCCCATGATAATTTGTCTTCATTGGATATCAATTAAAATTCTATGATAAAGAAAAAAAAGAAGATTGACAATTTATCGTTGTTTATAGATTGAATTTTTTGTTTAATATTGAGTATAAAGTACTCGTCATAGAATAATATCAAGTTTTTTACGACATAAGTTTACAAAACAAGTCAACCAATTTGGAATACCCATTGTGTACCAAAGAGCATGTCATATGCACCTTTGTATTTCCATTATTTTTACTTATTGTGATACTATACGTGCGATCAATCAAAAACAAATAGCTCAGATTCAGAGCATATTGTTTCCAAATATCTTGCTTGCTGTTGGATTTGATTTTGTACCAGCTTGTCATTCTGATTCGGTCTTTATATAGTCCTATGTTCGTCCAACATGCATTACACAACATAAGAGAGTTGTGAGAAGACTTAAAGATAGATGAAACTACACGAATTGATAGATATATATAATAACAACTGAACTAAGTAATAATAAGCATTCTTGTTTAGTTTTTCTTCTCAACCTTATAATTCTATTTCTTCAAGTAAAAATACATAAGAAATTACTTTCAGAAAATCATTCTCAATAAAAGAGAAATAGGAAAGTAATTACTATGTTAATAGAAAAATAGAATGAATGAATCAAATAAAGCTTGTTGACATCAACATTAAAGTTTAGTATTATAGAAACAACTATAATCAATGAGAAGAGACAGTTATTGAATTGGTCGAATATTGACATATCGAAACTGCAAATTAAGATAGAAAATCTAAGATTTTTCTCAATAAATATTGTAACGATCTTAAGAAATTAATTCAATTTAATCTAACTTATTCAAAACCACTATGATCTGTTAAACGTCAAACCAATTGTTTTCGTGAAAAAGACTTTTTCTCTTATTCACCTCTTGTCTCAATACTATCATATATGGAAGACAAATTTTCCTAGAGGCAGTACGACACTGTGGAAACAGTGAAGTTGAAGAAAATTAGATGAGTTGAACGATTGTGAGCATATAAACGAGTGTTACGTTATTAGACAACAAATACTTTGCGTTCATTGATAGTCTAAGTTTAGAAATACTTTATTTAACATTATAATTATTATTCTAAAATTCAATTCTGCTATGTTTTCAAATCAATAGTGTTGATTAAAATTTATATAAAATTGAAATAAAAATTTTGTTACAACAAAAAATGTTCTATGTCATAGAAGATAAATTTAAAATAAAATTTTAGAAGTTAGATTTTCTAGATTATAAATGTTTTTATTTTCGATGAATAATAACAGCTGCATCAGTACGAAATATCACATGTATTGCACATGTAGGATCATTGATTTTCCTTCTTTGAAATAAGTTTTTAATATGTCGACGAAACCCATTATTTAAGATAATAGATATGTAAAAACTAGAAACAAAAAATGTATAGGAAAGTAAATTTGCAAATTCAACAAAGACTTGTTCTTCAGCTCTTTGAAAGCATGATTTTGACCAATTTTGACTCAAATTTGTATAGATTAATTCAACGGCATGTGGAACATATGTTATAATAGTAATAATTGATTGTAATATGAGCATTAATGTCAATTGAGAATCCAATTGTTGAAGAGTTGGTCGGTTTCTAATTGTTATTGATGATGTATTATTTCTCGAAACGATTTGTCGTTGAATAACATTTCGAATATTTCTTATTAATAGATAAGCAAGTACAGACATCACTATAGGTGGACATATCCCAGCAAATATTACTTCGAAATAAATATCGTAATTAGCATAGAAACCTAGAAGACGAACACATATTCCATTTCTTATACTATATAAAATAAGTCGATGACCAATGAGTAAGAACCAAAAGAACAAACATGTTATTGATAGTTTGTAAGCTAATGAAATACGATTACTCCATCGACGATATTCTTAAATAAAAATGATAAATTTTGAATTTTCTCGCATAAAATATCAAATGAGATTTAATTAGAACACAACATGAAAATTTCACTCAATGATCTTTTATGATAATCAATAGAAAATTTTGAAAATAATATTTATTTTAACTTACTATTTAAACGTTGTGTCGATAAGAGACGATCAATTGTTGCAAATGAAAATAATGTAAAAGATACTTGATTAGCCCAACATGAAACAAATTGTCGAAGTTTACACATAATATCATAACGATTATTAATTGGAATTTCAAAACCTTTTTCAAGTATTCGTGTTAATAATACAAAATTAAAATAAAGAAAATCAGTCATTGATTTTGATAATAAATAAATTGAATAAGATCGATTACGAAATGATCGAGAACAAAATACCATCATATTTCCTAGAGAACCAATATTACCTGCTATCCAAAGAAATGAACCAAACCAAATATTAAGTTGATATGGTACGGCTGAAAGAGCATTGCTTACACTACTTGTATTAGTATTCATCTTTAATCAATCAAATAAATAATACTTTAATTCAACGTTCTGAATCGTTGTCGAGTAAAATAATTGATGTATTTCCTAGCAAAGGTTTGCTAATGGAATGTGAGAATATTCGATGTATTTCTTCATCATTATAATCATGTTCACATATAATTAATGATGATATCTACATGACAACATTCTGTTCAAGAAGCCTATATGAACAAGATGATGTTATTGATAAAGTCTTATGAAATTCTTCGATAAAAGATTTCCATTTATAGATAGGCAAAAAGATAGTCAATATAATAATTTGGATCATCGCTTTATTTTCTTCTCTTATTGATTTTCCTAGCTTCAAAAAACATGTTTGAAATTTTTCTTATAATGAATTTCTTTAACAATAAGAAAAGTTAATATGGAATGTAATGCTCTTCGCCGAAAACAAGATTGTTGAAAACTCACATCGCCGACTCGACGTGGAAATTTATGGTGAATTTCCACGTCGAGTCGGTGATGTGAGTTTTCGACGATCTTGTTTTGGGCGAAGAGCATACTTACTAATTCAGATAATTGTTTTTAATAAGCAATGGAGTTTTCTATCTAATACATTTCATGGCAAGGTTTTGAAAAAAATGGACATGATAATTTTTAGGTTTTCAGAAGTCTTTGTCGAGTTTATGTTTTAACAATGTCATTTTGAGAGCATAACGTTCTGAACAAGCTAAGAGATTGTCGCATTTTCTATGACCTTCCTTTGAAGTCTGAAAAACACTACCAAAACTTGAAAAAAACTTATTTTTTTAGTCAAAGTTTTGATCAATTTCGTTTTGTTACGATTTTTTGTAATACTTCGAAGTTTTTAATAGAAGCTCCTAGAAAATATGGTGAATCCGTGTCTTGTTCAACATGTTGTGCTTTTTTATAATGGAGTTGTTAAAAACTAGTTGCGACTAGACTTTGAGGCATATAAAAACTACTAGATCCAAGTTTTTAGAAAATTTCCCATACAATATATTGGATAGAAAACTCCATAGGTTATTATAATCACTATCTGAATTTGAGCTAGAAGCTTAACATTATAGAAAAAAAAAACAAAAATATATTGTTGAACTTTTGTCACCATTTCAGAACAAAGAAAATACATGGTATTATTTTTTTAGCAAAAAAAAAGGTCTAGATTATTCTTGTCATCTATTTAAATTAAACACTTTATGAAGCCACATTTAGAATTGCTTTGAAGAAAATGATATGTAAAATCACGGAAAAAGGTACAATACAGATGATCTGATTAGATAAATTTTTTTTTCATAGATATATTCAATTTTCTTATTCATTATGTTCTATGTTTGCATAGTAATCAAATTCTTAATACAATTTTAAAAATGAATACTCTTAACAGTATTATGTAAACTTAATTCAGAATTCTTATGGGATATAAAAATAGTATAGAGCTGTTCATAACAATTTTATTAAATTAAAATTGTCGAATAATCATAAAATAATCTTCTTCATTCGAAGAAATTTTATTAGTTAAAATTGATTTGAATTCCAAATGTGTTTTATTATGAATAAAAAGTTTTCCAAAACCATATTTTTGATATCTTGTTTGCGACCATTCAGGTTTTGGTATCCAATTTTCATGAATCAATGCTCCAGCTGTTCCAATCGTTAAATGAATTGGACTTGTTTGATCAAATTCTGTTGCATTATGTTTATAAATTTTACCATCCGATGAAAAATGATCTTTATCTGTAAAATTATTATATTTAACTGGTGTTGTTCTTTCATAACAATGCATATGTCCCCAAACAGCAAGATCGACACCATACTTAATAATTAATGGTTCAAGTTCTGATTGTAATTTACCTGAATCAGTTGATTGATCGGATGAATACATAGGTCGATGTCCAACTAAAATAAGCCATGGTCTTTCTTTCATATGCCATTTTTGTTCATATTGTTGAAGAATATTTTCAAGAAATTTTCTTTGTAGAGAACCACTAGTATAATCATGTTCAGTTGATATAAAAATCCATTGAACTAAATTCGTTTCTAGACTAAAATAAAAATTTCCATCAGTTTCGAATGAAGTTGGATTCGTTTTTGATGGCATAAAGAATCTTGTTTTATAACTTGTATAATTATTATATTTTTCATGATTACCAGTTGCTGTCATATATGGAATTTGACTTGCTATAGGAGATATTTGATTCATAAATAAATCCCATATAGTTTGAATTTCCACTTCATGTCCTGTTCCAGCATATGCTATGTCACCAACATGAACAACATAATTTGCTTGTTCATTTTTATTTCTACTAAAATCTTCAACAATTGATTTCATAACATCAAAACCTAATGGCATTATTGTTCCCATATCACCATAAATATAAACAATTTCTTTTTCTTGTTTTTCAACTTGAGCCATTGTTTTAAATGTCCATATTACATTTGAAAATAAATGTTTAATTGTAACATTATCTGAATCAATAAAACCGAGTTTATAATTATATTTAACACCTGATTCTAAACCTTTAATGTAGATAAAATGAATCCAATAATGCCAATTATCTACATTGTATGTTGTAGTATCACCAATAGCGATACATCCATTGTCACAATATTTTACTATCGGACGAAGATTTGATGATGGTCGTTCATGTGTAACAAATGAAATATACATTTCAGTAAAAACATTATGTGTGTAAGATAAATGTACTTGTTCAGGTTCGAAACGATTCAATAGAAATGTTGGTATTTGATATTGTAGACTATATAAATCAAAAAATAGGCGTCTAAAATCCAAAATAGTTAAATAGTTAGCAGAAGAATTGTCATTATATCTTTTAATAACATTATATAGAATATCTTTTTGTTTTTTGATTGAATTTAATGATGATATGGATTGCTCATTTTGGTTTTCTTCATAGAATTTATTAAAAAAAAGTAACAATTCATCACTGAATAATTTTCCGTCATTATTAATATCAATTAGATCAACATATTCTTGTAGATCAGAACTTTTAGTTGTTAAAATAAAACCAAAGAGACTCACCAAAGTTATAAACAACATTATTTTTCACTTATTAAAAAAGAAATAGTTAATAGGTTTTTATGACCAACGAGAATAAAAGCATATGTTGTTTTTTTAATCTTTATCCTAACATATGTGAATATGAGTCTTTGCTTATCTTTTTTTTTAAATTTATTTTAAAGATAAAATCGAATCTGAATAAGTGTTTTATTGAAAGAAACTACAAAATTATCTTGTATATTAACCTCCAAATATTTTTAACAGTAAATTTCAAAAAGCACAAAAACAATAAATGTTTTCATGAGAATCCAAACTATTAGATAACGCGACTTTTAACAAGCCATAATGCATAGTCCGAGAAACAGCAATGAAAAGAAATCCAAAAATAGTAAATCTTCTCTTTAATTTTTAAAAATAATTTAACTCTTATAGTTTATTATCTACTTGATGTCATAAACGTATTAGAAAGTATCCAGAGAATTTAAAAAGATATAGAACTTAACAAAAAAAAAAGCAATTCATTATCTTAAATGACATTTTGTATAATGCAAATTCGACCTGTCAATGAGTGTTTTTCTGGTTTGACTCGTTTGAGAACGAACGTAGTCCATCTTCAGAATTGCATGTTGTTTTTTCTTCGACTCATGGACTACTTTACGAGTTGAAGAGGCATTAACTCATTTTGGGCTGTCTAAAGATTAATAAAAACTATCTTAGTAAAATATTTAGTAGCAAAATTTATTAGTTTTTTAATTACTGATGAAATTAAGAATTTAAAATATTATCTTTTGTTTTACAACATGTATATAAATCACTAGAAATTTTCAGGTAAACTTCAAGACAACAGATAATAAAGTATAAGCTATACTATATGAATATAGAGGATACAACTTCGAAAAGAATAGTAATGTTGGCAAATGTTAAAAACAAAACCGAAAAATAACTAGATTAGACGTCATTTATTCCCATTTTGTACATTGAGCGACCTAAAAGTATATCTTTGAATAAAATTTGATTTCGTACAGGTGTAGGTGCATGATTCAATGCATTCAAGAGAAGAGACACACCCACATCTAAAGCGTATGTATATGTGTACATGTTTCAAAATAAGTAGATGAAGAACTAGAACGAACATATAGTGAGAACAAACGATAGAAATAATCTAGATGGTAAAGTACAAAGTAAATAGTAAAATCAACTAAATCAGTGAAGAAATTAAGACATGGCAGTAATAGTGAACTTAACTATAATCAGAACACTAAAGAATAAAGAATGAAAAGCAAAATGTGTAAATGGATTGAATATACTGACAAGCATAAAAATTTAATCTGACTTGTAAAATCTGTAAATCATGAAAATACCAAGCTCATGACCCATCTGAGGTCCAACTCGTGTATGAATCACGAGCCATGCGAATCAAGTCAAAATGGGTCAGTCAGGGAACAAAACGTAAAACTAAATACGAATCAAATGAATATTTGTAGAATTTCTCTATATTCTACTAAGTTTCTTTATGAATTTTAACGTTTTCTCAAACATGTGAATATGGTATTTAGAAATCCGAGACAATTTGTCTTAAGTATTAATCAAAATGACCTTTATATCCAAAGTTTTACTTTTTCTTTTCGATGTCGAATGTTTCTCTGTCTTACTTTTCTTATGGTATACTAATGTCACACACGTAAATGTTTATCTGGAGTATATCATTGAATGTAAGAAATTTCATGCAGAAACTGAGCGACGTCTATTGAATACAATATATAGATTTGTTCTTTTGATAGACCGATCCTGTACAAGTTAATGACTCATTGATAATGTGTTTGCTTCTTTTCAATAAAAATACAAGGAATTTCGTTCATTTTACTTAGTAAAATTCTTTTAATTATATTTATATATCAATATCTCAAAAATGTTTATATTATTGAAGATTAATGAGCAAAAATTTAACTTACTTTCGTGTTCTTCAGCTTTATAAACGTATTATAAAATTATCTCAATCATGGCAAGCAAAGGATCATCCATCGAAAACACGTGAAGAACAAATATATATTCGTAATGAAGCTCGAGAACTTTTCAGAAAAAATAAACATGTTTGTTATTTGTTTGTTTTATTTTTATTTTAAATTGATTAATTTATTTTCAGATAAATGATTCGAATGAAATCGAAGAACATATTCGAGAAGGTGAAGCACGTATTGAACTAGCTTGTCATTATAAAAATCCATACCCACGATTGGTACAAATAGAAAATATTTTATTTTTTTTTTCCTGATTTATCTGATTGTTGTTTTTTTAAGGTTAACTTACCAACATATTCTTTACCACCAAGTCATAATCGTATTCGATTTAAAAGTGAATATGAAACAGAAGATATGTCTAGACCAATTTATCTCAAATCGTATGAACATAAAGAAGAAATATTCAATAGTGAAGAACAATCCAAAGAAAATCAATCATAATATTTGTTTTTTTTTCTCTAGACATTTAAAACAAAAACTATTATTTCTTGATAGAAGTATTGTTATATTTGGATCGTTTATAGATTATAAAAATTATTATCTAAATTATGAATTGTTTTTCTATTTCATCGATATTTATTTTTGAATTCTCTGTTTTGAACGAGAACAAAAGTGTTCAAAATGAAATGATAGCATATTTTGTTTGTTTTTATAAAAATTTAATAACTAAAAAATTTTCTTTCTTATGATATTGATGTTGTCCAATATGGCTACAAATAGAAAAATATTGATGATCAGTTTTAACTAGACAAGACATTCACTTGCGTCAAATATAAAATTTTTAGACTTGTACCGCTGTAGTCTTTGTCTTTACTCTTCAAAAGACTCTACTCTATCCTCTCTTTTTTTTCTGCTATTCGATTCTTCATCGAAGTCTCAAACTGAATCATTATCTAGTTCATTATGGGTTTCAGAATTTGTGAAAAATTCAGTAATATTTGGATTATTTTCACTACTAGACCTCATAACAATCCATAAAAGTGATCGAAATAAGAAAAACGCGTAAATATCACATGTAGAGTTGGCTAACAACAAGACATACGTACTAATATCGTTTCGTTTTTAATTTTGGTTTCAATTGAAATAATAATGGTATCTAACAACTCATGACTCGACTCTCAAAATTATGTTATCACAGAACTTTACCGAGGTACTCAAAATACTGTAAAAGGAACCCGTGAGTAACACCGTTACTAGCCATATCAACATAAGATCGTGATGTATATTGAAAAAAACTGCTTTCATGCATTAAATGACTTGTTTTTGTATTCGAATTTTGAAACAAGAAATTGATGAGTTTCGCTATCAAAAAGTGAAGCTTTTGGTAGAATATCTCTATTTATTTATGCAATGATCCAAAGCCATATGTGGATAGATTTCATATAAGATTTTGAATCTTGTTAGCTTCGAAGTTATAAGTTGGTAATATCTTAAGAAACGTTTTTCCATTTACTGTTGTTGAAATTTAACTTTAAAAAAAATGAGACTCAAATCATTCTAGAATTCAGAAAATTGCAAATCTTGAACCGATCCTAAGCAGAAATTATAGTAAAACCTTCATGAAACCTTTTCATGTATTTCTGCCAAGGACCTAAATAGAATTAGTGATAAACCATGATACGATCTTGAAGACCAAATTTTGAACAGACTTAAAACAAAAAAATCGGTAAAGATTTTAACTAAATCCTAGTATTTATTAAAAGTTGGACTCTGCTTACCACAGTCTAGTTAAGGTCCGATAAGTTTGCTCTTAAGAAAATTCCAAAAAAGATTCTGAACAATTTTGAGAAAGATTGTCTTAATAGAAACGCATAAAAATCGAAGCACAATCCTGACTGGAGCTTTGGTATGATCCATCACTTTAGAATTTAGACTGACCTTGTTTTATTCCTGGTACAAGAGTTTTCAACAAATCTACATGGAAAACCGATAAGGTCTTCTCATAATTCTTTTTGTTAATTCCTATTGAATCTCACATAGAACCGTAAATGAATCGTGCATCCTTAACACAGAAAAAAGTTTAAGCAAGGATTTAAAGAAACCCTAAAACGAATTTCTTTTAAACATGAGACATCTTGCAAAGTCAAATTACTCGAAGTTGAAACAGAATCCTGGATAAAGCTTGACAGGATTTCTTTGACTCAAAATTTTGAAAAATTCTTTTATTCTTTTTCAAGGAAGATATAGAGTTGAGTCTATGAGCTAGGTACCAATTTCTCACCAAACACTGAATTCCAAATACGAGACGGAAATATTATAATAGGATGCATTCTCGTTCTGTGAGGTTCAAGCTCTTTTAGTTATCACTGATTGTCATATACTACGAAGGGATACACAAACGTCTATATTTTCACATTATTCTATTCAAAACACTGCGTACTATGAAGTATAAGTTTGCGAAACTGCAAAAATACGAGAAGCTATGCATTAGTTCAGAAGAAAAACGGAAAAATAAAGTTCGCAATGACGCTGTGACTTATGTAAATATTGTTCTGAATTGAAACTTTTAATTACACAGATGACTCACGATAGTGTTGTGAATTTTGCCTGCTTTGATAATTTCGTTTCATGTAAAAAAGAAGGTAGGCATTAGCTGTCACAACATCAGAATTGGAAGAGATAGCTGATACAACAGCATCATCAAATTCATACCATCGATCTGTGGAAGTTTTTACTCGAGCATATGCTGTGTAATGACCATTACTTATTGACCCCATATGGTTACTGACAGAGATAAGGTCATAAATAGCATGTTGCGATGCTGATAAATCTGTTAAGTCAAGTTCATCGATTGGATACTCAACGAATGTCTTTACTTTTTTCTGCCGTTGATTTTGAGATACAAATCGCTTCAATTGAATGATAAGTACGGGTGGAAGAGTATGAAATTGAAGTTTTTTGACAGCTTTAGTCTTTCGACGGCAAGTATTTTGTTCACAAAGCCATGAATCGTCAAGATATTCCTTTGAAATAAACTCCCGAAGACATTCATAAAGAGTGATCTTCTTTGGATTCATATCGAGTTGAATTGGTTGAGTACGAATAAGATGTTTTTTCTGTTCAATGAATCTTACTTTCGAATCGGTTAACATGTAAAGTGGTGAGTTCAAGTCAAGTGATTCCTCTGTCAATGTTGTCTGAACAATAATACGTTCAAAAAGATCAGGTCTAGGATGTTTATCAAGAAAAGCTTTGACAAGATGTTCAACTCGACCTGAAGCAAATACCGATACATTACTTCGAGATCGATGACCATTTTTTGAACAAAATTCAACTGTAAACACTCGCTGTTGTTGACTTAATGGCAAGGGAAGAAACTGTAGTCTCTCGATTTTCGTTGTAGTATGATTACATCGAAGACAAGTTGTTATTGATTTCATTTTTCCAAAAAAGAGTTTTTTAATTATGGTTTTTCGATCAGATTGATTATTTGAGCGCAATTCTTCGTGTATGGTATTAAGAAGAGAAGTCAAAAATTCTTGCACATTTTGTTGATCACCTGTGACAAAGGATGGATACAGGTTACCAATAGCCTTCCTTATTCGATGCGGTACGAATGCATTACTGACATAGTCAACTCTCTGCAACTTACAGAGGAGTTCTGCAAAGGCTCCAGTCACTTCACCATACGAGTCGAAAGGATTCTCAAAATTGTGATGGCGTCGATAGATGGATTTCAAAAAGTATCGAGTCAAAGGAACAACATGAGCAAGACATTGAAGTGCGCTATTCATGAAACATGAATTCTTTCGGTTTTTCAGACCTGTCGGTAGTGTATATGGCAAAACTATTGGTTCTCTTTCAAAGAAATTGCTGTTAGGATTAAATTTGACTATTGTAGTCTCAATAGTACTGCCTTGTTTAATACCGAAATCGGCCAAACAGCGTCTAGATTGTGCATTATTGATCACAATTGTTCCTGATCGTAATTCGAATTGAAGTAATGGTTGATCTTTGTCATAAGATGCAATTTTTTCTATCAATTCTGCCACAATGTCTTTTATTGATACTATCATGTTGACAGTCTTGGAAGAAGATAGTTTATACTTGATAATTACTTTATCATTATTTCTGATTGGTAATAATGGTCGTACTTCATTCGACAGAATTCGGTGTAGAATGGACGAGCATGCTGTGCTAGTACGTAGTTGTGGTTTTGCATAAATGATCTGGCCTGATTTCAAACCTAGTTCTGCCAGACTTCGATGGCGATCATTCAAATCGAGCTTTTCATTCGTTTCAGTGTATAGGTCATGAGGCATTAGCAGACGGCTTTCAATTTTTTCGTTCAATCCAGCAATCGTATCTGTAGGTGAAACATGTAGCAAGAGTAGTCGATCGGAGTATGCACATTTAATATGAACACATATATTTTCATTATGACAGAAATCGATGAGTTTAATCCAAATACTTGAATCATTTTTTAGACCTAAATTAATCAGTTTTTCATGTGAATGTGCGATGAGATCAATCTCTGCATCTGAAATCGTGACGAGTCGAATACGCTTGCGTTCCACCGATTCCAAATGAAAGGCTTTGACAACATCCTTATGCAGAACACCCAGGGTTGTTGTTACTTCATTCCACGTGTAGTAGATTTTCTCATTGTTTCTAGGTCCCCATATTATTGAATGTAATAATCTTCTTCGTGGCTCAGATAAGAATGGTTCGAAATGCAGAGTTGATCCATTTTCGATCTTCAATTCGTACAATGTTTTATGCGCATTTGGAAAAGGTACTGAATAATGTTGTTCATTAAGACTAACTGAAACGAGACTGAGATTTTCCATGTAAACGAATTCAAATTCAGCGAGTTCTAACAATGTTTTTATTACATTACAGATAGTGGTCATCGATGAAAATCGAGCACGTTTTCTTATAAATAGTCCTTGTCGTCTATTGACATATTCAAGGTCAAGCACCAATATTAATTCAAATAAAGCAATTGATTTATGGGAATTCATTTTACTTGTAATCGTTTTACATTGAGAATTTCCGTGTTGAACAGCAGATTGCGGTTTGATCTCAAGAAAGATTTTCTTTGCTCTGAAATAATTCTGTAAGTGCTTACCAAAGTTGAAAACAAATTTAATTATCACTGCTAAACGAAAGAATTTGAAAATCAAATTGCTTATGTTTTTCATCATCATGCAGTACGAAGCATAATGGGATTACTTGGTATATATCGATGCAACTAACAAAAACCTATTCGCTACTAATGTTAATTGAACTTTCTGAATAAAACTCATTGTCGTATATTTTTTGTACTTTAGCTTTCTTCGCATAACTACTAAACGACATCATCGTCAGCAATACCAAACCTATCGAGTGTTGACATTGAAATTTAGTGAAAATGAAAAAAGAACAACATACTTTTTCTTCTTTTTTGGACGTTTTTTTTTCTTTCTACAGAAAAAACGTGTGGAGAATGCACAGAACACAATAAGATATATAAATTTGACCTTGAAAAAATAAGGAATACTTTCGTTATTGCATGAGTTTATTGTTCGTATTCGTACGACATTTTTATTGATCGAAACGAATCAATACTAGCTTAATAAGATTTTATTTTAATTGTCCGCTGCTCTAGCAGTAAAAATAAATCGATTTTTTGATCGATCAATTATTCAAGTTAAGTTTCTTATTAAATTCTTAGTTTCTTTCGAAACAGATGTGAATCTAGGTTCACTCATATTATTGAGCAAGAGAGAATCTGAAAAATCAGCAAACACATGTATATTGAATAAAAGATTGAGTCGAAATGTAGCAACGTTGATTCCTTTTTTAATTCAGCGATAAAAATTGTCTTGAATTATTTACTGATGTTTTAAGAATCTTTCCTTCAAATTCGTTTTTTCTTAGACTCAATGTGCTCGTATAAATCATTCATTGATCTATTTATCTTGTGTTGCTTAGATACTTCTCTGGCAAAGATAGTCATTCAAAGGGTTTATTGTATTTTGTACTTTAATAAAAGTACTAATATAATCACATCGTTATTTATTGACAACAAATGCAAAATTTATACTAAATTTTCCACCTATCAAAGAATCCTTCCATAATCGAAGATTTCCGCGAGTAATAATGTAAAATCCATAATAGAAGACTCGAGTCTTTTGAAAAACCCTGTTTCAATCTTTTCAACCTTTTTTTTTTCTTTAATTTATTTTTGGATGGTATTCATTGAAGAATAAGCATTGCGGAAGAATAAAAAAATGTGCTAATGTGTATCTAAATATTATTGGTATCTATTTTCTTCGAAGAAAGATAAAGAGTATTTCCAGCGTGAATTAAGACAAGAGAAAAAGAAACTTTCATTCGTAGATAGATATAATTTTTGTCCTACAAATCACGATCTAAACGCACATGTAATTTAAACATGTTTTGAAACTGAAAATAGTTTTCACTATATTGGAAGTAATTCTTAATTTCTTCTGTAAAATATACTTCATATATTCTGATTCATGGAGAAAGTGTACAATAGCGTGTATTTCCAGAGAAGGCAAGAGAAAAAGGTCAGACTTTAGTATTGTGAAATAGGAGTAAAGTACGATGAACGTACAAATGAAGTGCAGCGAAGTACGATGAAGTACCGTGCTTTTCTGCACATCACTCGTGCTTCGGAGTATTAAAGTCTCGCTTGTTTCCCTTTAGCAGCAGCAAATGCTTTGTATATTTTACTTTCGCTGTATATATTTGCCATTAGAAATACTGTATCAGATGCCGCCAGATTTTTCATATTGGTCAAGCTTTCTAAATAACCACTATTTTTGTTGTACCGCCTTTCATAAATAGTTAAACTTGAATACGAAGCAATTACAGCCGATGTGGTTGATACAGACGGCTTGAGCTTGCTCACAGTAACAAGAGAAACACGATTTCGATTGAAATTTGACATTTTTCTGAGCGTTTAAAAATATTCATAAACTGAGATACAGCCAAATATCAGCAGAACCACGGTTCATCGAACAGTTGACAACAATTTTTAATATCATGCTATGAAAATATATTAAAGAGTGTTGGCGGAGTAACGGGTGTGGGTGTGGGTATGGGTGATAAAAGAGAAAATAAATGAAAAACGAAAACTACTCGAACTCGGCAGTATGTATACTTTAACACGTTCTGTGAATCTGATACATAGAATCTTTCTTATGTTAAAATAAAGGAATATTCTTCAATGATATCTTCGTATTTCTCTCAAACTTCTGTATTTGATGCTTGCTTATGCTAGAAAATCTGTAAAAATTTGATAAAAAAGACAATTATAAAACTATTCATATTGATTAGCTCTAGTTGTCAAATATTAATAAAAAAAACGATGTCTTTCTGCAAAGTCAATTTTCAAAGGAGTCTACCACAATTGTTGACCACAGTCACATTGACCTGCATGATTAAAATTCCATTCATCCTGGTACTGTTTCATGTTTAGAAGTGTGATATGTTGTAAGAGATCTTTGACTTGTAAATTTTGATTAAATTGCCATTGGTGATTAATATACATACGCTTCATGGCTGTATCAAGAATTTCGTTCTCAACATAATTTACTCCCTTCATATTGGTCTGATATGCTTTCGTATTATCTTTGCATGCATAGGAATTAAATTTCCATTCACCAGCTTCAAAACTAAAATCAGTACCAACAAAACGATCCGATATTTCTTCGTTAAAAAACCATTTGAATAGACGACTAAACCAAGTATTTTGACTTGCCTGAATATGTTTTATGGCATCAGTCTTTTTGATAAGAATGTAACCTGTTTTACAATGTTTGCCGTTAAGTCGAAAGTCTGTTTGCCAATCATAACCGTAAACAATCAAGCCGATAAAATTACTTGTTGCATCAAATCGATCGGAGGAGCAGGAAAAATGTACACTACGCATTTCTAACAAACGCTTATTTAAGCCAGTGTCTATTGTAATTGAAAGACATGAACGATCGACACTAAGATGTACATGTGGCCGAACTCCATCGTTTGTGCACAATACGAGGTGAAGTGTAGAGTCTTCTAGAATATTGTAATCACTTAATTTTCGTGTTGACTCTAATGGAATTCCAGCTAATAGTAATCTTTGCTGGTTCGATGGAATTCCTTCTTTATCTTGAATTTTTAATTTTATATCTTCTATAGTTTCAGAAGCTTGTACGTCTAATGTTATTGTTTTTCCCACTGTGTCTTTTACATAAATTTTCATTTTTTTTCCAGTTATATGGGTTATGAAGCACGTCGAATTACAATCGTTATTCTGTCTTGGAGAATTTTCATTACAATTGACAATAAATTTTTATCTGAATGAGTTGTCAAAAGAAAAAATCTGCATAATTTTTATTCCAGAACATTCGAGTTTCTTTTTTCTCAATCGAAACTGTCCTTTTTTCATTGAATATTTTTGTCGCCATTTTATTTCGTTCCTTTCAAGGTGATTGTTAATAATGTTGTGAGTTTGACAATATGATACTAAGAATAGTTGTGAAATAGGCACAGAAAGCAGTCAATAAGACATTAGATGAATTCATTTTTGTAATTTGATTGTACAATATGGTGGAAATTACACTGCGCCCCTCTTTCTCACAAGCGAATAGAAATAATACTGTAGGTTAGTTTAAGAAAAAATTATTCATTATAAAAAATTCAGTGTATGTAAGATGAATCGAACATCGGTTAAACTAGCAGAGACTAGATCGAATATATTTCTGTAATGAAAACGTTGGCTGACTCTTTTGTGTATTATTGACAAGAGTAATCGAATTTAGTCAAACTTCCTTCGACTAATATCGATAAAACTAGAACAGAGTCTATCCGATAGTCCATTGTTTGTATATGACCATGGAAGATGATATAATTATGATTAGATCTAGCAAAAGATTCCTGATCATAGATTGATTTTAGCAGTCAACAGACAACGAAATAAACAAGATTTTCTTGTTCACAATAAATCTTATTGGAGTATGTTTTGTTTTTTGTTTATACTAAAACTTTTAACGTAATCATTGGCTGTTTAACAGTAGCAATACTTTTTTTCGATGATCAGTCATTCTAAAAAAACAAGAGAATCATTTCTTTCTTAAATTTATTCATCTGCGTCATTACGAAAAGAACAAACATTTTTAAAAATAGGCGGCATTGAAAATCTGAATAAAAAATTTTGTCTTAACGACAAAAATATTATTCGCAATACTAATGAAACCATTCAAATATATTTTAGAGAAAGTTGATTGAGCCTAAAATAAAATCACGCGTTCCTCACAAATAGCTTCAGCAAGAGGTTCCAATAAAATAATGTTACTACTTAGAGAATTAAACAAATGTATATACTATTACGACGGTTTATATATAAGAAATGCAAAGGCTTAAAATAAAAAATGGACAAGTTCGCCATAATGTGTCTCGATTTTGTCTAATATTTTGTTTGTTTTATCATGAAAACAACTTTGATTCAATTTCGATTATTTCTTAGGGCGAGAGATACGATGTTTCTCGATATTCGATACTGCTACGCAAATCTCGAGTTTGATTTGATATTTCTGATTTGAGCAAATTACTTCATAGGTTTCATAAGAGTCAAAAACCAATTGTAAGATATCTTGACCTCAGAAATTGTTCAATAATTTGAAATATTCTTTTTTGTTTTCAAATAGCTAGATAGATACACTACAGATGAACATTTATAGGATAAGATATTCATTTGAAAATGATTCTAAAAGATCAGATATATTTGAATCGTTGATTAACAATGTGAATATCTTTTCTAGTTGAATCTAGAAGATTTGTACATTCAAAACGAGAAAAAGAGATGCAAAAAAAAGAGAAAGAAAGAATAAAGCATACGTATTTGTTTTGTTTGATTGTAAGGTATTACTATTTACATTGATTATTGATTTTATTGCACCCACCAATGAACCATAAGAATTCTTAACATCATTCACCGAAATAAGGTGTTCATTAAATATTTGCAATCCATCCAGAGCGAACACATTGTTTATTTTTCACATTATTAGTTTTCATGTATTGGTGTAATGAGACAACTTTGTTTTTTCTAAATTTGTCTCTTTTTTTGCCATCTTTTTAATAAGTAGACTGAAGCAAATGTTATATTGTTATTCTTTGATCAAGAAAAAAACATCTACAAGTAACTATGTATGATTACAAAAAATATTTGTTCAGCATCTTTACGACTTCGGAAAATAATGAATTTCAGAGGAAAAAAAGTGAAAGTCTCGACAATGATGGAAAAAAATTTCTCCAAGAAACAATCTTGAAGATCAACAAATATGTGTAGAAAGATGACGAATGCTTCGAACACAACGAAAGTCAATAGTGATGAGATTATCGATTTCTTCGTAGTGTAAAAAGTAAAGAGAAAGAGTGCTGACAGAGTTTGCACATCTTCTATTGCATACAGTTGAATATGACGAAATTTTACATTACTATATTGCAATGTTCTTTAGTATATTATGCAGTCAGACATATTATGGTACTACATCGTAATGGCAACCAAAGAAGTCTTTCAAAAAATAAGCTTTGAAAAGTTGAGTAGGACAAATATAGAATTACTCTTTCACTGTTTTTTGCAATGATGACTAGACTATATATTTTTTATATGTTCTTCTGTAATATCATTTATAAGTATTCTTTTAGAGTTGAAATTTTCAAAAGAGAGAATACAGAGAGATAACCGTTACATATATAACAAGCATTTTGAATGGCATTATGAAATAAGAAGTTCTCCACTATTTTATAGATCATGTCTTCGACGGTACCAACAACGACTTGCTTACCAACTACAAAGCGAGCGCTCCTCATTGGCAATAATGAATACAAACTCTCACCTAAATTGCAATGTTGCATCAATGATGCTAAAGATTTGAACGATAAACTACGGGAGATTAATTTTAAAGTGACGCTTGGCACTGATTTGACCTATCAAGATATGGGAAATAAAATCGCACAGTTTACAAAAGAAATTTGTGAAGGTGATCTCGTTGTGTTTTTTTTTGCTGGTCATGGTAGCCAGTCAAATGGACAGGATTACTTGCTGCCAATCAATGACGAAACAATAACGTCAGTCACTGCTCTTCCATTCAACGCTATTAATATTAATGAAACACTTCGATGTGTCATGGATAGACGACCATTAGCGACAATATTCCTACTCGACTGTTGTCGCTATAGTTTTTATGATGGGAACAGAAGAGCCAATGATCCCCAACAAGGATGCAACATACAAGCCAGGGCTGGTTCTTTGGTAGCATACGCTTGTGATATCAATAAGTCAGCAAAAGATCAGATAAAGAATGGAAGAAATGGCGTTTTCACAAATCGCCTTCTTGAAAACATTACTGAACCAAATTTGCGGATTGAAGATATGATGAGTCGCGTCTGTCATAATGTCATGAAAGACACTAACGAAACACAAATTCCTGTTCGATTATGTGCACTTCGTGACTCAAACATCTATTTAAATTATCGAGCAGAGCCTGGTAAGTTTATTTATTTGAATAGCTATAGTAAAATAGAACACTTAAAAAAAAAGGTTCTTTTACTGTTCAGTCCTTATACAGAGACTTATTAATGTGTTAGATTAGACTATAAAAACCATAATTGGCATGAGACGGTATTATGCTTTTCAATATTATTGTAAACTTGTTTATAGTAAAATCATGACTTAGGGCACACTTTTCTATTCGATTTTCTAACAAGCGTCAATGAAATGAGCTCTTCATGAAAAACGCTCCAAAACATACAATATTGCTGTTCTCAGGTTTATTTGAGAATGAATAGTAACCATAGAAGATTATTTAATATATCTGAAACTTTTAGAATATTTTAGTGATCATTGAATCTTTTTAGAAAGAAAACTTAAAGATAAAAAATATTCGTACTTTCTTTAATATCAATAGTAAAAAATTCCGTAGGAAAATTAGCATTGATGTATTTATTATATTAAATTCGTCCAATTGTCATTGTCTTTGAAAACATTAATAAGATGTAGCGAAACTTTGTGAGACTATTTGAAATACGTCGTATTCCATGTTGTATTATGCTCTAAATTAATCGTTGGTGAAGATGGTATTTGACGAAACATATTTTCTATATTCCTATAGTGATCTATTTCGAATATTTTTTACACAGAAGAAGAGCAATATTCGATAAAAAGAACAGTTCATCAATTAACTGTGATCGTTGTTCCACACCGCTATCTACAGTAGAAAATGAAGCATTTTTAAATATGATGAAAATACTAAATTAATTTCGTGAACAGCCACAATGTTCTACTATGTATCGACATTTTTATTTTTCAAGAAACTTTTCGAATTATTTTGCATAGCTCGTTTTTTTGAAATTTTTTATACGTGAAAAAGTTAAGATCACTATTGCTAAGCTGTAAATTCACAGTAACTAATCTAAGTAGCTCACTCGAATGAACTAAGAATTTTATCATTCAGAGAAAATTGGATTAAAATCCTCATTTGGACTTAACTTAGACTGGTGAAAATTTTGGTAGATTTTGATTGAATTTGAGCTCAAACTCTAAGACAGTTTTGCGTTCATAGAAGTTTATTTAGGTAAAGTTCACCAAATTCTGTTTTCTTAATAAAACTCTTTGAAATAATGTTCAATCGAAACTTAAAAATTTCAATTGTAATTTAGTAAGTCCACCACCCGAAAATCAAAATCCACAACTTCGAAGACAAATCATCGATGAAGAAAGCGATTTGTTACACTTGTGCGAAATGAATTTGACCGATGAAGACATGAAGATAGTAGCATATTACGCAATAGAAAATAAGCAAGTAAGTTTAGTTATTTTCAATGATCATTTAAATATTGTATTATTCACTATTGTCCACTTACGAAAGTAAATCTAGAACTCTTGTTTGAAATAAATTAATGGGTATGTATGTGGAGTGTGAGTGTGGACGTAAGTATAGGTTTGAGTGCGCGTGTGAGTGTGAGTCTTCGCTTCAAATGCAGCATTATCCACACTCACCTTTAATTGAGATGGCAAATAATCGATTTGGTAATGAAATAGTTAATTCAAATAAAATATTATATATAGAACCGATACGACTTGAGCCATACTTGTTTTCGGTTATGAATTCATTCTGTAATATTGAAATTGACGAAAAACATAGTCAGCAAAAATGCAGTAATCCGTTTTCTTTCACCTTATTCAAAACACTTGTCGAGCCT